AGTAAGGCACCTGTTACTACTAGCGTGGCACTTGTTTCTAATAGCTTCTTGTTACTACTTTCCATCCGGTTTGCGGCGATGGTTGAACCAGTGAGTTGCATTGAAGGCAGCATGAAGCTCGTCTTGCAAAGCTTCATGCTTAATCCATCTTAATCCATCCGTCTGTAAGAATAGACACATTATATACACTCTGCGTATCATATCATCATGCTCAGTTTTTTGGAGCGATTTCTTTGATATCCCAAACTGCAAACTGCAAACTGCGAATCTCCTAGGTCCGCAGCACTGCGTCCGGTGTCGAAGCTGGCAACTCTGCGAGGCTCCGGCGAAGTACCGGTTGCTTTTGGGTCGGATCCGGAGCTAGCGAGCTAGCTGGGTTAGGTTTGTGCCCAAGTTTCGCTTTTCTATCCGAACCGTTGTTTTTTTCGTTTCAGGCCTGGACTCAGGCAGGTGAAGGAGACATGTCGCCAACAGCCCGAAAGAGGCAGAAAGGTCGTGGGAAGTCGTGGGAGAAAACACATTCTTTTTCGCCTCGCGAGGAGAAAAGAAAGGCCCAGCCTTTTGTGGCTGCAAGCCTGACAAAAACCTTGCACGCCCTTCTTTCGGACGACAATGCAAAGACGTTTTGGTGTTGAAGATATTGGGGTGAAACAGGACAACAATCCTGAACCAAGAACACAAAGAACCAAGATTCCACAGAGCTCTTGGCAGGAACCTTGGTCCTGTCCCACAGTTCAAGATCCACTGTACGTGTTGGTTTTCTCATTCTTTTTTTGTTTTTTCTTGACTTTGAGCATGTCTGGTGTGAGATTGGCACTGCACCGTTTGTTTCTTCGAGACATTCCGTGCCTCGCGTTGGTTTCGGCCTGTCCGTCTGCCTCACCGGCAGACCGATGCTCCGATGCAAACGAGCCGATCCTGCGAGGTCTGCGAGACGTCCCACTGGCAGACCCTGCACTTCCTTCGCTTGACCCACGGACGCTGCGAGCGGCCCGGAACCGAGGACGGTGAACCGTTGAGTGGACACCGCATCGCTCAACACGACTGAAGACTGCCTGCGCAGTTCGGTGAATAGAACTCCTTATACTGGTCATGTGGCTCTTCGGCCTGGCTGTGGATGTTCAGAGCACTTTCGTTCGGCCCTATCCGTTTGGGGATGTTTTTGGAGCTTACTCGAGACGACTTGGAAAGCATTCGATGTCGGAATCCCGCACCGGATGCCCCTTACACGACCAGAAGAGCAGCTCCATCGGAAGGTCCGGGCGATCGCCCGTCCGCCCGGATGCGATCGCCGAGGATTCGCATCCATTGGCGACAGCTTCTCGTTGGCCTCTCGCCCATGAGCCGTGTTGCATCGACTCAAAGCCAAGAAAACAAAACGCAAGGTGAAATATGTGTTCCATCATTTTAAAGGTTGGGTGAACGTGTTGGACCATTTTGATCCATTTTGCATTAGTGCCTACGACTCCGATCATGGGTCCTACAGAGTCATGGAGCGATACGACATTACAGTTTTTTTAAAAGTTAAATGTGATATCAAAAAGTCACCTTGTTTTATTGATAATTATAATATCAAATCAGATATATCCAACCATATAGTGTTGCTTTTTAGATCCCTGATCTGGAAGCTCTGGATGCCCAGCAAAAGCCTTCAGCATGCGGGGATTTGTTCTTCATAGTGCTTAATGCGACTGAAGGTAAATTTATATAAGTTCAGTTTTTAGAGTGAGATTGTTCCTGTTGGACTTTAACAACGAGGCCTTTGTTCGACCAAAGCAGAGGCGGCATGCCACGGCCGTCTCTTTATTTCCTCTACGCTCAGGCCTTTGCTCCGCTATTGGCGTGATCTCGATCTGCTTTTGCTTCTGCTTCGCCTGCTGCCACTGGGCAGAAGTGGTGGAAGCACTGCTATAAGTTTGCCAAGAGATTCTGATCGGATATTCGGGGTCAGATCCAACGTCTTTGGTAACTTCCTTGTTTCAGTGCGAAGATGTGCGAAGACCAATCAGAATGTTGGTTGCTGAAGATCTCAGAAAGAGATGATCCAGTTTTTCCATCCCCATTGATTGAGTTTGCTTGAATCAAATTGTAGCCTTTTAATCCGTTTCCCTTTGCTTGGGCAACTGTCGTGTTTCCATTTTTTTCATGTCAACTGTCGTGCCGAGTTCACGCACTCTCGCACTTCAGGTTTCGGCAGCACCAGCGAGAAGCCCAGCTAGCCCAAAGGCCGCGCAAACAAATGAGTCGAAAAACACCGTGAGACTCGGAGTGTCATCTCCTTTACAAGGTCATTTCCTTTATGACAGGGTTGTCCTTTTTGGTTCCTACCCCTTCTACATCCTACTCTCTTGTGGGGAAGGTCCAGGACCGCCAGAAGATCCCTTCCGAGGCCGCCCAAAGCGTCGGCGGAGGCCCGTTTCGAAGGACTGGACGGGACGCGAGCGAGCCATCGGCACGAGAGGCAGTCCGCATGAAACCGCATGAAACAATTGGTAACACGTGAAAACCCTTTTGGCAGTTCTGGCGAAGAATTCGGGCAGTCACAAAATCCTGGCGAAGGATTCTCGCAACAAGGTCGGGGTCTTCCCCTCGGGTTGAGACGTTCGTCACCGACGAGCTGTATCCCTTCACGGACCGAGTTTTGATTCCGGGCAGGCCTCCATCAACGGGCAACCACAAAGCAAGGATCAAGATGAAAGTTCACACGCAACGCAAACGGAGTTCCTAAGGAACAAAAGGCTAAAGGAAGGACAATTAATGATTCAAAAGAACATTGAGTCCATGATTGGCAGGACTCAGATCAGGAGGAGCAGAGTCCGGGCTGCTCAGAGTTTTGGAATGGGCTGTGGGCTGTGGGTAACGCGAAGGACACACAGAGCAGCTTGACGAGATATGTCCTGCTTCGACCGGTCGGCTAAGGCAGGACCGGCTCCGATTTGTTTTTTGTCACGAAAGCCATATGCCATATGGCCCTGGCTACAGGTTGTCTATGAGTCTATAATATAGTACAGTTCCGGAAGTTTGGAATATCTGCTTGAAAATGATGGAGGCAAATGAATCAACCTCCGAACTTGACTGTTATTTGGATTGGAGCAGGGCAGTCCATCCGGTGTCGCCATTGAGGATGTCCATGCACCTTAGTTGTGTCGAATCTAGCAGGACCGAACCAGGTGTCCCCGGTGTCCTCCTATCTGTCTTATCTCACAGAACCATTCGACCGCGTCGCACAGCTGTTTCTGGCCGTTTCGTGGCAAGGTCAACGTCTGCTGAAAGTGAAAGGTATCAGTGAGATTCTCAGAGAATTGCTTGGCATGGGTTTCATTTGCAGGGGATGGAAGACCATTGTTCTTAGGTTGGAAGCCATTGCTATTGGGTTGGAGGCCATCGCTTCTAGGTAGAGGGGCAGAGCGGCCTTTAAAAACATGGCACAGAGGAAGGCCCTGCGATCTTCAGGCCGGGTGTAAGACAGCTACATGACTACAGTTAAGGGGTTCCTTGGGCTTACCTTCTCACTCTGACAGAATGGTGGTCAACAAGTGTCCTTGCTTGGGCGCCATACACCCATTGCATCTCAGTGACTGTTCAGGAGATGCTGTGGAATAGATGGATTGTGAACTTGTTTTGTTTTGTCAAATCCAACAGCACAAAGTGCCCGTAACCCTCCAGACCGTTCCAACCGTCAACGGCTCTGATGGCTCTGAGGCTCCGATGAAGACTGAGCCTGCTCCTGAGTGAAGTAGGTTGGAACGTCCACAGGAGCACCTGTAAGGTTTCCTCTTTCAACTAGGATTTCTACGAAGTAAACCAAGAGAATGGGCCGTACATCGATGTAAGATAATAAGTATAATTCATATGATCAGGTAATTGAGAGGTTGATACATCCTTCACTCCTTCCATCGACATTTGCCGTGCAAGACAAGGTTACACACAATTTCTGGGACAGATTGGGTCAAGCAGATTGAAAGAATGACCCTACGACCTATAGAGCCTCCACCCCACCTGTCACCAGCATTTGGCATATATGCACAGACAAACTAAGGACCCGCTTTAGTGGCCGACGTTGCGGCCATGTTTCACTGCATGAAGTTCCCCTGTTGGACAAAACATGTGCGTGTAGCTGTGGTGATGATGTGGTGCTAGGTCAAATCATCGGCCCGTTTTCTCATCTCTGTAGGTGTTGCGCTCTTTTTTGTGTCAAAAAAAGGATCAACGAGTGCATCAATCCTTTGGATGGCTGAAGCTTTCAGTGATCAGTGTACTTTAGGTGCTCTCCCAACATGTTACAAGGAAAACAAAGACGCTCGAATACGCAAGAAATGCCATCCAAGACAAAAACAGTTCGCTTGGAGCAGCATCTAGAGAACCACCCTGCTAGCAGCGGCAGGATGCCGTCCAGAGTCTATTCATACTCTTATTATCTTATTATTATCTTATCTTTTTTCAGATGGGCTCCAATTGACATACTCTTCAGGCGGTCAGTTTGTCCCTGCAAACTGTGCTTGCGCCCTCGTGCCATTTTGTGCTCACACATGGATCGTTTAGTGCCAGAATGAGTGCCGTGAGTCATGCCATCAACCTGTCAGAATTGCCTCAGAGTGGAGGAATCAGAGACATCCTTGATTGCACGGAGCCACAAGTCTTCAACTGAGCCACACATCTTGGGAATGACGTTCTGAGCTCCGGTTCTCGTGCCAGTCACTCGATATGCATTGGGTGAGGATGGTGGATTGAACAGACATGCTGTCATCCATCAAAAGCTCAGATCAGATGATTTCTTTGACATTTGATGGCTATGTAGAGAATCAGGGTGAAGGTGAGGATCGGGTGAGAATGAGGGTGAAGGGGACGATGGGGACACACATTTGTTAGCAATGGTTTTGGTGAAGCTCTCTTACTGGATCAACCATGCAATATGTAGCTCGAACAGTGTTGAGAAATCTGAAGAGTTTCCATTTTGTAAAGGACTCCTTTGAGCCTGTTCTGTCGATCTCAGTTAGATCTTCAGATCCCGTCGAAGCCCAGGTCGACCAAGCAAGGATGTCTTGGCAGGCGAGTTGGAGCAAAGATCTCTTGTTTGGGTAAAACCGATTCGGAAGGATGAAGGGAACGATCAGTCTAGAAACAGTAGACGCTACTAGGAGCAAGGACGCTACTAGGGGCTCCTGGCCTTACTACTAGGAACAAGGACGCTACTAGGAGCTTTTTCGCGCGCGTATGGTCAATTGATGTCATATGCCTGTCGTACGGTTGACGCTGAAGCTGATGAACGACGATGAAAGTGCGAATCGAGATGTCCCAAGTCACTGTGGCCCATTGATGATCCCACATGATCCTGTCAAGTGTTTACCAGGACTCAACAGATCTAGACTCAAAAGCCTAACAAGGTGTGCCCCTGGAGCTCTCTACAGAATCCCAGTTCCGGCTATTTCAACTGCTGCAAATGTAGCCATGTAACCTGTATGCTTTTTGATAAAGCAGGATAGAACTAGACAGACTGAGAACACAGGTCACTTCTTACTTTTTGACTGATTTTCGTCGGAGCAAAAAGCTCCACCGACGGCACCTGCAGGGAGCTCTGAAATATTGGGCGGAGAAGGCCCAGACCTTTGGCAAGTGGTTCAATTTGAAGTTTTTCCTCATTTCAATGATAGAAGAGGGCCACGTCGTGCGCTGGGACTGTTTGGATGAGAAGTGGGAAGTGACCACAAAGTAATCCAAAAAGCCAACAGGCCTCTTGGACGCATGAAACTGATGTTTTTGCTGGTGAATCACCTAGGGGACGCAATTAGGGTAGCTTCTAGGTTGGAGGCCATCGCTATTAGGGTGGAGGCCAACAAGTGCCTTACTAGGGGCTCCTGGCCGTACTACTAGGAGCTCTGTGGCCTTCGCCAGGCGGGATGTGCCGAGCTGGACTTTGTCGGCACCAGCCAGTTTGCCGGGCCCTTGGGGATGATGGATGGCAACGGAGAGCGGGTTTGGTGCGGGTTTGGGGTGTTTCTTTTTGTTTTGGGTGCAAGATGAAGACGTCCTTTGGGCCAGGAGCCCCTAGTAGCGCCCTTGCTGCAAGATGAAGACGTCTATTCAATGAAGTCACACAGTGTGGATGTCCTGGAACGTTGTTGGAACCTTCAAATCTCCCAGCGATGAAGGATTGGTGCAAGGACTCATGGCAAAGGATTCACCACAACATGGCTTTGTAGGAGATTTAGTTGGAGATTTTGGGGTGTTTGATACCAGCTTAGTTGGGATATGAAGGCGTACCAAAGAACGCCATGCAAAGAACTTGCGGAGACAAATCAAGAGATAAACGCAACCGCTCTTTTGGAAGGCTCGATTCGCCTCCACGTCTTCGGTTTCAATAGGTCACCACCATCTAAGCGCCAAATGAATATGGTATTTGACCCACTGCCATCTTCCAAGAAGTGGGATGAGGTGGGTATAGAGAGCGGAAACCCACATTGTTTGGAAGTGTGACCAAGGAGAGTTGGGCACTCTGTTTGAGCCACCCACATCTTCATATTGAGTACTTCTCAGCAGTCTGAGTGATGTATGCGAGCAAATCCGTATGCATACTCTAAGAGTATACCGGAGCGCACCGGAGAACTGCCGTGGTGCTACGAGGCACGGGTTTGGACCTATTCCTTGATCTATGCGCTGGTGATGACCGTCGGCATCACCGTGCCTTTCCGATGGCGCCGCCCCAGGAAGGGCCGAGTGGGCGACGGCGTGGACGTGTGGACTCGATGTATCCTAGTAATACTACTAGGCTGAATTGTACATTGTTACTAGCAATACTTGTAGCGATTTCCTCCAACCTAATAGAGACAGAAATGTGTCATAAACCTCGGGCTCCACTGGTCCAACAGCCAAAAGGACATATTTAGTAGCGTCCGATCGCTCCATTCGTAGCGATGCCAGGAGCTCCTCTAGTAGCTTCTTGCTCCTAGTAGTAAGGCAGGAGCCCCTGGTAGCGTCCTTGCTCCTAGTAGCGATGCCCTAGTTACTAGTAGCTTCTTGTTGTATCGATTTGTTTATGTTGACTTTCAGGATTGTCTACCTTTCGCGCAATATTGCCCACATGAAGCTGACTCCTGATATGGTTGTTCATAGTCAATGTCCGCGCGAAAGACGTGCCCGCTTGGCTCTGACAGGGTTTGAGCTGATCACCTCATGAAGCCAGCAGATTATTAGGATAGTGGCGAAAGCATGCTAAAGCTATCACTACATCCAAGACACAAATCGAACTGAAGTCGAAGCAAGCTCAGCGACATTCATTGCCCTGTTTCCCCTTTCTACTTGCCAAGGCATACTGCTTGAGAGATGAGCCACAATCTCATGCAGTCTGAGAGTACGTAGCTAAAGTTTCATGCAAAAGCCCGTTAAGCAGGCTGAGAAGTTCTGCCTACCATACTGGCCCCTGTCATCCTTACAGGATGTCATTCCCTCTCATTCCCACTTCTCAAGCTGAAACTGAGGTGCTCCCGTGGCAAAGCTGCTGTGAAGATCTACGACGCGCCCGGCGCCGAAAGAAGTAACGGCTCGACTCGACGCTGGACTCGACGCTAGACGCCTCGGGTGACGGGTCAAGGCCCCGTGTCATTTTGGTCATGACCTTCTTCCATTCTTCTTCTCTCCCTTCTGCGCAAGGATGTCGGTGAATTGGTACCCAGTGAAGCCACATCCAGTTCTATCCACACGGAAGTTCTTTATAGGGTAGAATTCCCGATGCTTGGTCCCGATGGTGTGAAGTTGAGTGCAGGAACCGAGACATCGGTGAAACCGCCCAAGTGGGACGAATGAATCGCCTAGGCCGCCTGAAGACGATCCTGAAGAGGCGCGAAGCGAATGGTGTGGTTTGGCGTGGTTTGGTGGGTTGGGGCAAAGGTTTAACATCCATAAGCTGGCTATGGCCCAAGACGTGTTGTGAAGAGTCAACAAAATTCGTCATTTTCAATGGTTTATCCCAGCTAGTCCGTTTCAGGCACCATAAAGATGTTTGCAACGTGACGTCTTGTCCAGAAGTTGGTCCAAGTATTTTTCATAGCCGGCACGTTCAAAGTGTGAGTCTTTGAGAAGCACTTGCCAAGATGAAACGTATTCCAAGATACCGCTGCAGTGCCCAATTTAGCTGAAACTGCACTGACATCGGTCACCCCCGCACTCGGAGCCGTCAGATGGTCCGTAGCCTCAGCGCTTTGGTAGCCGAGACGCATCGAGACGCCGAACCTGCCGAACCCGCCACGCATCGCAACACACAGCATTCGCTGCCAGGGTGTGGATGAGTCCTCCCCGAAGACGGCGAGGACCAACAAGACTAATAAGACCTACAAGACCTACGACGCTCCTTGACTCAGGTTGTTTACAGAAAACAACTTCCAGCACATTAAGTACTGCAGTGAATGCTCCTGAATCCATCTATGATCGTATGCGGTTTCTGTCGAAGCTTCATGTTGCATCCGTTCGGTTGCAGATCACCGGTGACCCAAGGCCAGCCAAGCCACAGATCCCACACCCAATTTGGAGGACGGGGGCGGACGCGGTTGGGAAAGCCATTTAGAAGGTCACAGGTCAATAGCCGATGCCCCGGAACCAGCCAGTCCAACTCTTGAGGACAATGCGCAATCAAACGAGGTCAACATTGGTTCGTTCTCACCCTGCGCCAGTCGTGGGCCGCGCTTCGGCCCTCCGGTTTCGGGTGTCGAGCTCGCCATAGGAAGCACGGAAGCACTTGATCCACACCAGTGCAACGACACGTGCGCCCGAGCGCCTCACGAGCGCCTCGTGGAGAAGTCGGTCGAAACGAAGTGGATCGAGACGCATTTGACTCGAGATGCGTTTGGGGAGATGAGTTGTGTGTTTGGTGCAGAGAATGGGGTGAATCCTTCTGGTCCAAAACACATGACCTGAACGTTTTGATAGAAAATGATATAAACAACAACATCTAAACATCCGTGCCCTTGAAAAGCTTTGGTGTCTTAAATCATCCTAAATCAATCGCCATGTTAAAACTGAGCCTGCGAGCACATCAACTTCCCGAGTCTTTTGTGGAGTAGCACAGTAACTTCAACGAAGTGCTTCCTAATTGAGTTTGAAAAGGCCTGTGGACACAAAGAGGATCAAAGAGGCGAGAAGTAGGGTTTAGGGTTTAGGGTTTCGAGGTTTAGACACTTCCCAGACACTTCCATGGGTTTTTCCAGACACTTTGAGCCGCTCCCAGTGGTCACCTGACCGCAGATCATCAATGGCTGAGCCCTCTCTGGACGCCCACCTATCGCCTCAGTGAAATAGGTGCCATTGGGCGTTCTGTTTGATCATGTTGGCAAGAGGGAAACAAGCCTGCCATACAGCCATATGTTGCGATATTCTAGAGGCTTGATTTGAATGGTTGCATTCAATTTCTCCAGCTGGTGGCTGTGTTTGCAGGGTTTGAAGTGCTTTGGCAGCACATGCATTCCAAGAAGCATTCTGGCTGTGTGCATTCCCAAGTCACAGAGTGTCACTCCGAGACTCAGCACACTCTATGTCGTTCGGATGGTGAGTTGACTGTCAGGTGGGACGGGAACAGAGCTGTACTTTAGAACCTTGAGGCCGTGCTTTCTCGCCACCGGAAGCCGTGTCGTCGCCTGGATTTCTGAAGGGATCGATCGAGATGAAAAGCCAAATGGGTCGGGGGGGGTCGGTGGGTGAAACACATCACTTGCGACAGTGCTGGACATGTGTAGCCAAAACGCTACGAACGGGTGGCATCGCTACCAGTAACAAGGACGCTACGAACGGGGCTCCTGGCATTGCTACCTCGTGAATCTTCGACTCTGCAGACCCACCAAGCATGTCAAGCGTCAGGAACTTGGCATTCATCTTCGCGTATATGGTGCGGAGTCCTGATTCTACACGACGCTGACGTCCGAGAGGTGCTACAGGGTTCTACCAGAGACCTATATGTTTGGATTGGTTGCCGCAAGAATGATTCTTTCGAGGTTTAGTGTCCCTTGAGACTCTTGGCTAAAAACCTCCTTGTCTGCGATATCCCTGAACCAACCGGTTTTTCGCACGCACGCATCGCCGCACGCCACTGCCCTAGCCCCTGGCTTCTGACCCTCTCTCCCGAGGCTGGGATCACTGGGCCCTTGTTGGCTTTCTGCTGGTTGGGGACCTTCGGCCCTGACACCGGTCAGGCACCAGACGACGGTGATACAAGGAAGACGTTTGGTTGGTTGCACGTTTTAATTGAGTCAGGGAGCAAGCCAGTGACAATGCCCTCCAACCTAATTTGAAGATATGTTTTCCAATCTATTCAACTATACGAAAACGCTTACTGAGTGTAACCACGAAGTGGCGTAAGTTGTCCAGCTCTGTTGACTGCACTTTCTGTACCGTGGTGGCAGAGCTTTGTCGGCATTGTTCTTAAGTCTTAAGCCATTCCGTTCCAGGCAGACAGAGCGGCTAAAGAATCCCTGCAAAATGGTCCTGCACATGGGAGATCCTTTCATTGCGGACTGCTGATTGACGAGCAGTATTGACCCTTTGTATCGTACATCACAACATTGTGTCGATTGGTTGAACAGTTGTTCGGAGCTCTTGATTCTAGCCCTTAGCTACAAGCTATACGTTTAGGCGACAGAAAGGGCCATGGCAGATTGTGAACCGATGGCCGACCCGATGGCCGCGAGTTCTTGCTGAAGACCACGATTGGTAACTTGGGCCCTGGGCCTCAGCAATTCCGGAGAGATCATGTGATGTACTTTAAGAAGAGAGCCAATGTGAAGCAAACTGACAGAGCTTCCCAATTCAGTTCCTGGGAGCATGAATCCATCTGAATCCATCCTCCTTTCGGATATCGACCAGGCGAGTACGTCGAGGCAGATGTCATTGATCCCTGGAGTAGGGCAGCCCAGATTGGCTCCATGCGCCTCATGGTTTACCTGCCGGGCTCTGGTCCAGACCCTCATGGATGAAAGAACCCCCACGGCCGAAAGCAACGGAGCCACTGCGCCTCTCGATGTGATGGACGTGTTCGTTTTTTCCCGTCTCAGACATGCCGGGATTGGCCTGGGTTTTACAGGGTGGCTCAGAGACATCCGTTGTGTTCGACAGGTTTTTGAGACCATTCACCTGTGGTTGGGAGACGGGGTTCCTTCTGTGAAGGGAGTGATATGGCTGTGAGATGGTCACAAAAATCACAGACCTCATATCGTAGCTGAACATCTCCCAGACTTGGTTCTGCTCTATACGGAACATCTTCCCATGAAGAAACATATGGGTGTGGTCCCAGGACTTAGGCATGGCGGCTTTTACTCACAAGAAATCGCATTCGCGCCACACGTCATTCGCGCCCAGATCGAGTTGTACGTTTGGGGTGCGAAGGTGCCACCCGTGGATCGTCGACATTGTTCGACTAAGACTTCGATTGTGTTTTCGTTCGACCACCTTACACGACCTTTGTTTTTTGCTGGAAAATGCTGTTGATTTAAGACCTTGAAACGCAGGATCCGCAGGATTGGTTTGTTTTCTGTTGTTTCTGCTCTCCCTGTTGGGAGCTTCGCTGTAGCTCGGAGAGTTGCCAAAGACTCATGCGGACTTGGGAGGCATGGAGTTGGTGAAGCTCACGGGGATCTTTGGTCGAATCACCCAGCGGTCGGCGGTCGGTGCGCAGGGCTGTCGGGCTTGTTGCGGCCGTGGGGAGAACAGGTTAGGTTGAGACATGTTGAGACTGTTGAGAGACAATCATGCCTGCTTAAGGAAAACTTAAGAGGACCGAATGGTGGAAGAACCACCTGGAGGTGAGTCCATTAGAGTCTAAATACATTAAATATTGCTAATTGTTACACCCGCCATGGTTCCTTCAGTCTTCATAGGTTTTCCACGGAGCCTACTATGACATTAGTATGGATTTTCAATTGTCAGGAGAGTCAAAGTATCTACGAGGAGACCTCATGTTGGGTTCTCCCATCATCCGACCTCGTGTTTGGAACTCGCTTCCCACTGAGGTTGGCTCGACTTCTCGGCAGTCATTGTCTTTTTGATCTATCTCATTTGGGCTCGCTTCTATCAGATCCCCAGGCCAGACAGATGAGTGTATGAGCTTTGCCGATGTTCGGCGCATTCGAAGATGTAGAACACCTGGAAACATGGAACAGCACCGAGACGGACATTCTTTGGGAGTACAAGACATGTCGGAGCACAGGTTTACTCAATGGTAAATCAGAGCATCACTGCAAGCCACTGTTCGGCGAAACCAGATCCAACACTTTGGACATTGGGGGGAAACGTGCAAAATGACGGGTTACATTTGGGAGAACCCCTTGAGTTTTCAGGCAAGTCAGTACAAGAAGAAAGTTCCAAAACGTTTGTTGTACTCAACTTGTTGTACTGACTTGCCTGAAATCTCAAGGGGTTCTCCCAAATGTCACCCTTGTTGCTGTTCTTCACGCATTGAGGGCCTTGCTGGACGCGTGATCTGCACCGAGTCTAGACGAACTCGCGGTGAACTCGCTGCCGAGGATGGCAGAAGCGGATGACTTGGAACAAGTCACGTGGGGAGCCTTGGAAGAGTTGAAGATGCCAAGGTTCATTCAAAGGGGTTGGGTGTCTTGCTTCACATTGTTGCGGTGTGACCACTGTTTCAGCATTTTGAAATATTTGAACAAATAACAAACACACCAATCCAATCACCTATCCATCAGTCTTGTCAAGTGGTGGGTGTCACTAATCTGTGACATTATATAATATCATAGAATATCAACTATTCATATCAGATCAATTCAGATCATAATCAGTCTTTCTGCATATCGCATCCTCGACGGTCGACGGTGGGCTTCGCTTGGTGATCCGCGGATCGGGGCCTTTGCGCATGTGCGGCACCTCGTGGCGAGGCCGAAAGACTATGCGTTGACCATCGAAAGTCTGCCTGGAGCCCAGTCTGCCTGTCACTGAAGTCATTTGGTACTCTTAGGTCCTGTAGGTGGTTGGTAGTGCTTTGGAGGTATGCCTTGATTGTAATACCTTATGCAATTTGTGCACATGCATCAAAGAGAGCATCCAAAAATGGGAATCAATTCCGTTGTGTGGTACGTTTGTGGTGCGGTTTCGAAAGATGGGCGTTTGGAGTTGCAGGCCTGCCACCATCCCCAACCAGCAAGAATACGAGCAGCACGGATCCTCAGACCCGAGATTTGGTGCTTTTGATCATCACAAACAATAGATTGCTTATATATCCGAGTTGGCACAAAGCTAGAAGGAGCTTATGTAGCTACATGGGAGCTTGTATTAAAGGCATCAATTTGTGAAAACGAGACTCTGGAATCACATGCAGATGTGACATGCTCCCATTTTTCGTCGCCATATGTTGCCATGCTTCACCTGCACAGTGCCTATACTTTCCTCGCGAGAGGGTTGTTGCTGGAAGCATGTCTGATCCCACAGCGACTGACGGCGTGAGGAGTTTCACATGTTTTGAGAGGCATCGACATACCTCCGAATACCTCCGGTGTCGTGATGTTGTCCGGAGGGTGATGCGACCTTCAAAGTCCCCTTGGTCCAATTGGTTTTAAGCGGCCCGACGAGTAGCCTGAACATGTTGCAAGCCACTACCCTCCAACAAACCACTTCGTACCACTTCGTGGCCAAAAAAAGGAAAGATGGACGCTCGGACTCGGAGGGCGTCTGACGCGGAATTCTTCGCTCTGACGCGGAATTCCTGAATTCTTCAAGGCGCTTGGAGCAACATTTGCTGGAACGCCTTCGATACACACGAGGCACCCGATGAGAGGGTTACGGTTTGGGCATCTTCAGAATCCGCATGGGGTTCGCTGTCTTCACAAAATTGTGTGTACCCTTGGGTCGGGAGCTGGATTTCTCGCTGTTGTTTTTTTACTGACTGCGAGTATCCGGAAGTCAAATCCAGTAACCGCTCGCTCTGCACCTTAAATTTGATCTTGCTTTGTGCTTTGGTAGATGATTGGAAATTATTAGGTGTTTTCCCAAACAGTGTGCCTCAAATTCTGAGAAGCTTCAGAATGGATCCCTCAAAGCAGTTTTGTTTGGAATCCACTCAAGAAAAGTAGTGAAAAGAGGACGGGCATCGCTACTAGGAGCAAGAAGCTACTAGTAGCTCCTGGCATTACTACTAGTAACAAGAAACTACTAGTAGCTTCTTGCTACTAGTAGTAATGCCCGGAATGAGTCAAGCCTGTACCTTTGGGGATCAGGCCGCCGGCCTTCGCCCTGGGAGCTGCCAGAACCCTCGGTGCGGATGCTTTTTGGGGCCAGAGTTGTCGTGCGCTACGTTTTAAACAGGAGATGGACGAAGTGCTGCTTATTTGCATTGTTTTTACATATCATTTCCGAAGGTTGGAGGCCATCACTAGTGGGTTGGAGGCCATCGCTTCTAGGTTGGCAGTGTGTTTTGTTGGCCGGAACGTTTATATCCCACCTTGAACTTAACATTGCTCACTTCGATCCATTCGACGGAAGGCTTCTAGCTGATCAGAGTGCAGCAAGCTTCGTTGGGAGAATGTGGTAGAAGGTTACATGTTTTGACTCAATACATTGAAGAGTGTCCTCAGAGACTCCAAAGAATGTTGTTTATTTTGACTCCAATCCATATCATACACCAATGATGGGTGCTAACGATCATGCTTGCCGTCCAGATTGAAGAGATCGTCCTGGTCCGCGACTACAAAGGAAGGTGCCGCACTGCTTGCTCCGCAGAAAACGGACATACACCGAACTCATCAATGGAAGATCCCTGAGGCCACAGCTATTCCGATTGAAGACACAGCTATTGAACAAACCGCGGGAGAACTCGTGCTTTTTGACGACACGTTTCGACTCTTTTCACTTTAACCCACTCACCGAGTCAGCCGAGTCGGCCGATGATGTACCGGTGGCCTTTCTCAAGTGAAGGCTTCATGAACTGACGGAGCGTGCCAAGCTGGAGATCAGTCGGAGGAACTCAGATGGGGAGGAACTTAGTCTTGATGGGGAGGAACTCACTGGAGGATTGGTGAAAGAAAGGCTCAAGTCTGTGTCTTGCTTGAGCATATTCAAGAGGCTCTTCAGCAACATATGCACAAGGGCCGCGCAATCAAGGCTCTTTCCGCGCAAACACTGTTCTGCAAGAAAAAAGAAACTTTCCGCACCTACTTTCCGAACATTTGCAAAGTATTTTTCAATAGCTTCAAGATGTTTATGACATAAACTTTATATTTGAAGACCTTGCTGAAAAATAAATTGAAAATTGATTCAACAAGTTCTTAGTTGACAAAAAATGCTTGCTTATATAAACAATCGTTACGGTTTTAGGTATGATGTGGTCACGTGGATGTACAAACCCACGAGACCTTTTTGAATACAACCAAGGTATTGCAAAATATGCAGTTCAACCTGTTCGAAAGAAGATCCTACACTCGGTTAACTTTTTGAGCAGTGATTAAATTGGGTGTTGTAGTAACCCGATAAATTGCTATGGTTTGCTCTGGATTTGCATTGCAAGTGTGCAGTAAGCATGAGGTTTCCATATTCTTCAGTTGGTGCCTTGGACGGAGGTAAACCACCCCAATAAACCTATTTTGTGTGGAGCCTCATGTGTGCTGCATTTGGTCACCGCGAAACACATGGAACGAAACGCATGACACGCGGGCCGGGCAAATGAAACACGTCATAGGCATGATACAGTGAAAGATTTCGACCCCATTTTGGACTGGGTCTTCGAGATTAATTTGCTGAGTAAATCGAATTCACATCTGTCGCTGACCCCGGATCACGGCCTTCCGCTGACGGCACCGATGTTGCGTCAACACCGAGGTGTTGGCATCGCGAAGGCTCATGCAAAGGGGAAGCTCGGGTGACACAGATGTGACTTTGGGCGCCATCGGAGTGAAACGTGTGGATGAACTTGAGCTCTTCTCGACTGGATGAAGGCCGTCTGTGCAACATGTCTTCGCTTCATTGTCCGATTTGTGTCACATGTGTCACTTCTGCCAAGGCCAAGCAAAAGCGTCGACAAGCTGGAGGCAAAGTTGGCGATCCTCGGATCTGCAAAAGGAGGCTTCCAGCAGTGACTCTGAAGCTGCAGAGTCACTGGATTTCCATTATATATTAATACTTCAAAGATCTTCAAAGGGCAATTAGTGCTTCAAACATGGTTTTTATCCTATTACATAAATCCACTCAACAAGGATCTCGAGGAAGTCAAAGCCGCTGTGATACACTCGGACCAAAGTTTTCCAGCATTGCTGAGTTGACATAAGCATACGGCTGCCCACCAGATGGTGAGGACGGCAGATGACATATCGACATGACCGCTTATGACCGTATTGATGCTAGGGGCACAAAGACCCAAACACATGGCCTCCACTCTAGTGGCGATAGCCTCCACCCTAGTAGCGATGGCCTCCAGCCTAGCAGCGATGGCCTCCAACCTAGTAGCGATGGCCTCCACCCGATTTGAGCTTCACAAGGCCCAAACATGCTTTCAGCTTTGCTTCAACGGCCCAAACGACTGGCGCCGAGGAAGCTCAACGAGAAGTTGGCATCGAAGTTGGACGGTGAAGATCTCCTGCCAGTTGCACCTTGACAAACACAGCGTGAGAAGCGACAAAACTAAACAGTGTTCCTTCTTGGGTGCAGCATGGCATGGTTAGCAGTTAATGTCAGGTCTAAGTGAAATTGACTCAATGTTTCGATGGCGAGGTGCGAGCGTACGTCATTCTGAGCAACACGGAGGATGTGGGGCGCCAAGGACCGTGGCATTTTTGTCGCCAGAATTCCGCCCAACTCCTTGGGAAGACAGAGGGCGGAACATAGAGTTGAGGGACTTGTGTTCGAACATGTAAAGAAGCTTGGGCAATGGAAAGATAAAGTAATCATTGTAGTTCTCCGTTCTAGGAGGAACTGGAACCCTGACCTCCAAAACTAGGGGGTTGCCTGAGCTTCAGGCCTTGAAGCTCTCAGTTGCTAACGACTTATATACTTTTGGGATGTAGTGTTTTCGCCCAGAATGGTCCATTTCTTGGGCGCAGCTGGCCAACATGAAGCTCAGGTCCAGAATCTCTTGTTCGATTATCGTCCGAGTACCCAGAGCTTCATTTCTGCATTTGTTTGTATTGTTTTGTTACTGTCCAAAAACTCGTTGTCCAACTATTCTGATTGGACGGCTATTCTTCCTTTCACCCATACCCTGACTAGAGCACACGTTGCACACCAGTATTCACATTCATTCGTCACAACAAAGCAGTGGTCATGACAGATCGGTGTTCCAAAGTTGGGGTCCATTTTTCCATCACAGGCCGACAGCTATTAGTAACAAAAGCTATTTAACAAAAAGGCCGTAGATGGAGGATCCGGAGTTCGGCCGATCCGTCGAGACGAGTCTCGAAGGCTTTGCGAAGTACAAGCTCTTCCGCTGCTGCCAATTCCGCTCTCGGCGTTTCGAAGGCGGGTCGTCCAAAAAGGAGCAGTAACAAGTGCCTTACTAGTAGTAACAAGAAGCTAGCAGAAACAAGTGCCACGCTACTAGTAACAAGTGCCTTACTAGTAGTAACAAGAAGCTAGTAGGACAACCGGTGAGATGAACAGGGTGAGATGGGTGACGTTTCCAGGCCCCAGCTGTAGAGTCGAAATCAACTTTGTGGCGTTGCACCAAGTTGTTAACTGTAGATCCCTACTGTAGATCCCTCCGTTTCAACATCCTTCTACAACGGCGAAGCTCATACATCTTACACACCATGTTTGTTTCACACATTTTCCTAAGATCGAAAGCCAATCCAACAGACAAGTCCAAGGTCTCACCGTTTCCACCACCTCCGTTTTCCACCATCTCCCATCGGCAGGTACTGCGATTCGTGTGACCCGGGCGCCTCAGCCCACAGACATCATTTGGGAGAACCAGGCACCATATCCGGTGGGAGGCGGATGGAGAATGCCCCTCGTGAGAATCATCTTCGGTCCCAGTTGCTCACTTTGAAGTGTCGAGAATTCGGCAAAGTGGAGAATTCGGTTCCGGTGAGCATGTGTTTTGATTTCATTTTTCCGGACGCGCGCAAGTCGCGAAAGTATACTACTTGGATGCGTTCCTCTTGAGCGGGCCTAGACCATTCGAGAATTCTGGACGGACAATTTCTTGGAGAACACTCCTGTAAGTAGGCATTGTCTCACCCAGTTGTACGTAGTTTACGAAGCAAGATTTGATCGCCAGAAGATGCTGGACATGCAGATACATTCGCACTAGGTGGGTTCCACAGCTGTGTTTCTTTGGTTTTATTTGTCTCTGACCTCTCAACCCGATGATGCTGACGGAACCCGCCCTCCACAAGGACATCGGATTCTACAATCGCTTGCTCCGTCAAATAGCGGTGTTGCTTGGATGAGACAGCAGTGCCTCAAGCAGAAATGCAAGGTTCAGGCAAGCAATGAGGACATGCTAGTATAGTATACCCACGCATACTCACAAATCTCGCATCCAACCTCATTCAACGCATCAAGCTTTGACTGTGAAGCAGCAAAGAAGGAAAACATGTTTACTGAATGAGTCCGGGCATTGGCAGTCATCGGCCAGCATGCACCCCGACAGACCGTTGGGTCAATAAAACGGACAGCACAAGATGACCGACGGCTGCCGTTTGTCCCCTTTTAAGTATATATCTTGGGCGAATGCTTGGCAAAATCTTGGCACAACTCACCTTGAGGGCGTCGGCTGATATCATCTGATGACTGGCTGCCTATTTGAGGTTCTTGATTTTCTTCATCATCCTGTCAATCTCGTGGGGGCGCCAAGTAAGCAAACGCAATGACATCAGACGCAAAAGGGGGGGCCGCGAAAGCCGCCGGGAAAGGGGCGCAGGGAATTCGTTTGGATCCTTGGGGTTTCCTGCGATCCGGTGATTCGGAATGGTTTTCGGAACCAGCTCTCAGACTGTCCTCCAATTGAATGGTGACTGCTTGTTTCGTCAGAGTTGGTCTCAGAACCCGTACCACCTGGCTTAAGTTATACATCCTCGATATCTATTTCCAACAATCGATATCTCGGTGTTGCCAGGATCGCGTTCATCTACCTGACCACGGTGGCCAGCAAAGCCACCTCGAAGACACAGTGCGGGGACGAAGACACAGCGCGAGCGACGGGCCACTGATGGGCCGTCCATCACAGGACAATTCAGATCCAGAGATGACCTGGTTCAAGGGCATTTGGAGCATTGGGCAGTTGCAGTTGATTAGCGCCCCTTAGTGAAGTCGAGGCTCAAAGAAAGATCATCGTGCTTCAGCGTGCCTTGCTTAGGAGGATCAATTGGCATACCAAATGGCCAAGTAGCCCCACAGCCTCGCACTGTCTCTGCATGAATCCAGTGGCTGGTGGGGCCTTCACAGATACATAATCTATAAACATCAAGAACCACCCAGCCGCTGAAAGGGACCCCTCCCAGCCACCGTCTTTACAAACGTGCCCGTGGATCCTTCCGGTGGATCCTTCCAAACGCACCTGCCCCAGGGTGAGCTACTTGGGCGTTCCGGAGTGCGACCCTGTGGATCAGATCGTTGACCTGGAAGGGTTGGGGCTCCCGTGATGTCGAGAAGGGAGATGAGATGAGAGATGAGAGATGCAAAGCAAAGATGGTCATTTCGCTACAACGCGCTACAAAGGTTTTTTTTGTTTTTGCAGCAATTTTTGATGCATTTTTCTTATGCACATGCATGAAAGAGCTTTGAAGTTTGGTATATCTCCCCTCGAATCGGCCTTTTGATGTTGAGGGGAAGTGAAAGTCGAAGCTCGCGCTCTGCTCTTTTCCAAGAAGCCTTCCAAAGAATGACCGTAGCAGTTTGGGGATTTCTGAGAGTTCTCAGGAAAGAGCAGTACAAGTGCTTGGTCCAAGTTGCTGCCAACTGGACCATCGACTACGCCACATCTGAAGGCGGGCTTTCGGGTGAGTTTTGGGTATCCACGGGAGCTAAAGATCCAAAGAATCAACCTACTGGTACCACTGCGTGTGTTTTTTGGACTAGAACACATTAAACAACAACTTGTGTACACATTAAACTCCCCGCTTGAAAAGCTGGTCCGAGCTTGGAAGTCCCGAGCCTTGCGGACCAGTCGGAGGTGGTGACATCCTGAGTTGCTGGTGCACAGCACAAGGATACGAAGCTTTGATCTCCAACTCAGGTGCACGGGCGCAGTGCGCAGAGTATTCTGTGGAGTCATCCAAGAGTATCCAGCAATGGTGCTTGGATCATTAGTTGGATGTAAACACTGAACTTAGACTTGCACATATTAGGGTGTAAAAGGATGAGTCTTAAGCCTTAAGCCATTGTTTGTCCTATATGATGACAAAACTGTTGTCATCATCATTTTGATGTGAGGGCTTTTAAAGTGATCACGGCCGGCTTGTGCTAGCTTGTAAATCTGCACAGATGTGCTTGATGAAAATCTCACACCGCGCTCATGCCGCACCTGTCGTATATTTCTCCCTTCTTCTATCTCCACTCAATCGTTACTAATTTTTGGTGCTCGACTCAAGTGGCTCCAGGGAATTTAGAAGAATGTCGACATATGTCAACATGCTTGTCACCATGTCATCACTTGCTCTCCGACATTTTTCTACGTCTTTATTACATCTTTATTGCATTTCTTTCGTTTCTTTTCACCAGCCATGGCGCCCACTTGGCCTTTCCTCGCTTTCTTTGCTTCCGCTACCGCGATCTCGTGGCTGGACGACTTCGACAGGAAGCGACGAACCTGAGGGCCGGGGCCGATGCGAAAAATTATGCAACTACTCCACCAGGAGTGAAGTCGCTTCCACCAGTGGTGATCATTGAAAATGGTCTGGTTTTCTACTGACTGTAGTTTTCGATTCTTGTCCATGTTTTCAGGATCACAGTCCTAAGAGGTGCTCATTTGTTTTTGGTCCAAGATTCAAGCACGAAGACACAAGGCGCTTGCAGATCCAACGATTTTGGGACCAGAGTTTCTGCACTTGTTCTGTCTTTTGTTCTGTCTAGTTCTTCCATCTGAATTTTGGACTTTGGTGTACAGATCCCTGCAGCGCGTTTCTGGGTCCTTTGTTTGGAAGCTCCAGAAGCCGAGCTTAGCGGCGACAGGAATGGCATCGTCGCGCCCTTGGGGAAGTTAGATGATGACCTTGCCTCCAAACTTCTGGGTCAGGCAACTTGGATACTGGTGTGGGTGGAAGGTTTCTTGAGATGCTTTGGGTAGAGAAAACAAAGCAGGTCCTGAGGAGAAGAAAGATTAAAGGAAAGGTCAGAAAGGTCAACGAAAACAGAACGAAAGAAAGTCACCTATGAACCTTCCAAGTGGCGGAGTGATCCGTTTTTTTCCGTTTGAGGTGAACGTCTGGGAGCAAGAGGGCGAGGATTTGTCGAAGCAAAACAACGCCACATGGAACATGCATCTATTTTCTGAGGCTCGGCAAAAACGGCACCTCCCGTGGATTGAACGTGCATCGTATTCACCTGACATGTCTCAGACTCGGTGGTCGCTGTCATTTGCGTCACGAATCAACGCGCGGCCGAGCGGCGTGGTTGGAAGTTGGCACCAGTGGCTAAGCGATGACGAAAGGTAGACGTAAAGGCTTCATGAAGCTTCCGCCGCAACCTTCCCATATTATCATGTTCGCTAGTAGAAACAAGTGCCTCGCTAGTAGTAACAGGTGCCTTGCTAGTAGTAACAAGAAGCTATTAATCCGCGTACTGTACTAACATGTTCTACCTGGCGGGTGCTTTCGCGGTTGCTTTCCGCTCCGCTGCGCTTGTGCACCGATCCTCCCCACGGCATCGATCTGTCGAGTTGTTGTTTGTTTCCACCTCGCGCAAGGTGGTCCTGCAGGCAGCCACAGATCCCAAGGTGCTGGACGCTTGGCCTCCAATGAGAGCACTTGGTCCTCCAATGTAGAGGAAATAGCTGTGAAGATCGGTCGGAAAAGGGGAATGTGCGGAGATGGAGAACTGAAGTGTCCATTGCTTGGAACATCAAATGGTCAACTCATTTGCATTCATTTGCATTTTTGGCTCATGGGGTATAAGGTATTATATATCGGAACAAAGAAAAACTACCCCAACCCGAGAGGTGAGGGGATCTCAGATCCTCTCAGCACCTCTACCTATGGGCACCCAAACCCGAACTTCAAACTTATATAATCTGTTTTGTCCCACGAGAGATTTGTCCCCTTTGGCACGAGTTCGTGTTTTCACGACTCTGTGAACCACGTACCTTGACTGTCGCAAAGGACGCAGTTCAACAGATCGTGGGCGAAGACATTGTCCTTATGAGCACTGCGCTCTTTGCGAAGTATCCTCACAATGCCACCGGTGTTGTTGCGCCGGAATGCCGCTCATCCAAGCTTATGTGACCAGAACTATGGTGTGATTGGAGAGGTGGCGGGTGGAGAAGTAGTATAGCTAATTGTTTTTGAAAGTGCTCGCAGGCAGGAAGTTCAGTTTCCGTAAAAGTTTAGGAACCAAATGAATAGTGCGAGTGTTGGCTATCCTGCGTCCAGTTGCTAGTAGCTTAAGTAGCTACTACTTCGTTCAGTAGCCCTTACTCAGCTAGTTATAGCGGGAAAACGACGGTTCCATTTTTTTCAGGAGAGCTCCTTGTGTACTCAGATTTCGACTCTCCACAGCTTTCAGCTTAACGACTCAGGTTTAACGATCATTGGTGCGCATCAAGATCGAACATACTGGGGCATTGAGCCCGAGTCGCAGCCGGTGGTGCCCCGGAGCCGACAGGGCCGTTTGGTTGGTGGCGGAGATCGAAGAGTTATATGAGGTTATACAAAAGCTACTTACTAGGAGCAGAGGGCATCGCTACCAGGAGCAAGGACGCGACTAGGAGCGTCCTTGTTAAGTAGCGATGGATGTAGCGATGCCCTTTGATACTAGTAGCTTATTGTGTACTAGCTGTTCTAATTTATTGTTATTTCAGTCACCACATGGACAATGAGAAGTTCAAACGTTCATCGCTAATTGGCACTTTCTTCCGCTGCATACCTGGGATTGGAGCTTCCACCAAGTTCCACGGTTTGCAGGTCAGTGTTTGGGTGGCCGTTGACAACGCCACCAAAGCCCCTTGGCTATCTTTGGGTGTTTCCAGGGTTTTGAACCTTGCCTCTTTGAGATTTGATTGACATGAATTAGACCAGTTATTTTCTCAAGCAGTCAAGCTCACCCAAACGGCATTCTACCATGTTTCACTACGATCCTAGCATTGACGGTTACTTCTATAGATAGGATCAGCGAGACTTTCTAATCGTCCACATCTTGTTGATGCATGAGGGAAAGAAGACTTTCTAATCTTCTGCATCAACCCTACTAGCGATGGCCTCCAACCTAGTAGCGATGGCCTCCACCCTAGTAGCCATGGCCTCCAACCTAGTGGCGATGGCCTCCACCCTAATAGGGATGGCCTCCAACCTAGTAGCGATGCCCTCCAACCTGCTAGCGATGGCCTCCAACCTACTAGGGATGGCCTCCAACCAGCAGGGATGGCCTCCACCCTAATAGCGGTGGCCTCGAACCTAGTAGCGATGGCCCCCAACCTCCCGGCGATGGCCTCCAACCTATTGGGGATGGCCTCCAACCTAGAAGCGATGGCCTCCAACCTACTAGCAATGGCCTCCAACCTAGTAGCGGTGATAGCGTTTTGCTTGAGGAGAATGGCGCCATGCAATTCTTCCCTGGCACTCACAAGAACAAGCTGCCACATGTGATTGGTTTGGACGAGTGCTCAGCTTTGGCGGATTCTCAAGGTAACAGAGCTGCCACATAGTGCGACTTCTGCCGAACTCGGTGGAGTTTCACCACCGGTTTCTTCGGTCGCCACGGTCACCGTCATCCATCATCCTCCATCCACGGTCACCTTTTCTTTAGCATGCACTCCATGGGGGGCACTTTGTGCTCAGGCATCCCTGAAGTGCACTTGCCAAAGAATGCGATCAGCGCTGAATTGACTCTTGGCCTCTCTTTCTCGCGTGTGGTTTGTTGTGAGAACAGAAGAAGGAGAAGTAAGAAGACGACTACGACCAAATAGCTACTAGTAACAAAGGGCATCGCTACTAGGAGCAAGGATGCTATTAGTAGCTCCTGGCATTGCTACTAGGAGCAAAGACGCTACTAGTAACAAGAAGCTACTAGGAGCAAAGGGCATCGCTACTAGGAGCAAGAACGCTACTGGGGGCTCCTGGCATCGCTACTAGGAGAGACAAAAGCTATAAAAGTAAAAGCCGGTTTCCAGGCTCCTAGAGGTGGAATCCTGATGCTCCGTGAAAGATGCTTTCACGGAAAAGAGATGCGAAACCCCCAGTAGCTTCTTGCCCCTAGTAGCGATGCCAGGAGCCCCTAGTGGCGTCTTGTTCATAGTACTACGGCCAGGAGCCCCTAGTAGCGTCCTTGCTCCTAGTAGAGGTGCCCTTTGCTCCTAGTAGCGTTCTTGTGGAGGGTTGAAGCTAGTGTCTGCTGCTTTGTCAACAGCAGTTTTGAGCAAAGTTTCTATCAAGTTCCTCTCGTCGCATTCTAGTCAGTTCTTGGCACCATCACATCAAAGAGTAGCTGTTCGGAACACCTATCTGGCTTGTGCAGCTTGCTTGGGCCAAACTCATGCTCCCCCCCTTTGTGACGCGAGGAGTTCCGGTGAGTACATGATCTTCGACAGCCGCACGGCGCACGGCTCCGGGCGCAACGAGGGCGTCCTCCGGCGCGTGGGGCTGACGATGATCTACAGTCCGGCGGCCGTCCACCTGACGGACCGGTTCGGGGGGGTTCGGGGGACGCCGGTTCGGGGCACGGCGGTGCGTTGGTTCGTCATCTTGTACCGGTGATGATCCGATCGTATGGACATCAACCAGATGAGTTACAGATCGAATGGGGTACTGAAATGGAGTGTCAAGTTGAATGTCTTGTTTGGGTCTTTGCATCACAAACTGCCTGCCGAAGGAAACCAACACTGAAGAAGATTGGCGCAAGCCGTTACAAGTTCGATGCGCCGGTAGGCCAGGACCTTGAAAGTCTGCATCCAATCACCATTCAACGTTTCAATTAACGTGTCCTTTTTCTTTAAGAACTTTCTGTCTATTTCTTTCACTTGTTTGTTTGTCTTTAAACTCACACAGACTCATTGGGAGTCGGAGGATTCACGCCCCAGGCGGAATGTGTAGTCAAATCAAGCACGCAGTCGACCTGGTCGACCACTCGACCTGATCGATCAGGTCCTGTCACGAACGGGTGGAACTTTGATTCTTCAGGGCGAATACAACTGACCGCGGTGTTTCGACCATCCGAGGGGATCTTTTCATCCCACGAATCCAATACCGAACTCATCATTCCTGGTGGAGACAGCGCAGCGAAAAGAAGAGGATTACAATGATGTGTTAGCATTGTGCATCATGAAGAGATCCAATTTTGCAACTTGCGATGCTGCGATGTTGCCACCAGAGAACCTTTCCCTCCATGTGTCTGTTCAACGCGTGAGGGGATGCGTAGTTTGAAGCTCCAGGGGTTGAGACCATTTCCTTCGCCCGGCGGATGCCAAGATGCTCATATACTACAATGACACTTGGGAACATCCGTGCTGCGTTTGGCACTGGAGCTATAGCAGGGTGCCCTGAACCTTCTCAAGTTCAATATGAAATATGTGAAACCAATGTGAAACCATTGGGGACAGGTTGCTCAGCCTTTTGGTCATCAATCTGGAAGTACTTGTCGCTTCATGTCCCACCTCACTGCGTGGCAAAGTGCGAGCAAGAATGGCTCATTTACCGACGATTGAACCTGCGTTTGCACCCGTCTTTCTTGCTTTGGCGATGTTTTGCACCTGAATCCCGATAATCAATGCAACCCGAAGAGCTCAAAACGACGGGAGTTTTTTCTAAATCAAGTTATCTTTGCTTGTTTGACCTGTTCGACCTGTTACAACCCATGATGCCCTTTTTTTAAAGTCTGCGGATGGAAAGGTTCGGGGCCAGATAGGAGCTACGGTCCACCAGACGACGCAGCCGAAAAGGTCGACAAGTCGTGGTCGCGAAGGAAGACACGGAAGACGGTGAACTGTGAGTCCCTGTGAGTCACTGGAGCACGTCGGGCTTCGCACCAGACTGGGCTTCTTGTTCCGTTCGTAGCGATGCCAGGAGCCCCTCGTAGCGTTCTTACTCCTAGTAAGGCCAGTAGCTTCTTGCTCCTAGTAGACTGGTCTGGTGGTTGGACTTTAAACCAATCAGGTTGGAAGATGTCGTTCCCTGCCTACTTGGAGATTCGGTGACGCTTGAGAGCAATTGCCGCGTTGTCAAACGCGTCGCATGTGTCGCCGCGTTTGTGCCGTTGCCAGCTCTTCGCAATGCCTGTGGCCCCTGGTTTTTTAGGCGAGACTCGCGGCACGAAACACAAGCGCCAGAGACCCTTCCTTGAAGTAAGGATTTGCTCCTTGGTGTCAAAGTACTTGCATAAAGACACAACTCTAAGACTCTAAGGATGACATAAGGGGCCAGTTTGCAGGAAGTCAGCTTGGCCACTTGGAAAGGTCGAAGGACAGATGAAACAAGCATGATTTCTTCATGTTTTTCTCATGGATCCATGCATTTGCTTACGAAGATCCATGAACCGGCTCTACCCCCAAGCGGCTCTACCCATTCGCCTTAGATGTTTTCTCACTCTCTGAACGTTGCCCCAGAACTGGCGACCTCTATCGGGATTGCCACCGGCTCCTCAGTGGCACGGCGGCCCAGCATGGCAAAAAGCACCTTGCTCTAGTGACTCTAGTAGCTTCTTGCTCCTACCTGCGATGGCCTCCACCTACTACCTTCTTAATCCTTCTTATTACTAGTAGTAAGGCACCTTGCTACTGGTGGCTTCTTGCTCCATTGACCGGTAGATTCAGGCGAGACAGATGTGAGACGATGGACGATGTGACGATGGACCCTGGATGAATTGTCATAGGAAAAGGCTACTAGTTGCAATGTTCTCTACTAGGGGCTCCTGGCCTTACTACTAGGAGCAAGAAGCTACTAAGTGGAGGCCATATTCAGCTGTCATGGCCACCATTTCTCACCCTTCTCGATTGGATGAAGCCAACCGAGATCGTCACGGTGATCAACTTGATCCTTCAGCTGGTGATCACGTACCTGGTGAATGACCTCAGAAGATGCCGAGGAGAAGCGTATCGGATCTACATGAGCGTATCAGGCTCAACATGTCATGAAGGTCTTGAGCATGAATCATGCTTCGCTGTCGACAGGAACGCCGTCGTCTCTTCCTTTTTCGGCTGAGGCGGAGTTCGAACGGCCCCTGAGCCACACGGCGCTCAATAGCTCGATGATTCAAAAGGCGAGTCGAGTCTCGGAGAGTCGCCGTGTCGCTCGGGGAGACGACGGCGTGATTCGATGAACTGGGATCTTTGGCCGAAGGAGTTCAGAACTGGTTCGCATCAAACCTCTCTCAGTTTGAGCTTCAGGCGTTCTGGGCACAAACACTGAATACGGGCTTTGCTGGGGCCTTAGAAACACTCAGCAAAGGCGTGCATGGTCAGATTCCCAGGAGAGAGAAAGAACATTTTGCTCTACAAAGCCAGAGCTTTGGTTCGACTGACTTTGGCAAATTAGTGGGTGTTAGTGGCTCGTGTGCATTCACTGTGTGCCAGACTGTCACTGCTTAGCTGCTTCATGCTGCAGCAAGAATCACCGCTTTCGCTTCAGTTCTCAGGTGCTCTTTGTGGTAAACTACTTTGCCCCAGAGGCGATAGGTTTCAATCTGAACGCCAGCGTTTCACCAGAACGACGACCTGGAAAGATCCTCCAACAAACAAAGCTTTAAATGTGTGCTGCAACACAGCGAAAGTCCATGAACACAATGAACGTCCAGTCCAGGCAAGTAGTTTCATGAACGTCCCATGGTGACGAGCTCATCCACATGAACATGATGGATCATCCAACCGTCGACCGCGCGAGGCTTTGCGAAATCTGGTCTTGGCAATTCCTGGCGTAGGCCCAGGGGCCCCTGTGTACTCTGTGTCGACTCTTGTGTACTGTGTAATCTACGGAACATATTTAAAAAAAAGATACAAACTGTGCTCATTGATGATCTAATTGAGAATATGATGATGACTCTGTAGTTGACCGGAATCATTGACATCTCAAGCGTCTCCTTTTCCAACCCAGCTCCCTTGCGGCACCTGGTCGCCAGGATTCTTGCTCTTCCGCGGCCCTTTCGCAGAGATCACCCGTGGATGGTATGCCGTGGTAGGCAAACGCGGCGCCAGCGGTCGAGTTGGGCGGTACTAGTAGTAGCTTCTTGTTACTAGTAGTAAGAATGCTGCTAGTAGCGATGCCAGGAGCCCCTAGCAGCGTCCTTGCTCCTAGTACTAAGGCCAGGAGCCCCTAGTAGCTTCTTGTTACTAGTAGTAGTTAATTACATGATGGCCTCCAACCTAGCTGCTTCTTGTTTCTAGTTCAGGGTTGGGTGAGAGTGACCTGCAGCATGTCAGCTTCAGCAAGTAAAATCCTGCATTGATCATTGGAACGTGACACCATGGTGACATGGGAAGAATATGGAAGAAGAACTCAAGCCTTAAAGGGGCTTGGCATATGTATCATTTGACAGTCGACCGTCACCGTGTGAGACCGTTAGACGTGGAGCCAGGCGTCACCTTGGTGACGAACATGGTGATCAACGCCTTCGTCCCTGCCAGTGTGACCATCGCGAAGATGTTCGTCACCAGCTTCATGAGGCGAGTGAAGACCGTGAAGACCGTTTTACTCTCTCTTATTTCTTTGTTTCGATAGCGATGGCCTCCAACCTAGTAGCAATATGGCCTCCAACCTAGTAGCGATATGGCCTCCAACTACTAGTGATGGTCAACGTTTTACTCTTTCTTTTTGCAAGACACTTTATATAATGAAGACGAGTAAGATGGTCGAAGGATGACAGTGCTTCACACTGACTTGAGTTCAACTTGCCTTTTTTGTTTTCTCAAGCCCTTTTGGGGTAGGCTTAGTGGTGATTCTGGAGAAGAGGACCTGAATGTGGTTGGTTTCTCCGGTTTCTAACCAACAGAACGTTGTCCCATAGGCGGCTCAAACAATCTTCCGAACATTCAGAAAGCTCAAGCAGAATGCCGAACGGCCTCGCGGCCAATGCCGCACTGTTTTTTGATCCCAGCCCCATGGCGCCACATGCGATCTTCGCTGCCTCAGGTGTTGCAAGCGTGGACGAGTGGCACACCAGGCGGACTGGAGAACTGAAATAGCTGTTAGCAGATACCCAGCGTGGCCCGGCGAAAAGGGACGAGATGACTCTAAGTCGAGACGGATATACAGTTATAGACTGTTATACTACTATATACGATTATATACGTATCCATGAAGTATCTGAGTGTTTGCTTCTACCCCTCCTTCCAGCCGCTGCTTTGTTTTTGCTGAACAATTGAACCACATGTCCTTCTTGCCCCAGGCAGAACTTATCGAGCTTTACACCAACCCGGAGTTCGACATTAAACAGAAGTGAGCCACCAGGAGTTTGCCACCGTCGCAGTTGACCGGTTTGAAACCCCTAACGTCCTGGCACGGAGATCCCTGAAGTGCACCAGAAGACTTCCAAACTTGCATCTCCATCCTGGAAACATTCTCTGATATCTTTCTTTTTCAATCGATTGCTGGCTGTGAATTTTATGAATTCCGCTTCCAAATTCTTTCCAAGTTCCTTAAAGATCTTTCAACAGCGGTGACAGAAGCGCTATCCAGACCAGTGAGAGGTACGCCCAGCTGCTCACCACCATTTTTGTGACGGTGCCGGAGCGCCCAGTGGAGCCGTCGCCACGTCGCGGGGTACTGACCACGGCCGACTCCAGGCCCGAAGCGCCCTGCGGTGTGGAGTGCAGTCGTGGTTGACCCACACGAAAGACTAGATCACAAATACTCTCAAATAGCCCGACAGCAACTTGGCCAATTGACGGCTGTCCGTGGACTTGGACCTCACCAACCCAAGAACCAAAATCGTGACGAGAAATTTTGGTTGGAGGCCAGCGCTATCGCTTCTAGGGTTGATAGCCATCGCTGTTAGGTTGAAGGCCACAGGCCATAGCTATGATGAGTCTCAGTCACAGTATACGACTCTAAATGTTGTTTTCTTTTGGTTGTTACTGATTCTTGTCACCTTTCTGAAAGCCCTGATGACACCTTTTGTGTACCGCCCCCCCGCACCCGGATATACGGCCCGCTGAGGATATACGGCTCTGGTTTGCCGCTTCTCTACTTCTTGGCTGCGGTCTTCATGTTCATGCAGTTTCCTGGGCAGTATCTGTGGTCAGATGGGTTCAGTTGTGCACAGCCGCTCAGTCTCCCATTGTTTGAACCACTTGGCATATTTCCCAAGTCTCGATATAGACCAGGAGCACTCAACAGACTCGAGGAGCATTCGACGCATGAACTTCCAGTCCACCCAAGTCGTGACGTATTGTGTTGTCTCCACACTCGATTAGATTGGGCGTATTTACCCACCGGAAGCTGTCAGCATTAGCAAATTTGAGAAAAGAAGGCGGTCAGCCGGTTTCAGGGCACCAAACCGTGAGCTGATTCGAACCGCGAAAACATTCACCATGGAACTTGTCTCGCAGACTGTTAACCTCAGGTTTTGGGCTGACAAGTACAATTTGCTTTGGGGCTCGCGAAGGTGCAAACTGCTCACGCTGGGACCGGGGTGCACGATTGTCCACCAGCTGGACTAGTAGGACCTTCTTGTTTTGATGGGAGTGCAGTCAGTGAAATATCTTCAATAGTTCCAACAGAACAACAGACAAGACAAACAGAAAGGAAGGAGGGCTGAAGAGATCTCGTTTGTGAAAGTCTTTGATTTGGTTTTGTGAGACCATCGCTATTAGGTTGGAGGCCATCGTTACTAGGGTGGAGGCCATCGCCAGTAGCTTGCTTTTGCTATTGGCTTGGAGGCTACGGCTTACCTTTGAGGTTACTTGCGTGCTTGCAAGGCCACCTGCTTATGATACCAAGATGGCCAAAGAAGCAATCGATAGCATGTTCTACGTGGGGCTGCTCAGACAGTCTTCTCTAGTCTAGTGCAAATTGTGTGACAACGTCCAGCAGCAAGCAGCAGCGAGTGAACTAGACGGATTTGGAAGTGCTCACCAAATCAAAACCCTCTATGCAAGGACGCTACTAGGGGCTCCTGGCATCGCTACTAGTAGCAAGAAGCTACTAGGGGCTCCTGGCCGTACTACTAGAAGCAAGGACGCTACGAACGGGGCTCCTGGCATCGCACTGACCATCACGTGTCGTGTTTCACCCCACGTGCCTCTCAATATGGGGTGTACCGGTGTTCAGGGCTCCAAACGATGTGTTCTTTCAGACAATGTCCGATGGCTTGCTTGGGATTCTCTTCGACACCGAGGACAGGACCTTTCATAGAGAAAATCGCAAATAGGAAGATTCGCAGTGAATTCACGCGACATCATGGAACTGCACCAAGTCCTGGTCCTCCAAGCACCTTGTTACTACTAGTAAGGCACCTGTTACTACTAGTGTGGCACCTGTTACTACTAGCGTGGCACTTGTTTCTCATAGCTTCTTGTTACTATCATGGAACTGCACCAAGTCCTGGTCCTCCAAGCACCTTGTGCCGCTTGAAAGACAAATTCACAAGGCATGACTCATGACTCGGCATTTTCTCATCAAGCACATTCAAGCACTAACATCTTGGTCGCGATCGCCTCCCTACTGACTTCCTAATTGGCATTTGCATGCATCTGCCCTGTAGCGCCACAAGGTGATATTGTTGAAGGCAGGCATAGAGGCTTACGAAACAGGAGTGCCTGAAGATCAGGACCCGAGAGATACCGAGCTCGTGTGTTTGGTCGCTGAGGCGATACCTTTCCACTGTATCCTGGCCATTCTCATGCCGTGACCACAGAGTTTGGTATGCATCGGATGTCACTGCGATGGACTGTCTATCCACTCGTGGAGTTGTTTCGTTTTTCTTGGCAGAAAGACCTCTTTCTCGTGGAATACACCGGACCCCATACGCTCTCCCGGTATGATGAAGACTTACCGAAGTGGGACGGGGGGCACTTGAAGATGTTTGAGGGGGCAGACGGTCTCGCAGGAGACTTCCTCGTTCCACAATCCAGCCTTCGTCTCAGATGGGGCCCCTGGGGGACCTGTCGGAACCGGTCGGAACCGGTCGGAACCACACCTCTCGTCGTCTCCTTCAGGTTTGGACAAACCTGCGTCTTTCCCTCCGACCCGATCGGAGGCGGCGGCGAGAAAGTCAACAAAAAAAGAAGTAAAAGAAACGAGTGATCCAGTGATCCAGCAGCTCTTGAATTCTGGCTTGCTCATGCTGGAACATTCGTGTTGCAGCTCTTGAATACTCACAATCTGTGAACGTTTTGAACCTTGCGCCTTTGAAGCGGAACCGGAACTTCTAAATGGAGATGACTTGTCGATGAAAAGCTCTGAAGCGTCGAGGAGACTTGGGAGACTTGGCCAATCAGGCGGAACGGGCGCGTGTGGGCGTTGAAGAATGTGACATGTTCAATCAGAAAGACTCAATTCATCTCGATTCATGTGATTCTTAAATTCTGAAAGCCATCCAAACACCCTTGCCCTTATGAACTGCAAGACCTTGCGTCCTAGCCCTTTTGGGCGGACGACGTGGCTTTTGCTGAACCGCCATAGAACTCTATCGAAAGACACGTCGTTAGCCTTGAAAAAGGGCCTCTCAGTTTGATCTCGCCAGGGCGCCAGCGAGAGCCCCGGGATGTTGGCCCAGTTCTTCCCACAGTTCACCCGAGAGCCTCTCGGCGCCAGATCAGCTGTGACAACCCTTTTTCACCCGTCGCATGTTTGGATATCGTTTTTGCACACTTTTTCTAAACGTGGCATACGCAGTGTACACTTCAACAGGCTTCAGTACTGAAACAAAGCAGATGCAGTCAGCTACAAGAAAGCACCTAGCTGTGTTAGCCTATGAGACTCCAAACGAGGTTGCTGAAGGCGTTGGACCTCATTATTTCGGCTTTGCTTAGATGTTCATTTCCGTTTGGGAATGAAGTAACAAGAGGTTGTTGTCTGCACTGTGACTAGTGGGACTCGTGCCTGGACCAAAGTACCAGTAAGCCGTTTGAGACGAGCTCCCATTTGACCGTCCGACCTCTACGGCATGCAGAGACGCATCTGCGTCTATGTGACGAAGTTTGTGTTGTGCCCAGGAAGAACCCCCATCGTTTGCATGTTGCATGGCTCTGACCACATTTTTCAGGTCCACGTGGATGTTTGTCATTCTTCTGGCCCTGCTCATAGTGCTGTGGGTCAGCGCCCTAGTCGAGTCGTGTCGAGTCGATCCTTGATTCCGTGCTTCGGATCTTGCACATGGGGCCGTCCAGTGTGTCTAAAGGTCGAAAGAAAGAGACAAATGAAGAAAGGCAAGCACCATTTATCAAAGTTTCAAGAAAAGAACGAACATATCTCAGTTTGGGAAAACACTTATATCAAGATCTAAAAGCGTAGGATTGCATTCTGGTTCGTCCAATGACTCCTACGTCTTTGGAAAACCAAAAGAACGGGAGAACGTTGCGGAAGATTGGCTTGATCCTTTCGAGGTCTGTCGCTTATTGGCTTGGATCATCGGTGGTGGCGTCTCCACGGCTTCAGACTTCCTGGCGCGGATCGACGTTCGCTGCCTTCACCGCTGTGGTCATTGACAGCCGCGTTTGCCACGCCATACCGATCCATACCGTCCAGATAAAAGCTCTATTTTTACCTAGGACTATAGCATCATACCATGCCTAATCATGTCAAGAGGATCCTATATATCTTCTGACGCAGATGCCCAGTGCTCTCTAGTTCCCATTGGCCAACGTGCAGAGAATCAACATCCAAAGATCATCACGAGTTGCAGATATCGCACTTCCTCCCTCTTTATGTCATGGGAGTTGAACTCCATTTCACAGGTCCTGAATACTAAGTATATTGAAACATCACCAAAGTGTCCGACCCAGTTCAAACCCTACCAACGCCTCTCCAAATCCAAATGCAAACACCTTTTGGTCAAAGTACTTTCTGAGTCAAAGGATGCCGATTTGCGCAGGTGGCTCTTTGCTGTCCCCGATGGCGCAAGCGACATCCTTAGCAAGGTTTCATATCCCGTCCGAGGTGGTCGGTCTCCTGCGATCGGTGTTTTCGCGTGTCCCAAGGAGCAAGTAGTCTTCCCATGTCTTCGCCAGAGCCACGTACTTCATCGGTGGGCCATCCATTGTGGAAAAAACGAGAGTAAGAGAACGAGATGGAGATATAGTTTGCGCATTGAGCAGCAAAAGACACATGATGATGAGACCTGATATAAAAAGACTTCAAGGAACAACTGTAAACCGTCGAACAAATACGAGCTGGTCTAATCCGACTCACTGTGCTTCGCATGATCTCTGGGTCTCAAGGTCTCAGCCATCAATGGACGAAATCAAGGCAGCTTTGAAGAAGGGGGAGCGCCAGTGTCTTGGCCAAAAGCCGATGCAGAGCTGTAGCGAACTCTACCAGATTTAGGATGTCAGGACTTATGGGTACCGGGACTATGAAATCAACACCAATCACGTTCCAGGCGGTTCGTTGTCGAGTTGAAGGTAACAACAAACGAACTAGTTAGATAGGTTGTGGTTCATGAGCGCATCAACACCTTAGAAGCAAACCAGGGGTGCTCACATCGTGAAGGAATCCTGAATCTGAACTCGAGCTATCCGAGTATCCAATTTGCCTCACCATCATCAGCGGTTTCAAGCGCGCCTCACCAGGTTCTTGCAGGGGGTTAACACAAACCAATCCTCGTACGCTTGCTGTTCCGGGGCATCCGTGAAGTCGAGGATCAATGGACACACCATCGACGTGGCTGCCAGTGGGGCATCTCAGAGGAAGACGGCCGAAGGATGCCGAAGGAATTCCCGGTGCGGCGATGCGTAGAAGTGAGAGCCAGGAAGATTGGCCTGTTACGACACTCTCGGTTCAGTTCGGTTCCGACGCTCTCGCTTCATGATACTTCGACCAGTGGAAAGTTGAGAACCTTCAGTCGCGATATCTACCGACGCCCTCCAGTCGCCTCCAGTCGCCCCGTCTTGATATCGACCGCATCGGCCGCGCCAGCCATGAACTGGGACAGAGCTTTCGGTCACATTGAGCAGACCTTCCCACCGGCGTCCTATCGGCCGCTTGGAGAAAGGCTGGTGACGGTCACTGGGTGGGGTTCTGGGTGTCGTGGGAGAGGCAATGCGGCACCAGATGAGGAACAAACACTTAGAATTGTATCCAGGTGTTACAGGAGGTCTATGTGTTGGGCAAGCAGTGGTTTCTCCGATTGAGAGACTGATGCTGATCAGCGAGTTCAAATGTGTTCACGCAAAAGGGTTTTGGAGGTTCTCAAACTCTGACACACACACATACACACATCAAGCTCATTCAAGCTTTCTTCCTTCACATGAACTCCACACGAACCACCAGACCCATTTTCCTCCACGGTCCACAAAAAAGACCGCCCAGTTGTGCTGTGAGGTTCGAGCGGCACCCGCAGCTGAAGAGCATCGCTCATTTGTTGCGGCCCAGCTCTCCCAGCCCGGCATCCCAACGGCCGACTCCGAAACGACAGAAGCGGATATTGTGATATATTATGTATAGTAGCTTCTTGTTACTACTAGTAAGGCACTTGTTACTACTAGCGTGGCACTTGTTACTAGAAGCGGAAAAAATTGTATGCTTGGGTGCAGAAAGATACAAGTTGGGTGTCTTGGATTGCTATTATAGTTTGTTCAGTGTATTCGTCACTTTACTTGTGGGTTTCTTTTGATGTTTCTTTTTCGGGTGTCACCCCTCTTTTTTCGGCAGATTTCAGTCACACCCAAGTGGATGTTGTAAGGATTTGTGTAGATCCGATCTCAATGCGTCTTTGTCAGCACTGCAACCATGTATGAATAGGTTAAGAATAACCATGTCTTCATGCGTTGATCCATTAAAAAAACGACTTGGCGGAGTTTATTGATTGTAATCGTCTAGACTGCGGAACTTTAACCCTCGATGGGTGCTAGACGAGATCCAACTCCCAACTAGGCGATAGTGGAGAGGAGTGGTTTTTACAAAAGGTAGAGGAGGAACAAAGTTATTATGGCGCTGAGACTAGATCTCCATTGCCATCAGCATTGATCAAATCTTTGGGTTCATCGACTCTATAGCTTCTGTGAATATCGAAAAGGCAACAGAGAAACCTATAGCCTATAGCTTCTATGGCTTCGACTCTATTCCAGAAAAGCTTTGTGGGTTCAACTCGATATCCAGCTGAGCAGCGACACCACTGAGGTCGTCCCAATACATCCCGGACTGAATCTGGAGAAGGATCTACAGTACCAGAACCGGGCGAATTGGGTGAATTGTTTCACCATGTTTCATGTTTCACCCCAAACTCACTCGTCGAGACCTAACTGTTAGAGACGCAGCGAACATCTTTGCCAAACGACGCAACGAACTTCTGCACAGGGAAGATCGGTTTTGAAGATGAAGGCCCTGACGTACTCTTTAACCCCTGCAGAGCACTTGAGCAACGACACCAATTCGAAGTACCTAGCTAGCATATTAAACAACAATTCAGTTCGGCTCAAAAAATGCGATATTCCGGAACGCTCTATTATATATCTGTCTATTGTACCAAATCCATATATAGTCAATGAGAGATTGATTTTGTTACTAGTTTGGTATTGCTGCGTTGTCTCGCGGGTTGGAGGAGGCACTGCAGCGGCCTCCGGCTTGCGACCTGCAGCGGAGGCGGAGACGGTCGCACAGCAGAGCGGGATTGAAACGGATGTGTTTCAGCATTTTTCCCCGAACAAAAGAGGTGTGATAATCACTTTAACACTGGATCATCACTGGGGGTTAGCCAAGTGCAAGACCTGCGATCATTGGATTTGTAGCATTCTTGTTGCTGGTTTGCTGAGAGAAACTCTAGGAAACTTTTGGCATGAATGGTGAAGGATCATTTGGTTTGGGGTTCTTTGCAGATTGAGCAGTGTAATGCTCCTTGGCCGGCAAGATATAGACAACAACTGCGACCTGTAAATCCTGTAGGGCCATGATGTTCTTCAGTTCATGAAGTGAATTACTGTAGTTCACGAGAAACCGTTGGTCCGTTGGTCAATAAATCCCACATGGACTTGAGGTTGTTTGGACCACAAGACTTCCCTCATGGCTGCGGCATCGACACCAGAAGTATTCAAGACGAATCTTTTCTGGTAGACCGTACGGTAGGACTCTTCTCTTGTGATCCGTCAACACATATCCCCAGGTTTATTTATTTTCAAGCTTAAACCGATCTTAAAACGAACTTCTTAGCCATCTCTCACCTGGCGGTTTCCGGAGGGTACGGTACTACCCGATTCCCGCCACGAACGCCGCGCTGTGCCTCGCAGGCGAACGCATCGCCAGTGCCCGAGACGGCTGCCAGAGGCTTCCTCAAGGCGACGCCGGGGTGAGTGGTGCGTTGTTCGGTCGTGGGGCGTGTTTGATTGACTTGGCAGGCGTGAACTATTTGGGAGGGTGCAATGATCCACTTTAGTTAGGTGACATGAAATCATGTTTGCTTAAGCTTGGAACTTTGGTGCTTGGTGTAATCCTCAACAATGTCTGGTGCACCTTGAAACTGTTTTGGGTGAATCACCTTTTGGATGAACTAATTCTGCTGAAATCGTGGTTGCCTGAAGTACCAGACTGACTTGGAAGCGATTTGATTCGGGCAAAACAGCCGAACACACCAGCTGCAAAGCGGCCCGTTGACCAGACCTCTCTCGGCCAACGTTCTTCTGGACCCAAACCCCTCAAGCTGTAAAGTCACCAACGTGCCAAAACCGAACCCAGTGGTTTGCTGTGGGCACTTCCTTTACACACGTTATTAAAATAGAGGCTCTTAAGACTACCTGGTGGCGGTCAAGCTGAAAAAGCTCTTCCTCTTGTCTTCCGTGAACCAATAGTAGATCTACCAGATACTTCATCCAGCTCAGATTCTCTACTTGGCTGTGGATTGTTTAGATCGAGGCATGTCTCCAGGTGTTTTTTCGTCCGCCGAGGCCTTGGAAGCCGAGTACCTCCAGGGGACCCAAAATGCGGCTGGGGAGCCCCAGATGGCCCAGCTGATGGGCGCCAGGCATGTGGTCTGGTGATGTGCGCCGAGTGGATGAGAAAGATGAGACTCAGAGCGCTAGAAAGAAGCGAAGCATCTCCGTTTTATGAGTGATTCCATGTGCATGAACACATTCCATGTGCCTTGAGAAGCCCAAAGAACAAATCACGTGAGTCACACGAGTTGCTCGTAGAGGTGGGTGACTTCTTCAGCACCGCCGACATCGACGACTCCAAGAAGGCCACTGATGCTCACTGTCAGAAAGAGAGGGCGATCTCTCGGGCAATCGGAACATGTCGAGACCTTGGTCCAAGTCGGTTAAGAGAGATGGCCTCCAACCTAGAAGGAATAGCCTCCAACGTACGAGAGATGTTTGTTAGTGAAATCTTGTGAAGAGTTTGCACGACTCTCAATTGGAGCAAATAGAGGACACATAATATAGGAAGCATCCAGAAGCGTCTGGCTGTCGTCTCAATATGAGAAGGGCTAGGGAGGGCTATACCAGAATGGATCTCCTTCTCCAGGCTTGGACGCCATGTGGACGACACAACACATTTAGCATTGTTGTGAAGCCACCATTGAGTCTTTGAGCATCACTTGGCAGAACGCTCGCAGCAGGATGCACTGGCGAAGATCGAAGACGAGGCTCTTGGGCAATCGGGTCGGAAGAGGTTCAGTCAAGTTCAGGTGTGGCGACAAATTTTTGTTTACATGCATCTTCACGTCCACTTGTTTGCAAGCAGTTTTACATAGTTTTACCGAGGGTTGTGACATTGTCTTGATCTCTTCGAGAGGGCCGACACCCATATGCCCTCAAGACACTCGAAAGTATCTAATTAATATCTTCGTTTGCTGACTTTGACGGATTGATGAGCCACTTGTGTTCATAAGATTGTTTGGACAGAAAGGAAGCATCGAGACAATCCCGGTTTTAGGGGGTGCAGCTTCTTATTCACGTTGCGTGCCACGTTGGTCACGTGTGGGTCACGTGTGGGTCACACGTGTGGATCACGAGGTGCGGGCGTCGGAGCAGAGGGAGAAGAAGATCTCCGAGCTCCGAACTTCCTGGGGCTATCATTGAGGCACCCCATGAAGGGTTGGCCGATGCGACTGTCCTTTTTGACCTCAATAGGCCATACCCTTTTGTGGCACCTGGGTTTTCAAGTGCATTGTGCACAATGCGGGTTTCGAATGCTTGGGTAGCCACTGGGCCACTGGGCCTTCAAGATTCTTTTATATCAACCCAAATCTTGAAGATAGATTATATAGGCCTTCCTCGTTTGCGGCGACCATGACACTTGGTCAGTATGATTTCACCAAAATGGAAAGTGCCAGCCCAGTGGATCAAGCGGATGGACCCCTAATTCACCAATTCGCATGCTCGAACTTTGATCCGTCTGCCCGTCTGCCAGTTTCTGCACCTAGAAGCACATTCACATGCATGTTTGATGTATTTTTGTGTAGCTTTTCCATTCCCCAGTCATTTGTTCCGGGCAGAGGCACCGCCAGTTCACAAGAACCGGCGGAGTTTTGAAGGTTCACCACAGATGCCCAAATCCCCCGCTGTTTGGCGGGAAGATCAGTTGCAGTCGACATGAATATGCAGATGGAGGGTTTGGACATTTGCAGATGCTTTGGCAGTGATCAAATCATGGGTGGGACTGATTTTCTAGTAACATGCTTAGTATAGTACTTACTTCCAGCATCTTTTCAGATATCAAGACAAATTGTAGACGCCCCATCCTGATGTGTGACCAGATCGGCAAAAGTCTTGCCTTCTGAAACACACCACTCGCTTTTTGAGCTTCGGCTTCCACCGCGGCCCTCCGAACGACGGGCCACGCATTTGCGACGCGCGGTCGACAAAGCTTCCTCGGCGCCGACCACGAGGACCACGAGGAGGGGTAGCCGGCCTAGAGCTGGGAAGTCATGCCTGCAAAATGTGATGACCAAATTACTGGTAGGTATGGTGTGGCAAGAGAAAGATCAGGGTGAGGAAGTTTGGTATGTTTCCACTGAATTCCACTGATAAATTTAAGATATTTATTAAGTATTTTGCTTGTTTCTTGCGATTTATAACCCGAGTTGGAGACAGCTGGGCCATGTGTTGTTTTTGTTTTTTCCCTTTTGCTTGCTGCCCCTCATTTTGGAGTGTCGTTGAGCGTGAAGAACTTCGCCAAAGCGAACGCGTTCCGCACGCACCGGCACCACAGTGTGAGCAAAGATGCAAAAACACCGAGCACAGCGCTGACCGTTGCAAGAGAGGGTAATGGGAATGGACTTGTAATTTGGACACAACTGGAACTCACTCAATTGGTCATTACTGTCATTACTGTAGTGTGAACAAGCCTAATTAGTCATTCAATGTCGAAACGTGAACGCTCTCACATGGATGACAGCGACTTCATGGATGACATCCGTCCGTGTTGGCTCAGGGACTTAATTCACGTAATTCGGCTGAAGCCGGACGCTACGAACGGGGCTCCTGGCAATAGGAGCAAGAAGCCTACTAGGGGCTCCTGGCATCGCTACGAACGGAGCAAGAAGCCTACTAGTAACGAAGTCGGAGCTTTTCAGATGAAAACAGACCTGAGATGACTGAGACCCGAAAATCACCTGGATGTTGGGATCATGCGGACGCATCAGATCATTCAGCGTCGTTAACGGTCTGTAACGGTTACAACCACTTCGGAAATCACCCCCCACCCCAAACCGGGAAAACATCTTCACCAGAAGGGAATTTAACCATAGGGAAAATAGACAATCACCTTGATCTCCCAAATCTCCAGAAGTAGTTCCCAATTGTTCCCAATGGTGCGCACCAATGTACCGCCCATACTCGGCCTGTTCACGGCACGGCCGTGTGAACACGTGGGGCTGATGGTCTTTGTGCCTGTGCCGGGCGAGGTGAGGAAATCTTGGACTCTGACAGAGTGAACAACTCGCCACGAAATCTTTCGGATTGATCTTCTCTAGGTTGGAGGCCATCGCTATCAGGTTGGAGGCAATTGCTTCTAGGTTGGAGGCCATCGCTATCAGGTTGGAGGCTATGGCTATCAGGTTGGAGGCCATTCCTTCTAGGATTGCTTCTAGGTTGGAGGCCATCACTATCAGGTTGGAGGCCATTGCTTTAGGTTGGAGGCCATTGCTATCAGGTTGGAGGCCATTGCTTCTAGGTTGGAGGCCATTCCTTCGAGGTTGGAGGCCATCGCTATCAGGTTGGAGGCCATTGGAGGCAATTGCTATTATTTTGTAAATTTGCTGCTCAGCCTTGTGCTCACTTGTTCATCACTTGTTCGCCTGCCGGATTTGTTCAAGAGGCCTTGGCCCGGGATTTCCTGAAATTAGAAGCCCGCAAGGAGGATTTGGAGGCAGGCTCCATAATATAGCAGGGCGTGACGGGTCCAAGACTCTAAAGATGCTTATTCCTTTCATGGCGGAAAATTTGGATTGCTACTGTTGGTTTTGTACTCAATTCCAAGAGATCCACTCTGGCTCATGAATGAACGCAAAGATTTCCCTCAAAACTTCAAAGCAAACCAGAGCGAGATGGTATCGGCGATGACCGATTTCTCATTCGTGACATTTCAGAACCTCAGACTCAGTGGCCGCCCAAGTGGCCCCCAATTCACAACCCAAGACCGCCTTGACCCGCATACGTTTAAGCCACTTTGTTGTGTCTGCCCCAGACGTACCGTAAGCAAAAGTCAACCAGTACAAAGGAAGGCATGGGAAGACCTTGCGCCCCCTAAAAAATCGCACTCCACATGACTCAAGGCCTCAAATCACGTGTCTTTCTGGATATTTTCATCTTCCAAGTGGTTCTGATTTTGATTGCCGTTCTATAATATATATATATGGTTAGTTTAGAGCAGTTATGATGTTGTCAGTTGTCATGGCTTCTCGGCAACTTGCCAGGAAAAAAGATGGAAATTCATGGAAGAGATGCAGAACCGCCACACTGTACCATCCTTAAATCTCTACAGTTTGTTGAAGATCGCAGTGTGACATTCTTTGTTGCGTGTTATGGACAACGACAGCAGATTGAATTTTCCGTATCCAGAAGAAGTATATATATAGCTTTGATGGTCTTCAGAACAACAAGTTCTTTTGTGGATGGCTGTGAGGTTTTCCAGGTCTGCCAGCATGTTTCCTATCGAAACTGCGGGCTCTTCAGCTCAAGCGTTTCGGTTGACTGCGCCACGTAGAGTGGTCTTACACGTCTGCAGGCGTGTCACGTTTTTCTTCGTAACGTTTCTCGCGTTTTGAAGCCATGCCCTGCCAATCTCCTCCGGTCTCAGCCCTGGCCTCGTATGCGAGATCCTTGCGAACAAGATGTCCCGAGGCCGAAGCGAGTCCGATGCTCTTACCCATGTATACGGTACCAGTGAGGGATTTGCTGGACATGGCAGAAATGGAACCACACGAGGAGTTGAAGGCGAAGGGTCTCCTGGTGGTGTTTCAGCGGAGTCTGGGAAATGCAGCCTTTGTTTCACACCAGTGGGTCGGTCATGAACATCCAGATCCAGAGTTCAAGCAGATGAGGGTTTTGCAAGCAGCTCTCAAGTATGCCATGTCTTCATCTTTGAAACATATACCCTTGGATATTGTCACTGAGCTGCTTCTGCCTGGTGCCAAAGACATGCCAACTTCGGAGCTTGTGGAGAAGGATCTCTTTATTTGGTATGATTACTTCTCATGTCCTCAGTTGGAGAGGAAGCCGAAAGAAGGCGAAAGAAGTGAACTTTCTAAAGCCATCGAGAGCATCCCTGCCTATGTGGCAGCATCGGCCTTCTTCTTTGTGCTTTGTCCGGTCATCGAAAATGAACATCTCTCCAAGGTCTTTTCTCCATCCACCTGGGCCCAGCGGGGTTGGTGTCGCTTGGAAAGGGCTTGCTGCGAGCTAGGCCAAAATCAATCATGGATTATGGTCAAAGCACCCACAAGCCTAGAGCTCCTTGGGCAAGAAAAGTACTAGGAGCAAGAAGCTACTAGTAACAAAGGGCATCGCTACTAGGAGCAAGGACGCTACTAGGGGCACTCCTGGCCTTACTACTAGTAGCAAGAGGACGCTACTAGTAGCAAGAAGCTAATTGTATTGGTGGCCCAAACAGATGACCCCGGACAATCCAGGAAAAGCAGTATCCGTTTGCTGCTTTCGTTTGTGATATCGTGCAATTTGGTGATTGCAACGCTTTCAACTGTTTTGCTTGGAGCAAGCTGCTTGTACGCATCCTGAGGCTGATCTCATGTCCATCAGCATCCATGGGCAGCGGCCCCCCGGGTCAAGGAGAGTTTTCACTTGCAGAGGACCGGAAGAAAGTGGCACCAGTGTTGACCACCCTGCTGAAGCGCAAGCTCCTGCAACTCTTGCAAGCGCAAGATTTTGTGTCCTACCGTGTGCTGCTGAACCAGCAGAGTGTATACCTCAAAGGGTTAGGTCTGCACGGCTCGTGCTACAAACCAGTGCCAGGCTTTGAGGAGAAGATAACAAACTTGGAGGAAATGGACTCAACCTCATGCCTTGTTGAAGAGTTCTTGTACCAGAATGGCTTCAACACCGTTGGTCAAAGGGATGCTGGGGGATGGATGCCCTTACACTATGCTGCCCTCAGTGGGGATTCATCATTGATTCATGGCCTACTGGCCAAACGTGCCAATCCCAACTGCAAGACCACCAAAGATCAGCCTTTGGTGGGTCTGCCACCTTTGACCTCAGCGCTGTCCATCTGCGTCTTCTTCCGACACTATGAAGCGACGCAATGTTTGATCTCGGCTCGGGCCTCCCTCTCGGGCGGTTCGACGCTGTGTACTCCGCTGATTGCTGCGGTCATCGCGGACAGCGCCGAAGGGGTCCGGTTGCTGTGCCAAGCCCGGTGCGATCCCCATCGTCGCAACCTCGTAGGTGCAGCGGCCTTCGACACAGCTTGCGCGCATGGCACCATTCATGCAGTTGCCAAGCTTGGATTGAAGCCTTTTGAGATCATATTTCGTTGTGACAAATTGGCATCCCCTGCACCTCAAAACCAACTTTTTGTTGTTTTCTTCCTTTAGACGCTGCTCACACAGCACACACACACAAAACCTCTGAGTCTTTTGTTTGTTCTTTTTTTCTGACGCCGCTTACGCCTGAACACTAGAACCAAGGTTGAGGAGCTGCTGTTGCAAACCGGAGGACGTGGATTGGACATGACACTTGCCCTCAATGAATCCCTGACTCACCACGGAGGTTCAGCGGAACTGGTGAAGCGTTTGCTCGATTTGCGAGCTGACGTGAATGACCAGACCTTTACTTGGTGGAAGCCTGGCTTTGGTATGGGGCTCATTGCCATGCAAAAGAACTTGCAGCACAAATGTGGAAAGAGGACCCTGTGTAGCAAACTGATGTATCATGGTGGACATGGTGGAACGCCTTTGATGCTGGCGATGTTGACCTACCAGTACGAAGCAGCTGCGTGTCTCATTGCAGAAGGAGCACGCCTGGACTCGCGCAACTCGCGGGGATGGACCGCCAAGGACTTCGCAGCAGGACAGCCAGTGCCAGATTTTCTTCTAGAAGCTTTCGAAGGAAGCTCAGAAGGCTGTTGCAGAGTGACATCTATAGCTCTTAGGAATGCTTGTGTTGAGCTTTAGAAAACAGATGAGTTCGGCTTCTAAAAGTAGACTATACAGTAGATCATAGTCAACCGAAACGCTTATAGTTCGTGGACACGTGAGCTTCGTACCAAAGGTCAGCTTGCGGATCTCAGAATTTTTATGGAATCTTCTCCCTACTTTTTTGAGTCTAGATCTGTCTAGATGAGCTTCATCCCACCGCGAAGGCGGACGTGCACAAAATGAGAGCTTCGTCAAATCTCGTCGGCCAGGAGTTGAGAGAAACGAGGTGGTGAGCTGATGAGCAGTCGATTTGAAGCCCAAGACGAAAGGGTATCACTTGAATTGAATAGATATCAAGAGGTCCGTTGGTCTGTTTGCAAAGAAACTCTGTTTTTCTCCGATGGCTCGACACTGGCTCGGCTGGCTTCAGGTGGATCAGCACCGCAGGGCGGCCTCCTTGAGCGTTCTGGAGAAACGGATCCGCTCGGAGGAGACGGAGAAACGCCCGGGAAGCCGTTCGGGCGGAGGTCGTCCGCGGCAGGGAATGGAAGACCAGGGGTTCAGTAGGAACTGGTGGTTTTCCTGGGGTTTGTAACTTGTGCGTGTGCTTTTGCTTGTGATTGACATGTGAGAATCCTTAATTAAAGCGAAGGTGGTTGTCACATGTTATGACCCCGCGGTGTACGGGATTGATTTGGACTTGAAGGTGGCAAGTCATTGAAAGCTTGTTTCCTTGCTGCGCGCTGTCTGTTTGGTTCCAGAGCTCCCAGAGTGGAAGGTGAAAAAAAAACATGAAAAGAACAACTGTCATCGAGAAAGCGGGTTGAAGTTGGTAGTGAAACTGCAAGAATGCTGCAAAGTGTTCACTTCTTCAAGAAATACCTGGTTAAATTTGAACTTTGCCTGTCGAGTCATACATGTCTATATACTCTCAGTAAGGTACGCCCAAACCAGGCAACTCAATGTGTTCTTTCTGCCTTTACAGGGACCAACAGCTCTTTGTCGTACCTTCTCACATGCCCCTGCTATAATGTGCACTGCTATAATGATTTTCCACTTGCCCCTCTTGAAACTGTTTTGACCGGCAAAACTTAGCCAGTGCCGCGGGGGGTGTTTTCTCATTGGCTGTGCTGCATGGCGATCGCCAGGAGAAACAGCACAGCCTGTTGAAGGAGAGAAACGTGGTGATTCGACAACAGGCGAGCAGAGGAGCATTGTGGGACACAGAGGAGCATCCTCATAAAGAAGAATGGCAGAAGATGGGGGCCAGCGGCAAGGTTGGTTCATCAGCTGATGTTTAAGTGTTGAAGATGTGACGTGTTTCTGACACTGAGTCAAACTTCCACGCCCGCATCAGCGCTATCCCTGACCAAAGTCATGAAATTGTATTTGCCTAGGACGCTACTAGTAACAAAGGGCATCGCTACCGGGAGCAAGGACGCTACTAGTAGCTCCTGGCATTACTACTAGGAACAAGAAGCTACTAGTAACAAGGACGCTATTACTGTAGGTGGTTTTGCTTGAGAAAGAAAGCTTGTGGTGTCCCCATATGTCGTTGCGACGTCGGCTGACATTGAAGTCGTTTCTGGGTTTACACTGGCCATGAACAGTGGTGCAGACTGTGTTGCACCACCAGTATGACAGCTTGCTTCAGTCTTGCCCCAAGAACCATTGGAGGCCACCGCTAGTAGGTTGGAGGCCATCGCTATCAGTATACAAAGAAAGAAGAGAAGGAAGAACGGTCCAATATTGCTTCATTTGCTGGCAGGATCTTTTTGTCAAAAGACGAAGCTTGCAGTCTTTGCAATTTCTAATTATCTAATTGAGCCAAGACCCTCTTGATACCAATAAGTGTGGCACTGTCGGTGTCCTTCAACACCGGAACATGTTCCTTTTCATTTTAAAAATGAGACTTGTCAACGGGACGGAGTTGGAAGACACATTTTGCCGAATCACACGCTTTGCAAGCAGCTGCCTCTGCCGTTGACAGGCAGCTTCATTGAGCAATCCAATCAACAGTGAGGCGTCCACTGTGTCAAGAGCAAACTCACGTGTTTATCTCTCAGAATTCTTTGACAGTATGGCGATTCTCAACCTCAATGCACTATCATTGTGGTGCTTCACACACGTCAAGTGCAAAGCTCATGTGATAAACTCTGAGGCGAAATGACACCACCAACCTGTGTCAGCCCAGTTATCAGCCTAGTTAATCAGCCCATCTCTTTTCGGCACACCAGCTGTCCCATTCTCATGGAGGCGGTAGGTTGGCCCTCGCAACACCGACGAAACGAAACGAACAACACCCAAAAGGTGATGCTCCGCATCCGCGCCTACCGGGAACGCTTCGCTTTGGATGCCGAGCGACAGCCCGGGGCGCCCGATCGGCGCGTGCCGGCTTGACGTTGGGATGTTTGGAGAGTCCAAACCGTCACAACAGTCCCATGGGTTCGGGCACTTGCTGGTTGGTTCGTTGACATGTGGTGTTCCTCTCCGTCGCGGTGTTGCTTGAGTAATTAAGCCACGGCTCGCAAACCGGTCTGGAGAGCGGATGTGCTTGAAAGGAAGCACATTGCAAAGAAAAGTTCATTTCCAGATCAGGCATGTTCTCTGACACCTGTATGGGGAGGCAACCCCGGTGCACGGAGGGCGACCAGGATCGGTCTGTATTTGAGGTCACTGGATTGGCATCGCCACATCGAAACCCAACTGCGGGAGGCGGCACGGCGGCACGGCCGGGTGGGACCGACCAACGGCCATGCGGTCGGCCGAAACGCCTTCGATTCAGACCTCATTGGGCGGGGACATCCACAAACCCAAACCTGCTCGAAGATATTGTGGAAGCTACTGTAGGTCTATAAATCTATTGGGAGCGGGAGAGGGGCTCATTTCTTCAGCACGGGAGCAGGGTTGGTGCTCCGACTTTTGGGCAGCTGCTGGACATTAGAGACACATATATACAGTTAATTACGGACTTGCAGTCATCATCCGGAAGAGACTTGTCTTTAATGTTAACAAAGTTGTTTTTCGAGATTATATTTAAAGATAATCGAAATCATACATTTATAGATGACAGCATCTAAGACATGATTATAGATCTTCGCGTGAAGAAGTCAGTTAAAGATGACATATCATCAAGAAGAACCTGTATAGCAAATTTACTTTGGGTCCGGTGTCTTCCGTTCCCGAAACACAATTCCCCCCGACCTGGGCCCCTGAACTGCCAGAGGAGATCGAGAACTGCCGGCGCGACGCCCAACACTGCCGCATGCGGCAAGGGGAAGCCATCGAGGCGATTTCGGACCTCGACTTCCAAATTTGTGAGCCACTTCGAGCGACTTCGAGCGACTTGTTGCTTTGACAAATGCTTCACCAGGGTGCTAAATCGCCTTGGAATCCCCACTTTGAAGAAGAATTCTTCGGTTGAAATATGTCCACCTTGACAAACGCTTGGGGTTTTGAACGTGTTGATATTGCTTAAAGGTCAAATCTGCCCGTTTAGGAAGTGCCTGCAGTCAGAAAGATCTGAAAGTTGAGGATTTGTGAGGATTCTTCAGGCAAAGAACATGCCCTTCACCTCTTCATGTTCTGTTAGGTTGGCCATCGAAATATTGTAGCAAGCGCGCGTCTTCGTGTTCATGTTGCCACCGGGTCTCGGACCATCGCTACCACGAAGGGTGTGAAGTGTCGATGCAGATGGCTCAAGACAAAAGGCCACGAGAAGGGCAGTGAAAGCTGCAAGAGTAGAGGCAGGAAGCTCGAAACCCGACCAGCTCGACTTGTTGGGCTTTCTCTTGAAGTGAGAGCTTGCCAAACATGAAAAAGGTGGTAACGCTTTTCTTCGATATTATGGATTTGTCCACAGTGCTCCATGTGGCATCACTGGGCCACTTGCCTTAGGCAGTGCCATAAAACCTGCCCCCAGGCTGTGCTTCGTTTGTCTCATGGAAGGGCTATTGAGGGGCAAACGTGGATCGATCGCGAGTTGGTGTGGAAGCCAATAGTAATTGATTCTCCGAAGAGAAACCGAAAGCTCATGTGCTGATGTACCGACATCCGTCCCTTTTTTCCTTCTCCCTGGTAACAAGAAGCTATTAGGAACAAGTGCATCGCTACTAGTAACAAGTGCCTTACTAGTAGTAACAAGAAGCTATTAGAAACAAGTGCCTTACTACTAGGAGCAAGAAGCTACTAGGGGCTCCTGGCCTTACTAGTAGTAACAAGAAGCTAGTAGAAACAAGACCGACCGCACCGACCGCGGAGGCCACCCGTCATGCCGGAAGATCGAGCCTTGAGCGGGCTCACCAATGCGGTGGCCGGCGCTGTAGCGGGCGCAGCCACCGGGGTGGTGCAGGGCCCAGAATGGCATGGGTGCTGCAAGTTGTGGCCGTGGAGCAATCAATTCAGGTGATTTAGTTCTAGCGAGCTATGCCTATTAAACGTGTTGGAGGTCGGCCAAGTATCTTCGACTTTTTGAGACGAGCCCTCGGACGAGCGACGCCGCCCGAGGCCATGTTTATGCTTCTGAGAAAGCGAGACAAGGAGGAAGCTAGTATGCCACAGCTTCTTGGACGAAAGGATACGAAAGGAGTGACATTTTCTCAGGAAAGATGCTTACGAAAGGTTTCTGGCTTTTGCTTCAAGGCAGCCACTCAGTCTTTTTCTTGTTTGACATTTGGCACATCTTTCAGACTGATGTTCTCGCTTTGGGTTTCATGCATGCTGCATGTGTTTGAAACACACACGACAGCGCGTTCATGAAGTAACATGAAATCAGTCGCTGCGGCCTATTGGTCTGCCTGGGCTCACTTTCAGGAACGATGGCGGCAATGTACAGGCCAAGGAGACCGGAAGAGTTCTCGAAAACGGAGGGAACGGGAACGATGCAGAATGTGTCTCAACATGAGTGGGACTACGATATACGTGTAAGTAGCGGCTTAAGATTCACTGCATTTCGTGTGACCCTCTTTGACAAAGTGACCATTTGCGTGGGTCAATGATTCGCCTGCGAAACATGGGCCCAAGTCGGTAGTGACGCACCCCTTTCCAAGGTGGATGTAGCTGACCGGGTAGGTACTGCTTGTACAGAACCAAACGATACTGTATCGAGAGAACTGCAAATGTTAGTGCTTCTTATCCGCTCTTGTCTTGAGTCTTGACGAACCACAGACATGGCAATTGTTTCTAATGATGTTCCTGAGCGGACAATTTCACGGATTTCATCACTTTCTTTTGAGTTGTTTCTGTTTTTTTTTTTGATAACTTTAATTCATTTTAGTTCAATCCTTCGTATCTTGTTATGAAAACAATCTTTCCAGCATCCCGATCATCACCTTAGGACCTTTGCTTATGCATAGGTTTTCTTGATTCTCAAGACTCCCCCTGACCTGACCCCCCTGACTCGTTTCTCGAGGACCAGCGCGCTAAGAAGGCGGGCTTTACTTCGAAATGGACCAAACCCGTCACTGCGCCTGCATTGATGGGTAGGAGAGGAGTGCCGTCGGGAGGCCGGAGCAGTCGGATGGGGAGGAGAGGCACGGGTTGCATGGAGCCGTCGTATATAGGGGTTGGCCATGGTTGGCCATGTGCGCGAACATAGCAGCCTCAACTGGACAAAAGACGCAACTCCAGGATCTCGGGTCAAATTAAGCAGCAAGGTCCAATTAACTCACTCCTGAACCCACAGTGACAGTTTGGCATGAAACTCTTTGAGCACTCAATTTGATTCCCATACTTTTTGGAATGACCTTGAAGCCTCCAAAGCATCCATCCTTGAATCGGATGAGACATATGAGAATGGGTGAGATCTCCGGTTCTCCACCTGGACACAGCACCCATCAGCACCCTTCGCATCAGGATGGCTTTGACAGGTCACTGAGAGTGAGCTCGAAGAATTCACGCAGTGATTTGATTAAGTGTTTGTATCGCTACTGGGTGCTCGGGTTAACTTGTCTCGAATGGCATGAACTTGTGCCAGATGAGGTGTGCCCTTGGGGGAAAGCTTGATTGGGCTAAGTTTTTGTATGTATGCTGTTGTTGATCACAGTTTGAGAATTCGACCAAACCGCAAGGGCACACTGTTGATTCTGTCTTAAGTTTATTGTACTCCGAAGTGCGCCGTTGCGATTTCATGTTTTTGGCTTCACTACATTGTGACTAGTTTTTTTTTCAACAATCGTTGCGAAACGGTGTCCCCAAGCAGTTTTGTGTCTAGGAGTGTAGACGATCATTGTTTGGTCATTTCATACGGTGTATTTCTTCTTTTTGGTGACTAGTGCTTGGAATACAGCCAGCCTCAAGTTGCGCTTCCCAACCAATGTTGGGACAGAAAGGGGGCAGGCCTCATCGCTACTAGGTGCATCGCTACTAGTAACAAGTGCCTTACTACTAGTAACAATAAGCTACTAGGAACAGGTGCATCGCTACTAGGTGCCTTTTTTGCTACTAGGAACAAGTGCATCGCTTCTAGTAACAGGTGCCTTACTACTAGTAACAATAAGCTATTAAATATACTTTTAAAATAATTCTAATAGCTTCTTGTTACTACTAGTAAGGCACCTGTTACTAGTAGCGTGGCACTTGTTACTACTAGTAACAATAAGCTACTAGGAACAGGTGCATCGCTACTAGTAACAAGTGCCTTACTAGTAGTAACAATAAGCTATTAGTTAATTTGGCTTAATTTAGATTTAATGCTCATAGCTTCTTGTTGCTACTAGTAAGGTACCTGTTACTAGTAGCGTGGCACTTGTTACTACTAGTAACAATAAGCTCCTTTCCACTTTTGCAAATTGGGCATGCGGCCTCAGGTGGTGATTGCCAGCCCTGCTCTGGAGCCTCTGGCGAAAGAGGCGGTGGGTGTTAGCGGTAGTTGGAGTATTGCAAGTCTTCAGGGGAAGAACTCAGATGCGTTAGACACCTGCCGAAAGCCAGCGAGTGCCGGTGTGAGAAGCATGTGATGGTCGATGGTGTCAGAAGGGATCAGCAGGGCAAAGCGCATGGAGATGTCTTCGGGAGGTTCGAAAAAGGCTGGGAGAGGAAGATTATCCTGAAAGTGCTGGCGAGAACCTCAGGGGAAGAGTTGAATCGTGTCCCAGCGGGAGCTGTCTTTCTTTTCATGACATATCAAGGCATCTACTAGGCTGGAGGCCATCACTATTCATCACTATTAGGTTGGAGCCATTGCTAAGCTAGTAGGTTGGAGACCATTGCTATTAGGTTGGAGGCCATCGCTATTAGGTTGGAGGCCATCGCTATTAGGTTGGAGGCCATTGCTAGTAATTTGGAGAGTGGGCTTAAACAAAAACCATATATCAAGACATATCATGGCATATCAAGACAGCACTGTACGCCCCATTCGGGGCGTGTCGCATGCTTGACATTGAACGGTAGGTACCTGACGGCATTCGAAGTGAAACGGAGTCGAGGGCTGCCGTCCTACGTATCGATGTGACTGCTGAGGTCCTACCGTGTCTTTGGAGTATTTTAAGTCCAAAGATCCGAATGTGAAGTGTGCCTGCCCTGCTTGACTTCCAAGATTCACAGTGATACGCACTTCTCCATTTTGTCACAATGTGTCTGATGGGCTGCACTGGTTTCTGCTGGAAGATTGAAGAATCATATAGCAGAATGAGGGCATGGCCGGACCATAGTCATGTATACACATTACTAACTAGTAACAAGAAGCTACTAGTAGCTTGTAGCTTCCTTGGGAATTGTTTCACTGGGAATCGTTTCACCTGTAGTCACATGTCTTCGTTTCCATCAAAACAGTCTCCACATGTCGCCAGGTTTAATTGGACGCGTGTCGTTGGTCGAAAGATCATTTTCCTGTTCGACACGGTGGACCAAAGCCGATTTTTTGAGCAGCAGCTCGACTCAAGGTGTGTAGAATAAGGAGCTTGCAAGCTTTGCTTGTTCGTTAGCGTTCTGCTTGCAAATGATTGAAGCATGTTCTTGGCCAAGCACAGTTGACGTGAAACATAAGTGAGATTAAATGACCTTTGATCCCAGATGTTTGAGTGGTCACCACAGTCCTATGTCGGCCATGAGTTGGCTGAGCTCAAGCAGATGACTTTGAGAATTTAGACGTGCGCATGTACACGTAGCTTCCTTGATGAAGCTGAGGTTATCTCTTTTGCAGGCGTGGGACATCGAAGCGAAGTGTTTTGCAAAAACCTCATCCGACACAGCGAACAAACGGCGATCCAACACGGCCATTCAGAGGCGAAACGAGCCCAGTCAGCCCAGCGTACGCATCCTTTCAGCGTACGGAACTCCAGGGCAGTCAGCTTACAGCCTTTAGGTGCTTCAGTCATCGCATGACTTTCCCAAGCATCGCATGACATCCATCATTTATCTCCCAGTCTTCCGCTTACTCAGACACCACTGAACAAATCCAAGAAGCCATCCATTCCCTCCAAGACTGCAGCCATTCTTCGCAAAAAATACACCCCAAACCACCCCACTGCAGCCATTCGTCAACATGAAAGGCCGTCAAAACGTGTTGCGAGGCGTTGCAAGGCTTCGCAGTCCCGGATGGCGAAGACAAAGGCACCAAGTGGAAGACCTATGCGCCAAGACTGCAACGGGGGGTCTTCCCGAAAAGAGCGGCCAGGCAGGTCCCCAGGCAGGTAAACATCCCCAAAAATGGGAGATCCAGTGGATCCACAAGAAATCGTTTAGGAACCAAGAAGCCAGGCTGGCTGAAAGGATACGGTGCCACTGGGTGTGGGTGATTCGGGACTTTGCAGGACGCAAATCCTGGAGATCCAATGACCGGATCCACATCCATCTGTCACCCGAGTCCGAGAGACTTTTTTGAGCAGGATAGAGCTGGATGTTTGGATGACCATATTCCAAGACCACTTAGATACTCCTGCAACAGCCGGATATATATATATATATATATATATATTTAAGTGTTTCTTTGACATGAACACATTATTTTTGGGAGAAGGAGGTGGCCCAGGTGGCCAAACAACTATTGTCGGGCCAAACAAGTGTTGTAATTTCTTTGGTGGGGTGGCCCCTTAGACTTGACCTGAACATATCCTCCAGTCCAAACTATCCCTTGCCGACGCATGGGTTTGTAGTTCGATGTTCTCCTCTGAATCAACACCCCCGCGCCGCCCGCGCCGCCTGCGCCCAGGTGAATGCAGGGACCTACTCTTGGGGCCGAGCGTCACATATCACTGTGGTGTTGCCGACGCTTGGGATGTGAGGAGATCGGTCAGGGAGATCGGTCGGGTGATCGGGGAGATCGGTCGAATGGAACCAGTCGGGTGATCTGTCGAGCTGATATAGACTTGGAAGATCACTTGATTTAGAAGTGGGGGACAAACCAAAGCTGTCATGAGACAGGTAAGCTGCCAAGCCAATGCTTCAATCAAGGGGATCGGCCAAGGAGGCACCCGACATCCCCTTCTCTTGATCTCTTGAATAAATACATCATAACCGAGAACCCGCACAGAGATTGAACCCCCTTTTCTTCCATGGGCACCACAACGGATAGGACCTCACTCTTTGGCAACTTTGCGGACCTCGAGGAATGCACAAGCCCACTCGCGCACTCGCCAGCGCCCAGGTGGTACCGACCGTGTCAGATGGAACGCACCAGCCGTTGGCACCTCACGGACGGGAAATGGGTCAATAGCAATCCTGAGGCAGGGGCGGCTGTCGCCACGGACGGCGACCATTCTGCTATGCGCATGACTGCGTGGTAAATAATTGTTTCTTGAAGGTGAAGGAATCCATGCACACATGAGCATGCCATGGCTCAAACTTAAGGTACACTCCATGCACTCCAAGTATTGATACAAGTTTGGTTAGGGGGGCGACACCCACGTGGGTAGATAATGCTCGTCCTATAGAACGAGTTTGAAACCACTGTCACTGTTTGGAAGTGTCAAGGAGACACTCTCGGTTTTGGTTGTGTAGCAATGGAAAGTGGGTGGACAGAGCAAAGCACCTTTGTTTCTTCCTCATACGTGAGTGTAGTGGTCCAATCGGTCAAAACCGTCAAAACCACAGAAGACAAACATTTGAGCTTGTATGGGTTGGTTTATGTATTTGGCAGGGATTCGGAGACAAAATGTGCGAAGGCCAATTAGCAATTTAACCACCCGTTTTTGCAGTCTTTTTTGTATACCTAGCCCAAGCTAATAACCAAGATGTCCAGGACGCTTTGCTTCGGACGTGTTTTGCTTCCATGTCTCATAGTAAGACCTCCATGCCGCAGGGCCAATGGCTCGACGTGCCCAACGCGCTGTGACCTGTGCCAGATTTGACAGGAGAACGAAGTGCTTTGACTTCGGCATTTGATGGCAAGTTTGGTGCATGATCGAATTTTTGCTTTCAGTTTTGGGTCATTGACTTGAATAGTTGCGATTGCTTTGCTCAATCCTTGAGGACGATCGACCCCATTCCACATGCGAAAACTGTCGACAAACTCTTTGCAATCACTTAAGGAAGCTGACAGCCCCAAAGAGATTGGACACCTCAATGTGTTAATGTGCTTATCCCAAAAGGGAGGTTGATGCTGCAACTGCTCGGCAATTCCTTCATCACTTCGGAAGGGACAAGCAATTCACTCTTGGCGACTGCTGGATCTTCACAGTGCCCACGCCGTGCGGGCTTGATTCCTCGTAGGCTCGCACGAATGGCTGCACTCGCTGTTCGACAGAACATCTCTTCATTCGACATCTCACGCTGCTTGTCTCGGTACACGTCATTCACACCTCTCAACGTGTCGGGTTTACCGTTGGTGTACCATAAAGGTGTACCGTGGGGCCCGCGCGGAGTGTACCCCTTTATGTCGAGACTCAGAGGAGCGAGCTGCTCGCCTAGCGCAGTCGACTAGACAGTCCAAGCAATCGGGATTGAAGCCGACTAGAACTGATGTTTGTTGGTGCTTCTGACCAAACTCTTTCTAGTAGCAAGAACGCTACTAGGGGCTCCTGGCATCGCTACTAGGAGCAAGGACGCTACTAATAGCTCCTGGCCATACTACTAGGAACAAGAAGCTACTAGTTTCATCCTTCTCACCCATTTGTTGCTCGAGAGTCCTGAGGATCCAAGTTATCCCCTTCTTTTTTGGATCACACACAAGATCCAGTCACACAGGTTGCTTTGTTTCGGTGTGTTTCTTTACCTTGACGGACAGCAAAACTCATTGTCCATTTCAATTTCTCGTGCGTGCGAATTGTGCATGTCATGCACAGAAAAATTCCTTTTTTAAAGGGTGCAAAACGAAGCTGTCAAGTTCGGTTGTTTGGAGAGAATTCCTGCTGCATGAGCCAAAGGCTCTGGGAGAGCGGGCAACCAGTGAGTCTGTGGCTAGTCCGGCATCTTCTCTCCGGCACAAAGCCATTTTGAGGGCATGAGGATGCATGAGGTATACGTTGGTGATGGTTGGTGCTTGCATTCTTCAGGTCTCCGCCACGACATGGTCTTTTTCTTTTGACCGGAGAACCAACTTACAGTGGTTCCAGCTCTGAATAGTAGCAGAAGAAATCGATTGATGACGGCTCGTCTCAGTTGCCAGGTACATGGCGCGGCTCTTGGCCACGCCTGGGTCGGTGCCGCCCCTGCCAGGACCCAACAGCTCTATGGATGGCATGTCCGGGTCACCAAGAGAGCTTCTCCCAGAAGTCGGGAGAAGATGTATTTTATGTCGAAGGGCTGTCGCTTTGGCATTGTGAGTCGAGGGTCAATTTCTGGGGAACGAGAATGTTCATCAGCTTCTTGAGCTTGCTGCAGCTTGCTTCTTCCGGGATGCCCTTGGCCAGATATGATCAAAGCGTCCATGTGTTCAAGCATCAATCCCACAAGTCAACTGCCCACCAACTATGACCCACTGAAAAGTGTTGGACTCGTTGAACAATTAAAGCCGCTTCCGGAATGGTGTAATTTTTTGGCAAGTTTGAAGACTGCAGCACAAACGTGTGTGAGGTTCCCAGCAACTCGAACACTAGTGGATCTTCCACCTGCCTCTCATGCTCAGGCCTTTGAACCCACTTTGGCAACTTGGATGGAAAAACGTGATCTTTCTCTCTAGTAGCTTCTTGTAACTAGTAGCGATGGCCTCCACCCTAATAGCGATCGCCTCCACCTTAGTAGCGTCCTTTCTTTCTGTCAGAAGAAAGAGTTTGAACGTGCGGATCTGCGTCGCACAACACCTGTGGATCGGACGGATCTTCGAACCAAGTCGTCTCCGTCCACCACCATGGGGATATGTCTTGTTGCCACGACGGGAATCTACAGTCGAAGAAACACACATAAACACACAATCCACCCAGCTAAACCGCCTGAACGACAAGTACTAGGAGGATTCATGATGCCGCCAAACCTTGGGGTGCTCAATGTGATTTCTTTGACACTCCAGGGATCTCCAGGGTTTGTCAGGCGGCACCCCAGATATGGAACATGCTGAGATCGATGTCCAGTACAATCAGCATCAGTGCTCAGTCCATTCCTGATGCCACATGTCCATTGATTTGGATCGTGTCATATTCTCCCTCTCTCTACTTGAGGGTTGTTGATTAAAAAGACTGCAGGAAGAGATGACCATCCTGCAGGAAACAGTCATGCCACACTCGATGTGCAAAGCACAGAGGTCTTTGACAGCAATTTTTCCAAGGAATTTCTAGTAGCTCCTGGCACTACTACTAGGAACAAGAAGCTCTAGGAACAAGGGCATCGCTACGAACGGCAAAAGACGATCGGATGCTACGAACATTAATTATTGGCTCAGTCACTCGACGACGATGTCCCCCACCGAGGCGCCCGCCCCTGGAGTTGCTCTTCGTGGAGCTCCACGAGGAGGCACCCGTGGCACGCTCCGTGAGCGACCTGGGGGCAACCATCAGGCACGGGTCGCGGTTGGGTGTGAAAGGGGTGAGGGATGACGATGAATCGGAGGTCGTGGGACTGAAGGGATGACTTCAGAATTTCATCACGTTTTGCTTTGAGGATTCAAGTAGAAGGACTGACTGAAGCTGGTTGATGTGGTCATATGTGGTCAGATTTCAGGAATCCGAGATCTAGATCACGTAGCAGATCATTGCGAGAATGGCTTTCTGTCCGCACCTCCCATCCACCGCTCCCAACAGACACAGTCTTCAGGAATGCCATGAGAATGTGAGGTGTTTGATTGAAAGAGCTGAAGACCAGTAGGAAGAATAGGTGATTTGATAGATGCTTGGAGTCTGGATGGATGGAACATGGCAAATGATGAAAAGCTGATTTTCTTGTCCAGGATGGAACGCTTTGTGCCTTACTTCCTAGAGAAGTTCAAAGGAAAGCCGACCTATCCAGGCCACTCGACATGGGAGAGCTTTCGAACAGAAATGCCGTCCGTTGTACAATCACCATGCTAAAAGAATTGTCAATTTTTTTGCAAAAGAACTGGGTTGTACCCTGGACCCATCGATGCATCTGGCGAATAGATGGCAAATCCTTTTTGAGCCTAATCAGGAAAGAACAATATGTACATCCTCTTCCCTGACTATGGAGCATATTCTCGCTATGCCACCTCTGTGCGAGAGCGGCTGAAGTTGGATTGGGATCACATTTTGACACTTGGCGGCAACCGGTGTTTCCACCAAACAAACCATGTAAACCAACCTCAAGCTTACCGAGCCCGTGGAGCATGTAGAACATGGCGATGGCCTCCAACCTGGTTCTGAAATTAAATCCGCCCCTAGTAGCGTCCGATCGCTCCTAGTAGTAAGGCCAGGAGCCCCTAGTAGCTTCTTGTCACTACCAGTTGTTAAATCATGTTTGGTGTTTGCTTTGCTGCTTTGCTTGCCTTGAATCGTTCAGAGGGTCTTCCACGGTTCCATAACAAACAAACAGACTAGTTGTCGCAGCCACACTGAGCCAGGTACATCAAGAAGACTCGAGTTGGAGAATCCATCGGACAAGAGCAACAACTCTTCTATGAAGACGATCGGACGCTTGACAGTTCCGATTGACCATTTCGAGAGAAGCTGTAGTAGAAGCTGTGGATGGATGATTGAAACTCTTGTTGGTGAACACCGGCGATGGGATGCGCTGGGCACTTCTTTTGTGCCCCCAGTTTTCCGGAGATATCCCCACGGTACCGGGCAATGAGGTCCGCAAGTTTGACATCACACTTTAAGACAGAGTCAAGTCAAGCACTCAGGGCGGGATAGCAGCGGATAGCACTATAGTTACTATAGTATAACAGGGCACAGAAAGTTCTGTGCTTGCCGGTTTCCAGTTCATGTTTTGACATTCACTGTGCCTCTTTCAGTTTCAAACACTCGCAAGGAAGGCGACAGATGAAGTGACGGGGAGTGACCAGACACAAAGACAGCAGAAACATAGGAGCACAAAGCGATGTGAGCAATTTGTGTGGAAATCCAGTTTTCTGGTTGTATCGCTTGAGAGAGCCACAAGGGTAAGGTGAAGCTACCATCGGTGGGCATTCATGGAGGGCGCCCTGCTGCTATCCAATCCCGGCTCCCGCAGGTTGCAGGCAACTTCAGGGACAGCGAGTGAGCAAAGAGCCATAGACCTGACGGCGACTTCGCAAGACTACTACGAGCTGACAACATTCTTTCAAAGCCTCGGAGTGCATATTGATTCCTTCTCGGCAATGGATGCCCATATGTCCAAGGATGACGCATTGGAGCGGATTGAACGTTTCTTCAATACTGGACTCCACGTTCATGTGCTTTGTGTGATGGCGCATGGCCGTGCCTCTGATGGTGCTTGGGTGTTCAATGAGGGATGCGTGACTTTCGAAGATATCATGATGCTTTGGGTGGAAAGTGGCCATCTATTGGATGTGACTTGCAAGTTGTTTGTTTTGTCAGACAGCTGCTACAGTGGATGGTTGGTATGCAAAGCTCGCTGTTTAGGCTGGGACAATGTATTTGTGCAGGCAGCCTGTGGTTTTGATCGAAGGACATTGGATGCATTTGACCATACTTTCACCCACCTGTGGCTGAGATGGCAAAATGACGCGAACTTCAAGCTGTCCGGGTCCATGTTAAAACTCAGAAAACCTTGTGCCGTTGCCCAAAGTCAACCACTAAAGTTGCAATCAAAACGGATTGAGCTGATCGGCGTGCTCCAAACAACACAAGCGAGCAGACAGTGGCAGAAGTATTTGCAAGGTTTGGCGAAGGTGCCTTCAGGACTTCGGGAGCGAATCAAGGTGGACGCCTCTCTTCTAAGTGCAAGCGAAGTTGACAATTGGGCTGTGCACAAATGGCGCTTTGGGAGAGTGCTAGCGGCAATCAACGCGCAGCCAGTGCACATCCATCAGAAGCCCGAGCAGCAGCTTATTCATGGAAAGGTCAATGCTGCATTTTTGCAGGTGAGGTTTCTCATCGCAGAAGGTCAGTATGATGAAGCTCGGTCATACCAAGAGCGAGTGCTCGGCTCTTTCTTTTTGCAAGATGATGATGTTGCTGACATGAGGAGAGACTTAAAGCTTGTATTTCGCGCACAATGGCACTTCCAGCACTACGGTACAGGTGACTTGGATAAGTCTTTGGCCCATTTGCAGGTGTGCCTTGATGAGGTCCGCGCAAAGAAGGAGCAACTTCCTTTTCACGCATCGATTGAATCCTTGATCCTCGCGTGGATGGGAGTTACATGGCGTAGCATGGCCAGGAGGTGTCACTGGAAGGTAGAGGGTCTCAAGGGGCTCGAGGCTTTGAGCAATGCAAGGACGTGCTTGCAAGTCATGCTATCGACTGGCTCACTCATCCGCAAGAGTGACGCCATCGCAGCAGCTGAGCTCTTTGGGTTGGGTTGCTGGCTGGAGGATGCAGCGGAGTTGGGCCAGCTTGGTATGGCTTCGGAGTGGCTTCGTATGCATCGTCCCGTCCAAGACCTTCAAGCCTCAACCAATACCGAGACACTTCAGAACTCAAAGGCATGCGCTTTCCGTTGGGCAAAGTCTGCCGTGGAAGCTGCCATGTCAAGGTCCTGTGTTGCTCAGTGGGACGACGGTTTCGTCACCGCCATGTTGACAATCTGCAAGTTGCAGCTGGCAATGGCACCTACGGTGGAGAGACTCGCGGAGATTGAGCACATGTTGTCAAACGTACCTCCAGAGCTGGTGCAGAGCATGGGAGTCAGAAATGAGATCAAGCGGCGCCTGTATTTGGTACAAGCATGCTTGCGCAGGCTGGATTTGTCTTGGCCGTCAGGGTGGAAGCAGATTGAGCTTGCCTATGAACACATTGGATGGTTGCGGCAGTCGGTGGGATCACGACGAGAACTGGACGCTCTACAGATTGCAATCCGGCAGATAGACAGATTCCAGGCCCGCATGCTGATTGCTTGCATTTTCTCAACTTACAAGGAGCGCAACGACGAACAAAGTTGCCCGACTTGAGCAGACTTGCAGAGTGTGGTGTGGTGTGTGTGATACAGCCATGGGCGAGGGGCGATGGGTCCTAAATCTGGTGAATGTAGGCCTTCAAGTCCCTTGGCTGGTGCAAGACACTGTGAAGATTGATTCAGAGTTTCAATTTAAATGTTGATAGACTTCAGACAGGTGATCGGCTTGATCAAGGTCCTGTGATATACCAAAAAGAACGCAGCGTGATATCGGCTCGGCTGATTATCCAACCCAGAAAAGGGCCGAAGACGTGCTCCACCCTTGACACCCTGACCAAAGAGGATCGAGAGGAGGTCCGAGCTGCCGTAAGACCGGAGACCCGTGAGCTGCTTGAGGACGGAGAATGAGAAGTCCACTCACTTCAATGGAAGCAAGGAGAGTGTGGGAACCTGTAGGTTGGAGGCCATCGCTATTAGGTTTCATTTGCTATTGGGTTGGAGGCCATTGCTATTAGCAAGGAGAGTGTGGGAAACTGTAGAGAACATATTTCCACGATGACTCCGTTGGTTGGACGGAGGCACTGGAACATGACGCGGTTTGGATAGGGGGTCTTTCAGCATATCGTGATCTTAGGCAGGCATTGTCAAAAGGGAATTTCGATGAACAGTTCCATGGATATGGAGGATCACATCTTGATCATTGACGACTTCACCAACTCCGGCGGCACCCTTTTCGGGGCTGTGAAGTGCTTTGGCGACCTTTTCGGGGCTCGTGTTTCGGATCGATCCGAAGATGTTTGTGTTTGGTGACACGTCAATGATTATAGAGCAGGGGAAACTGGAGGCGGATGGTAAAGAACAAGATGTGTTTCTTTAAAACATTATAATTACCTTATTCATGTAATATTTTACATGGAACATTCAGACACATCGCTTTTGGAATTCAAACAAGGATAACTCCACCAATTCGGCGCCTGTACGATTCGGCGCATTCGTGTGTGTGCAGTCTCACATTTCAGGTTGGTGAAGATGTACGCTGGTGGCAGTGAGCAGATCAATGTCTCCATCTTTGTCTCTCATTTGGTGGCCACTTATGACCCCAAGGCAACAGGACAGAACTGAAAACGTATGAACACGTCTTGTTTGATTGTATGTGTGGATGTGGGGCGGAATGTGGGAAATTCCAAAGATGTGGAACGCATGGAACACAGAAGAGGGGGGATAGATCACTTCCAATAAACCTTTCGCGGATTGTGTGTGTTGTCAGATGAATTCTTAGATATATAGTCTTTTGACTGACTGACTTCCAGGAGAGGTGAGGTTGAATCTTTTGATCTAGTCATTGGTCATTTTGACTGGCGCATAAGAAGACTCGGAAGCATTAAATGGATGTTTACTTTGAAAGCATTATATAAGCAGGTGTTCAGCAGTGAAGAAGCCATCGCATGCCGCCAGACCGTGGAGGGGTTGAAGGAAAAGCTGCATGAGCTGGGGAAGCAGTGTCGCCGCTTGGTATGCCTGTCAGACAGGTGAATGATGGTGAATGGAAAGATCACCATATTGATCCCCCCAAAAGGTCAAGTGACGTGAAAGGCACGTGAAAAAACGGTTCAAAGGATGTCCGACTCGCTTGGCGTGCTTGGAAGCACATGTTCATCCCATCCGTCGGGGTTCAAAGGAATGGCCTCCAACCGAAGAGCGATGGCCTCCGGACCGACTTCTCCGTCGGGTCGAAGTTGAGGATTCTTCACGACCAACTCGATCCCCCTCACCACAGACATGCTGAAGGGCGATGAGCAGGACCGATCATCGGATCCCTGTGAGTTGGACATCCGACTGGTTCAGAAAACAGACAAGGACACAGGACATTGATGTTTGATGACTGAAGGTAAAGTGGCAGCCGTTGCTTGGGTTCCCTCCAATTTGCTGGTTGTGGAGGGTTTTTGGCTTTCTAACTTCCCTATGTTCTGGATGCTCGTTGTTTTTGCATGTTGCGTAGATTTCGTGTGATTTCATCATTTCTTGCCGGCACAGATATCATGCCACTCAGTACGCCTTCTGGACTTCAAGGTAACGATTTTGTCAACATGAACGACCGAAGGTGGTTGTTTCGATTTGATATCCTGCTTTACCTTTGTAATTATTTGGATCAATACACGCAGACACTAAGCTGTAGGGTATCCTGGTATAAGATGTCTCGCCTCATGTCGCACCCTCTCCGATCACGTCCGCTTGAGGCGACCGTCATCGACATCTCTGATTTCATTGCAGACATGTGCAGTTGAAACTCTTGAGAAGGGAATGTCTCAAAAATTTAGTCACCCCCAATGTAGATGTCTAGCCATGGATGGAAATTGATGAAAACTACAAGAGGAACAGTACGTCTCACCAAGAAATTCCGGGTGCCTCACTCTTGAGACGTTCAAACGCACCGGGTCTCACTTGGAACCTAGAGTCCAAGAGGCCTCCAGCCGCTCGTCAACTCTGACGTGCGATTGTGCAAAAGACATGCAGTGTGGTTGTGATGAGTCAAAAGGAAGCACTATGACCAGACGCGCTGCCATGAGCACGTGCTTTGAGTGCATAGCAAATATTTTGCAAATATACAATCCCTAGGGATCCAAGTATCTTCTCAGAAGGTACTTGGACCCTCCAAACCTACATAACAGTGTCTCCAATCACCTTCTGAGAAGGTCACAAACAAGTGCATCGCTACTAGTAACAAGTGTAGCTTCTTGCTACTAGGAGTCATGCAGTTGGTACTAGTAGCAGCGATGCAAAAGATCCAAGACGACTCACTCAGTCTCCCCATGAGCTTCGATTGCCTGCCGTGCAGTGAGACGACGAATCCAATTGGATCGTTTCTTCCTGGATTTGGACATGATACAGAGGATGCCCACACCATCCAGGTAAACATTTCAGGATAGTTACTGCCTGCAGAGGGTGTTGACCTGTACCTATGATGTTTGTATGATATTGAAGACTATACATGTTGTCAAACATACCCCAATACTAGCATTTTCACGAGGGTGTCTATAAACCATATAGTCAGTGCCCAAACATCACAGGCAAGATTGACCGGTGACCGAGTCTTACTGAAGCTTCTGAGCTTATTGGGACTGTTGGAAGAGGCGCCTATGGCAAGTAAAGGAACTTCGTTGCCAGAGCAGGTTTTCGATCTGCACCAGGTGGCGATGCAGCAGGAGAAGCTCATGGCGGAGCTTGCAGAAGCTCAAAGCCAAGCGCAGGAGGACGGACCGAACGGCATCGCTGTCTCGGGATATCGTTCTGGCCAATGGAAGTTCCTGCTCATCTCTTGCAACGTCATGTTTTCTTCACAGGCTACGTAAGAAAATCAGCATGTAAAAGACGATCTTGGATTCGAATTTCCAACAACACCCACGTTTTGTACTGGCACCTGACAGCTCTGGCAGACACCCTTTGACAAGGAGCGAGCCAGGCTGTATGAAGATGTGTGGCGACCAAGAGATGGACTATCGATCTTCGAGATGAGATTGAATCTTCAAACATGTGACTCCAAGACTCACAGGTAAGTAAAAGCTGAGTTGTTGGTGACTCTTCTGCTGAGTTACTTGGTGTGCTGAACATCGACAGTTGGACGAGGTTGGCGTCCTTTTCCCGCGACCCTGCCAGGTGAAGATGCAACAGGATCGACTGCGGCAGAGGCCTGCTAGTCGCAAGGGGCAAGATACCGATGCCACAAATTGTGCCGATGTTTTCTATGTCCTTCCTAAGGAGAGCCTTCCACAGGTTCCTTCTTCTGGGATCTTGTTTTCGATGTGCACATGAGCAAAGAACGAGATCGAACGGGCAAATGCAGAGCCCAAATTTCTTACGGCCCCCAACACATCCTGGGCACTGGGCACTGTCCAGGGCACTGCTCGAGCACCATCCTCTGGTCAAGGCTTTGGGAACAGCGCCATCTCATGGACGATCGCGTGAAGGACCCGCCGTGCCCGGCGTTGCCCGGCTGCGCTCGCAGTGAAGAGTCCTTTGTCAAACCAAGGCCAACAGGAATGGATAGGAGCTGATGGGTTACTGCTAAGTGCAACTTTAGGTGGATTCTTTTACGAAGCCTTTAGTTGTGCAACCAAGTTGGCAAAAGCATGGGCGTTTCCACTCTCTTCCTTCACTGAAGCTGTGCTTGTCCTTCAAATGTTGTTCTGCTGAGAATCTAGCTATATCTAGCTTATTGCTCCAATCGTCAAGTTCTTATGACAGCAAATTGACCCCAAACTGAAGGCACTTCTGTAAACCTGATTTGGTTTTGAATTTGTTGATGACTCCGGTGTAGAAGACTTGCTGTCTCTCAACACGGAAGGACTCAGACAGGTAGTGACCAGCAGGAGAGAGCGGTGTTTCTAAAGCAAAGAATCCCTCGTTTGCTCCTAGTAGCTTCTTGTTCATAGTAGTAAGGCCAGGAGCCCCTAGTAGCGTCCTGGCTCCTTTCAAAAGCCCGTTTGGAAGATGTTTGCACAGGCGTTGACATCGCCACCACAAGTGCCACGTGAAGCAAATGCTTGTAGCCAGACCCTGGCGCCACAGGCCAGGTCGGGAAAAGAGAAAATTGATTGGGATGAATACTGGTTGCAGGCCCCAATCAGGGTTTGACGGAGGTCTTCTCATTTCTGCGCGCTTGTTTTGTTTGTCTTTTGTTGGCTCCTTTTTTGTTGGGAGCAATTGATCTGATATTCAGAATCATTATGTGCAGACTAGTTGCAGCATGCTTCCTGAAGCACGCTTGCGGAATACAACACCTGCCAATTGGATGATTTAAGTTTATTGGAGGATGGGTCAAAACGGAAAGTTCGAAGCAGAATGTTCAACTTCCAGACCTACCAAGAGATGTTCACTGATCCCCAGGTTTATGTCTGGCTGCTCCACTTGTGGGTCACGTGTACCAAGCATGCAAGAGATCAAGAATGTCAATTTCCTCATATTCTTTTTTGTAGAACGTTAGTCTAATAGGGAATAGCGCGTTCAAGCATGGAATAGGGCATGGCTGTATTGGAAAACCACCACAAGTCCCAAATGATCCGTGCCAACATGCCAGGGTCTACACAGATTCCGTCCAAACGTTCTACGTTGTCTAGAATTCCTTGAGATATCCTAAAACGTCTAAAACGTTTGTCATCAATCTTGAGGAAGTAGGAGAGTTGAGAGACTCAGGAGGTCATGCCACACCTCTCTGCGACGGCTCTGCCAGAGTTGCCAGGAGAGTGGTTTTGGACTGCAAAACTGCCAACTGCAAAAATATTTTTCTGCGGGGAGTTGCTACTGTACAACCTGAAAGGCCAAGTGAAAGATCGGAACAGACATATTCCATGTAATTAGGGTGGTATTTTGCAGTATTTTGTGCGGATCGTTAGTTTTTATGGTCATCGAGACGAACAAGATTTGTTTTCCGCGAATTGAGCACTTCACATTTTGATCTATCGGACTCGACGACATGTTTTGGAGGGATCGAAAAAAAACATCCAAAAATCCTGAAGTTAGCGTTAGCGGATATCTAAAGAATATCCAACAAAGATCAACAAAAGCAAGAGAGGAACGAAACAGAATGGTCTAGATGACACAAGACAAAGACGGAAAGAACATTGACACAAAGAAAAAAAAGGCAAAAGGGGAAAGCTGCACCCTCAAAGCGGTGATTTTGGGACGACGCCGTGCCCTCATGCGACGCAAAGCGAGGAGCGCAAGGAGCTCGAGCTGAACGCACCCTAACGCGGGCACCGCCACCAGCAGCACGGCTCTGAGCTACCAGAGTCACTGGGTGGCGCTCCAGCTCGAAACTGTTGGGGCTAAAGCATTTGCATAACAATCGTTTGAAATTGCACGTCGCATGAGTCGCATGTGACTCTATTGTATCTTATATATGGTTGAAAAGGTCAACTAGCAAACTCTGTTTGACCTTTGTGATTTCCTTTGTGACATGGTCTCATTCTATCCAAGTGACACAAATAAGTTTAGATTTAGATCTATTGTCGGTTCCTTTTTGGGGGTGTTTGTATCCGGTCTTGTTGTATTGGGTTCTAATTTTGGACAGGAGGTTTATCCCTTGGGAATCATCCGTTTGCACTTTTCAGTTAGTTATGCCATTATGCTTTTGGCCCCTGACTGCGAGATCGCTCAGTTGCTTCTGCAGCAAAGGCATTCCCACCTTTTTTTCTTGATGGAGTCGTTAAATATCGTTAAATCATGTGCAAGACTCATCAGATCCGATTCCCCCAAATAACTGGGTGAATCACCATATGAGTTTACATGTTGCTAGTCGATGTGTTGCCCAACATCCCCAAATAAAGGCGCGAGTTGTGTTTCATGTTGTCAAGTGATTGTAAGAACATAAGTTACTGAACCTAAGGGAGTTCAGCCCTGGTTTGGCCACAGGGGAACAAGAAATGGACTTGAGGGGTTTTTAACACCTGGGGTCCTCTTGAAATGACATGCATCATCCAAGTTGTTTGTTTGAGAATTTGAGAGCATATGTGTTTCTTTTCTTTGGAATTCTTGGCACATGGCTGATCCCACAGCTGTGACACCACATCATACCATCGCACCCCATACCGCATCACTGTGAGCTCAAGCACCGAACACATCCACTGACAGGCCCAACGAACGCTCAAGAAGACCAGCGACGGAGGTGAGAAAGCTGCCGACCGGTGTGGAGAGATTCGTCACAGATGGCTTTGTCAGAAGTCCAACGAAATGGGCGATTTGGGAACGCACAACATGTATTTTGAAGGCTTGTAAAGGTGCCAAAGACACAATCAAAATAAGACTTACTAAGTGAAGGACGAGTTCAGCCAGAAATGTGCCCCTCTAGGGTTTGAAGGATCTTCTTTTTTCCTGCGCGTGATAGATATATAAAGCATGTCAACGGCTAATTTCCCGAGATTGATTTGGTGGAAGAAACCGGCGTTCCGCCGTTCCGCTCAATCCAGGTTACGTGCCCAAAGAAGGCACACGTCAAGCAGAGGTTGGAGCCTATAGCGAAGGACTCTTCGAGCGAATGCGAAAGAGGTATTTGGGACCAGTGATAGGTGTAGGTCCAGTGTAGTTCGTAAAGATGCGTTGCTGGTGACATACGGTCGTGTTGTTCCAATCTTGGCTGATTGGAACTCTATTGGGCATCTCTCTAGCTCTACCGGCCAGGTCTACCACCGGCTCTTGAGGACGGAGGCTGAGATGGCAGCCGAGCTTCGGTTGATGGAGGAGCCGAGTGGAGCCGAGCGTGAAGAGGGAAGCCGAGCCTGTGGACTCTGGCTCTAAGTAAACATGCTAAGAGCATCGGTCTAAGCGCATCCGGACAACAATTAAGCCAATAGACCCAGATCCTTCCCTGCTTTACATCGCTGCGCTTTTTTTTTGATTGATCACTGTGATGCGGACGCACTTCCAGCTGCGATTGACCAGGTGAGAGCCCCCAGAAAAAAGGTTCCAAAAGTGCCTCCTCTAGGGAGATGATCAACATTTTTGAAGACACTGAGTTTGACAGTGTTGTTCTTACAGAAGCCTCTCCAACACCTAGGTGTTGCACTACTCTTGCAGAAATGAAAGCATTGGGCCGGGTAAAAGTAGAAGACTGAAGAGAACACGTGGTTTGGGTTGGTTGATTGTTGATCCGAACATTTCTCCCAATGTGGCTCTATGTTGAGGTGAAAGGTGATCAAATCCATGGTGAACAGATCCAGGAAGACCCATCGACTTGTGAATTGGGAGATCGACTTATGGCTTTTTGTTACTACTAGTAAGGCACCTGTTACTAGTAGCGTGGCACTTGTTACTAATAGCTTCTTGTTACTACTTGGCTTCGAGATGCTTTGAGAAACTCGCAGGATCGTTTGGTGCTGCGATGCCAATGTGGCTTCGTAGGGACTCCCCCCGGGGCCTCCCAATGGGCAGCTCTGCTTGCAATCAGGGCAATTGGTGTGGAATGAGCTGGACATGAGGATGTGGGCTACAGGTCCTACAGGTTGCAGGGCTTCACATGCACCACGATTTTGCATTGAAATTACGATGTCATGTCTCTACTGCCGAAATAGTTGTGTGTGAGTTTGTTTTTCTCGACCTTTGACGTTCAGTGAAGAGTTTTGTCTTGTCAAGCGGGAGGTGCATGAACTGGGCAAGCCGCATATTTGAATCAAGCTGAACCTGCGAAGAAGTGACCTAGTCGTGGTAAACTTTCGAATTCAAGAACAGCTAACAATGAACATGTCTTGATTCGATAAGTGAGCTGCAGACTTGAAGAACTACTTGAAGACCCTAGATTTGGGTATGGTCACGTAACCAACGACTGGCCATGTCATAGGGGTACTTTAATGGACGCTTTGATGCCATGAAGATTTCCATCCAGAGCTTAGCGGGCGACAATCTGCTTGAGACGGACTGAGGGTGGAGGGGTGGTACTGTACGGGTCAAACGGGGGGGGGACAAAACTGCAAAAGCATCCATTGGCAAACAAAGATCAAACAAGCAAATCTCTGTTATGTTTTCAGATAACCCAAGAATGGGGCTGATTTTCGTGCTAGTGAACCTAAGAAACTGTGGAAGTCGAAAGATCTTGAGAAAGGCCCGGGTGGCGAACGCAGGATTTGCCGGATGATTGGACCTGGCATGATGTGAAGGTCCAGATTGCTGCGAAGCACAAGATCGATGAGAGGCGAAGTGGATTTGGTGAGCCCAGGGATTTGGTGCGGGTTGAGAATCCGTCAATTTTTTTTAGTGGTTCGTACGTTGGAAGTTATACATATAGATAGGCTACGGCTAGTGCAATTGGTAGAGACTATCAAGAAAACTTTCGGGAGGGTTCATTAGTGGGTTCGTTCTAACTTAGGCACCGGACCTCACTGTAGAGAGAAATCAGAGAATCTCAAATTCCTGCTTTGGAGGAATTGTGGGAGAATAAGGGTTTTAGCCATCAGATTCGTCCACCCCAAAAAGACAATGACATGGGGATATATGGGGACAGGGTGGGAAGGTAGGGTGGTTTATTTGGGCGAACATGTACCGGACTTTTGTTCCGGAATGACATCCATTTGTTCCGGAATCGCAAAGCCCGAGCCACCTCCATGGATCAAGCTGGGTGTGGCAGATTGATAGAGGGAGGTAATATGTAAACGGATGGACCCACCAACCTGACTGGAGCGGACAGATTGATGGCTCAATCTGACTTGTCCGGGTTTTGGTGAGGGTCCTGCCGTGCTCAAGAACCAGACAATTCAAGGAATCCCCATACGGAGTTCAGAAGAGATATGAACCGAAACAGTACAGATTTGCTGTGAATACAAAACAGAACATGGATGAACATGGCATGAACTGAAATGATTTCAAGCCTTGCACTTGCTTTTCTGCGGTTCCTCACCAAGACCGGGTAGTTTCACTAGCTTCCCCAGGACCACGTACTGGCAAGCGTCGTTCAGCGAGTCCGGACGACCGGCATGGCCAGAGTGCAAAGATTGTCCCATGGTCATCGATTGCTCTTGGACCAAGATCTGGCCTTGCAGGACTTGAGCGACTCAACGAGCTCTGCCACGAAGCTCGGCAGAAAACGTGGCAGCAAGCTGTGATGAGAGAATAGGCCACCGTTCAGAAACGCAGCCTTATCGACAAGCTATAAGTACAAGCTTACTATGACTATGCACGGGTCATCGCTACTAGGTTGGATGCCATCGCTATTAGGTTCCTTTTGCTATTAGGTTGGAGGCCATCTCTACTAGGTTGCGAACTTAAGTTTCCCTAAGATTTTAAGAACCAAATGAATAGCGTGAGATAGCGTGAGCTATTCTGCGTCCTAGGTAGTAGCATACTAGTAAGGTACTGGCGACCGCTCCCTTACTTAATTAAGTAGGCGCCTACTTGATTGAGTAGGGGGGGGAGAGCGAGAGGGCTAAAAGAAGAGAAAAAAGGACAGCAAAAGAACAAATAAAAGACGAAGCAAAAAGGCCACGGACATTTCATGAAGTGGTCATAGTTCCAGAGCTTCAATATGGACGAAAGTCCGAAAGGCGATGCTGTAGGGACGTGCGCGCTGCTGAATTCCTTAACATGAAACCATGAAATACAACGGTGACAGAATTGTAGCAAAACGGACAAATATATGCTTTCCCTTTAAATTATGTCCCTATACCTCTTTCATTAACTTTTAAAGTTCAGGGGAGGCGATCCTGGTTGCTTCAATTTCTCTTTGAGTCCAGGGCGTTGAATGTGGAACGATTGCTCTCGATGCATCGCCAGCGTTAGTGACTAATTCGGCCTTTTCTAAGTGGTGCTTTCAGCTGCAACGATCAACTCAGCCGAGGGCATGTGTGAGCTGGTACCAGAAGTCCCCAGAATTTCTGAAAGCCTTGGAGATGGTGGAGACGGACGGTTTATCCTTTGAGAAGATTCCAGAGGAGACGCGGACTAGCGGAGCGGAACATTGGTGACCCAGGATCTACTAAGCTTGTGTCTGCCGCAGATCACACCGCCAACTTTGAAACACTTAGAACTTAGTACGATTGAAACTTTTGACACACATAACAAAGGAGGCTTGCAGCCAGGTGAGACCACAATGAAGGCATTTTTGAGCAGCAAGGTCAATAAGAAGATTCAGTCTCCTGACAACGAACTAACATTCTCAAAACAGCGCCCCCCCTAATAGAAACACAAAATTATCAATCCGTTTCCCCTCTTCCACAAGTTTGCTCAATATATGCATGTCAACGTTCTTCCGCGAACATTTGTTGGACAAGTGAATTGCGAATTACCACCGTGGACCTTCAAAGCGGTGCCCGGTTCTGGATGCACGTCTTGACAATGTCCCGTCCAAAGACTTCCAAGTCAGGGACTGGCGTCAATTCACCTTCACCACCGGCTTGCCAATTCAACACCAAGCAAGTTGGGCCAACACTGCTGTTCGAAGTTTTCACTTTTGGATTGCAAACACGTCAGGCTCTGGAGCTGATGAGCGCTTCCTGGGGATGCAAGTGCCTTTTGAAAGCCACCAACGTAAAGAGGTCCCGCAACATTTGCCTCTTTAGGTTCCAATTTGCCTTGCAACAAGCCCTTTGTTTCCCAAGTGGAAATTCCGGGAATTGCCCATGAGTAAGCTGTGGGAGCTGCCATAGCTCTCAGACATGGCTCAAAGATCTCTTTGGTTGAGCCACTTGCATCTTTGATTGCAATCCTTTCAACAAGCCTTGATACCCTGGGGTTCCGTCCCTGAGCTAGACCACGTGCACGTACAGTGTCGCTAACGCCTTGATTGAGGCCACTGCGACATTTCGTTCAATCCCCCATTCAACTCATAGCAACTACCATGATGCACCGCAATCACCTATGGTAGCCCGTAAGGTATTGCAGAACATCCTTCAAGCGGCTTTTGAACAAACACTACACAACATCCAGAGGAAGATCCATGCGTGGTGCCCAGTTGGGGATCACATGGATCTCGAAAGCTGTTGGACAGGTGGCCTAATTTGCCCACACAGCCCATTGCGAGAAGGCATGATGGGACGGAGGTACAAGCATCATCAACATCTATTGACAGAGGCTCGGCTTCAGCCATTGTAAGAATGGTTTCTTCTAGAACAGCTATTTCTGACCAAGCATTTCACATGGCCTCCACAGGCGCTTGGCAATGTTGGTGGGCGCTGAACAAAACCATAACCTGCTGTGGTAACTATATCTTTTCTTTTCAACACAGATATCCTCTGGTGCCTCAATCCCTGGCGTTTTTTAGGATGCTGATGCGGAAACTGCACAACACAGGAGCTCCAACACGATCGAGAGTTGGTCCTCGCGGCCGTCAAGTCCAACGCCGGCGCCTTGTGGAGCGTCTCGGAGGAGACGGAAAGGTTCGGGCGCATCGGAGATTCGAGTCGAAAGCACGGGCATTGACGCATTTGGCCGTGTTTCACGTGTTTGTTTTGGTTTGACCGAGGCTGAGGTCCCTTTTTGGGGTTTTGTCAGGGACGTAGCCTCTGGACATGAGCTGCAACACATGTCGGTGATCCGTTCATGTGCGGTTTTCGCTGAGGAGTTTCGCGGTGACCGGGAGGTGATCCGCTTGGCCGCAAGGTGGGAAAGTTTTCGGTACGGACCTGGGTACCTTCGGTGATCTGGTGGAAATTGCAGGATGTGATTGTCGTCCTTGGTAGCAAAGGTTTGACACCCATTTTTTGAGGTCAGAAGCTTGGCCCCCTATACCATCTTATACCCAAGGTTTTTGCATGTTTTTGCATGGTTTGCTTGATCCTCGTCCTCATGGATATGAAGAGAACTTTGGAAATTCTTCGATGGAAGGCATTTGCTGATGGGAGGATCACATCATGTGTTGCTTTGCCGAACACGTGGCCTGCTAATGGAACGAGTGCAAGTCTAGAACAGTTTTATGTCCACCAATCGGTATGTGCAAACCTTCATACTCCATGTTTGCTGCGGCGGCTGACTGTTGGCAGGAAGGCATGTTACGCGGATCCTGCAATGAACACGCCTACGAAGCCACTGGACGGCTACCGGGCCCAGGGGGTGGCCTTGTGGAAAGCGTCCGAGGAGTGGATCGGGACATCTCATGGGGGGCTTCAGACTTCAAAGATTTGGTTCATTTTTGCCTCCAAAGGTTACTTGAAGCTTCAAGATTTGGTCACATGACTGCATTGTTGTTTGTAAAAAAAGAGATATTCCTTCACCCGACAGCCAGACATTGTTTTGTTCTTAAACCGCTGCATTGCCGAAGCTCTGTTTGTCACTAGCCACGTACGTGATAAAGCCCTTGCCTTCATTGTAGGAGCTCATGACAGATCGGGATTTCGTGTTGGAACTGGTCCAAATCAATGGCCATGCCTTGGGCTTTGCCTCCCATACGTTCCAAGATGATCGAGAGCTGCTCGGTTTCTACAAAGATCCTTTTGGTTGAGTTCGTGGGAATTGGATGGGGAACTGAAGGTTTCTAGATGGGTTGTAGAGGACGCTACTAGTAACAAAGGGCATCGCTACGAACGGAGCAAAGGGCATCGCGCTACTGGTGGCCAACAGATCGAAACAGGGGTTCCCTGGATGGTGACCACAAGTCGTAGGAAGACGTGTTTTTTTTGTGTGCAGTCATGTGTTGTGTTGTGGTGTGGGAAGGTGGAATTCACCGCCCCGAAATCATAGATCGCCTCCCCAGAAGATGCACTACCTCGAAATTGGCCAACTCTGGAAAGACGCTCCTGTCAAGGGACCTAGTAACATCTAGTAACTACTTCCATGGTGCAACAAGATTAGGTTGGACCTTGGAAGGAGCAGTGCACTTCTCTTCTTTTGGACAACAACCGAGGACTGTCATGGTTTGCCGGGGAAATGGAGGTCGTGTCAGCTTGCCAAAGTCGGGCCTCTCAAGGTCCCATCGAAGCTTGACATGTTGAGTCAGCAGATTAGATATGGCTCACTATGGGCCACAGCTCGAATTCTTCCAACCCAGCAACCAAGAGCAAGGTATCAAAGGTGGGGTTTAGAGGTCTGCTCATGTTCATTATCACACGTTGAACCGTAGAGTCCCGAAACCATCCGAAACCTAACACAAGGACTATTTTGTGACAAGTGACAAGACGCTCCTCGTGTTCGTGACAACCCCTGAGCTCTTAGGTTGCTTGTGACTGCTGTCAAGAATAACGTTTCTGCTGTGCAGACGCTTGGAGACATGGTGAGACACCAACACGGATGAATCACGGAACTTGGGGTGTGGGGTGGAACTGGGTGGAACCACATTTCTCCATTGCTTCTTGGGATTTGAAGAAGTCTTTGGTCGATGGAAAGGGTTGGCTGAATTCATGTCATTTGCGACAATACAGAGATTGTGCCGTTTAGATAATGGTCTTTGGGTGGTACGGCCCGTGCTAGGCAGAATCCTGTAGGAAAGGTATTAGGAAAGATGCGAAATTTGTCAGCATGGCTGGGCTTTTGCTCAAGTCAATGGAGATGACCATGAGAACTCTCTCCGCAACTTCTGGAGTTTAGTCCACGCTGAATTTGGGTGTTGGAGGCCACTCTGTCGTCGATGCCAAACATGTGGACATGAGGGTGTGAAATGCATTGAAATGCATTGAGGAATCTCAGGTGTCTACAGCCGATGCCTTCTGGTCGGGAGTTTCGGGAGTTCTGATCAACCTCCATATACGAAAACAGAGCACCTCTTACCTACAGTCAACTTTGGATTGGCGCCACCCTCAGAACTGCAAGTACTGGTACCTGTGTTTCAGAACCAGAATATACTCATTCTCACGTGAAGCACGATCAGTCCCCTCAAATCTGCGGTTGTCATGCTTCCTCGTGTCCGTCCGTATTCTGGAGCAAACTTTGAGGCAAGTAGTAACAAGAAGCTACCAACGGGGCTCCTGGCCTTACTACTACGTAGGAGCGATCGGACGCTACGAACGGGGCTCCTGGCATCGCTACGAACAGAGCGATCGGACTTGAGGTATGGCAGTGAGAGGTTACAAGACGACAAGGAGATCATTCTAATGGCCGTTTCCTCCGCCGGCGCCGAGACATGAGATGGAGTGGCAGGAGTCGGCAGTTAGACATCAGACAGATGCTGGTTTACTTGGTTTGATGTGTTCTTTTGGATGCTCTGTGGGGAGCTCGATGGTTGAAGCTGCATCCTATATGATATATGGTATTTGAAAGGTTATTTTTGTGGCCAGTTTCCGGAAGGAATGTCATCTGAGTCCTGTATTGACTGAACCAAAAAGCGATCGACCGATTTCATGAAAGCATTGTTCGAAGCCTCCCGGTTGCATTGTTCTGGAATGGTTGAAGAGCAGTACAAGTGACAAGGGCATCCATCATCAATCATCCCAGTTGGGCTGAGAATTTGGAACCTCAATGCACAAACAAAGCCTGTCGGCAAACTCTCAAGATGTCTCAAAGCTTTCTATTCTAGTCAGGATAGGAAACCGCAAATGTCTCAACATGTCTCAAAGTGTTTCAGTTTCTGCAATTCTGCCGAAGCCTGAAGGCTGGAGCAGGCGTAAAGAAGGAAGGTGCAGGATGATGTAAATCTATCAACGACTCCTTTCTCCCGAATTCAGGACCCCTGCAACACGAATTTCCTTCGAGTCACAGGGGTTTGCACTGCAACTGCTTCATTCCAAGCTAAGCTAAGTCTGCATGGAGGGTTTTGTGAGAAGTCCGACATGTCTAGGCAATGTTTGTAGTTGTTCCCAGTTGAGCAGAGGTTCTTAAATAGATGTACATATAAGGGTTAACCTAGGGTTAACCTGTAAATGGTTGGATGTAGGCATTCTGCTTGGGGGCGTAGGCTGGCGTAGGCATGTTTTTCATATTTTTTGGCAGAAGCTGCATAGGCGACGCATTTCCCAGTCAAGAAGATTCATACAGGAAGACTTTAATAAGTATGACTTCTCAATATTTCAATTGCTACCTAGATAGGAGTAGGCAAGATATTAGCAAAACCAACATGCAGTAGGCGTAGGCACCGCGTAGGCGAAAAGTAGGGTAGGCGTAGGCGAAAACTAGTGCGGGAAGACTTTGCCCCAGACATGGCTAAGTGAAGGTTTGGAACTCTTCCTCGTCCATATGGCCTGCCTTTGTCGTTAGTAGGCCTTTCCCCATGGCTAAGAAGGAACCCAACGCCTTGCAAAACAATAGACGAAAACAACAAAACAACGAAAAGCTTCCAAAACTGTAGCCGCGTAGGCAAAACCATTCAGTGATTAACAAAAACTCCACGCGCGTAGGCCGCGTAGGCAACCTATCCTAACTTCGTAGGCCAAAACTGTGAGCGCGTAGGCAGAAAGTAGGCTTGGCGTAGGCACCAATAAAAAAGCCTTTACATCAGTAAAAAAACACAACTCAGTTGCAGACTTTCAACATCTCTTAACGATAAAAGCCTGAAGAGCTCCTATTGTCCGCCTGTGTCAAGATCATCCATGTTTCCTTTGTTGAAGCCAAATGTGGGCCAAGGCCAAAAGCGTCGTTTTCCTGCACATTTGCGAGGTTGCTGTTCTTCATAGTAGCTTCTTGCTCCATTCGTAGCGATGCCAAGAGCCCCTAATAGCTTCTTGTTCCTAGTAGTAAGGCCAGGAGCCCCTGGTAGCGTCCTTGCTCCTTGTTTTTTCTTTTGTATGAGTTTCCCTTTCACTTGCTTTCCTGCTTTGCCATGCCCTTTTTCTATAAATGCTTCCTTGCTGTGTTTGTATTTTTCTTCCTGGTATTGCTTTGCCAGCTCTATGGTTACCTTTTTTTTGCATATGTTTGTCAATTGTATTTTGCTACCCCTATCCCGAGCCTACATTTTTTCCTAATTCATGACATCGTGTTTTTCTTTGAACTTGCATTAATTGGTCGATAGCATCAATGCATTTGGCAGTCTTAAGGCTTAAGGTCTTTTGGTGTTGTCAAGCTATGTTCCGAAAACTTCTAAAAAACGTGAATTCCCAGTGTCCATTCGCCAATCCAACAGACAACTCACCGTAGAAAATCACAAGTCCTTCAGCCGACTGCCGTAGTTCGAGTCTCAAAGTGTTTGAAACTGACCAGATTCCCATTGAAATGCTTAACCACTCCATGTTTGCATCCTAAACCGCTTTGGGCGCCCGTGACCGAGCTCAAGCCCAGCTCAACCGCGGCCCCAAAAGCATCCAGGTTGGCTCATCCCGTTCGTCTCCGACCGGCTGCAGCGTGACCCGGAGATTTGTTTCGCGGCGGTGAGGGCCCAGCCGGAGGCCCGGCAAGTCGGCATCACGGTGTGCACCACGTTGTGGGGCGAAGCCGGTCGATTGGGCGCTGACCACTCTTGGGATCACGTCATCCCTTGGGATCCAAGATGATCCAGTTGTACCTTCTCAGAAGGTACGACTGGGCCCTCCAAACCTACAGTGTCTTCACCTGAGAAGGTACTTGGATCCCTAGGGCATATCACATATTTGTAAATCAATATCATCCCATCCACCGTGACCGTGTTTCTTTTTTCTGAAGCGCAGCATTGTGTCCGACTTGCTCAACAGAAACCTTCTTTGGGCTCATGTGTGCCAAGGCCACCCAATTGCCATCCGATCCATGCAATGCATGCTAAGATTGTCCATATTGCTATTAGGTTGGAGGCCATCGCTATTAGGTTTTATTTGTTTCTTTCTTCCCCCAGCACTTGAATCTAATTGCCAATATGTTTGTATCACACGCAGTGCTTGGGAGCCTTTAAGGGGACGGTCTTAAGTCAAACCTATGGGGACCACCCGGTGAGGCCATCAGCTATGTGGCACCAGAATTGATTACCAGAGAGCTGCTGATGATTGCAGGAACAGGTGCAGCAGGGCTTGGCGTATGGGGCTAAGAGACGAGCTAAAGGAGGTCGATTCACAGCAGGAGTAAAGGAGGCTGTTTGTGAAGAGCATTCTCGAGAGCTAGACTATTTTGGCCTGCAATGTTTTGCAAAACTATACCAACTATACCATTTGAGATTGCCTGGTCACACTCCTGATGATATGTGGCATATTTGGGCATACATGGTCTCCGGTGAATGATTAGAGGAGTTGATGTGACCTTGGGAGAAAGCATGGAGTCCTTGTGATATGGTTCAAGGCAGCAGAGGCCACGACATGCCAAGAACGAATCTCTCATCATCATCTCTCTCTATCTCTCCGTCTCTCGTATCGTCGCGTATGACCAGGAGGGAGACTTGCTCTTCTATGCGAATGAAGAGTTGAGGAACGACAAAGAGCTCGTGATGAAGGACAAAAGCTCTGGTTTGCGATTTCAACTCAATGGAAGGGACGTCACACATCCGAGAGATAAACAACTTCGATTCAACCCAAGTTGCTTTTTGTGATCAGTCGAGGTTTCTATTTCCCTCCACAATTGACCTGAAAGTAGTTTGGTCGTTTCAAACTTCTAAGACCTGCTTCTCACGCAATTTGGCAAGCCCGTTTTTGCCCTCAGAGCTTCTGGTCGAAACCACTGAAACCTCAGCCGACCGGGTGTCTGGACCTCTTTGGTGCAGGCCGTGACCTCCAGCGCGGATGCCCTGGATCAGGCCTCTCCAGCCTTGCAGAAGGACGAGGACGTCCTCCGTGCGGCGCGCAAGGAAAACAGCACACGCGCCCGCACGCGCCCGCACGTTCTGCGTAGGGCCAGAGAGAAATCCCAGACCGGTCGACTGGTGCCAAGGCTTTGTGAGACCTGTGGGAACCTGCTGGAAGTGCTCCGCGTGCCTCCCAAGATCGCGCAAGGCCGCTCGGTGCGAATTGCAGTTTGAAGCACGCCGGAAGGACATGGAAGGACAAGCAACACATCAAGTATGAACAAAAACATACAAAGATATCTACGTAAATTGTATAGTTGCAATTGTTCGCTATAGGAACGCGAAGCCGCAATGACACTTTTGCCAGGCCCAATCTTCCAGTCAGCGAAGCAGACGTTGCCGATGCACTCCACGATGTCGGCGAAGGTGGTCAAAGCTGCCCATGCACATATTATTCATTATTATTGTGTATGCATTTCGGTTGGAGGCCATCGCTCTTAGTAACAAGAAGCTACTAGTAACATCGCTACTAGGAGCAAGGACGCTTGTAGTAGCTCCTGGTCTTACTGCTAGTAACAAGAAGCTATTAGGTTGGAGGCCATCGCTTCCGGAGGCCATTGCTAGCAGTTTCGGAATGTGGCAGACCTCCCAAACATCCGGCTTTCGAGGACCGGTCCATTTCGGATCCCCTCACCGTTCAGGGAAAGTCGGACCGTTCTTGGGATTTTGCTTTGTAGTAGCTGCTAGTAGCTTCTTGTTCGCAGTAGCGATGCCCTTTGTTCCGTTCGTAGCTTCTTGTTCCTAGTTGGGGATTTTGGTTTGTGCGTGTGTGCTTGTTGGACCGAGAGGTGAAAGAAAACACACTGCACTAGTGACTCTCCTCCCAATGGTCTGCCAGACACAAGAAGAGACCAATTCTTTGTCAATCCTCAAAGGTCACCCATTTTCGCTAGTTCTTCCAAAATGCGTTCAAAACCATTTCGCCACCGAACTGGTCCAACGGTTTCAGTTTTGGCTCAAGCCGCAACCAAACTCCCACGCTGCTGGTGCCGGGACCAAACTCCGCCAGGGTTGCTTAGTGCGGGTGGTTCTGCAGGAAGATGCCATGCCGGACGTAATGATCCCAGGATTTTGGAATAAATGGACTAAACATATATCCGTTATACAAAATGACAGAACGTAGATCTTCTTTGGGTTGAATGATGCAAGTGTTGGTCAGCTTCAATTGTCCGGAAACACAAAGGCGGAGGGCTGTTTGCTCTGACAAACTGACATATCGCCACGAGTGATCCATTTATCTTATCCAGATCGCCCTTTAAGCTTTGAATTGAAATAGACACCCTGTGAGACCCTGTGTGGTCCAGAAGTAGACCTTGTTGGCATTGTTTGCATCAGTTTGTGCATGTTCGACGTTCGACTCCATGGCCAAGGATCGCTATGCCTGCTGGTGTCAAGAACTCTTTTGCCGTTCTGGCTATGGGTGCCTTGACTGAGCGCAATCAACAATCAAGTTTGCCCACAATAAGTTTGGATAAGTTTGGACTACTTTGGATTGTGAAAAAGGGTCAGAGAAGCTTGTGGAACCTAGTAAGGTAAGGGCAATATTTTTGCCTTGCCCAATTCTATGGAACAGCAGGTTTGTAGTATCCCTGGCTTGATCAGCGTAAGGCGTAAGAAAGAAAGCATCGTCCAAATACCCACTCAGTGGGGTACAATGACGACATTCACAGGGATCAAAGATCTAGGAACAAGTGCATCGCTAATAGTAACAAGTGCAATACTACTAGTTACAAGAAGCTACTAGTAGCAATGCACTTGTTACTATGGAAGGAACCAACACGTGAAGGAACCAACCATCCGTGATGCTTTTGGCCCTGGTTTTGCCGAAGACCAACACCTGCAGAAATGCGTGATGAGTTGATGTTGAAAGATAGAACAGCTATGGAAGCCAAGCTTGTATTCTTTATTTAAGCTCTATATGCCCCAAAGACAGGTATTCCATGCCTGTTCTCTGGTGCATGTTCTCCCCAGTCGACTCCGGACGACCGGGACGAGAACCGAGGCGATTCTGACGATGAGCAGGAGCAGACCGAGGACCTGGCAGAGTCTGGTGTGGATCGATGTGGAAACGGATCACCCAGAGGGCCCAGACGAGTCTGGTTTTGGTTGTCTTCGAGGGTGAGAAGGGGAGCACGTCTGTAAGATCTGTAAGTTCGTGCCACTTAAGGAGAGAAAGGATGTGAAAGGCAAGATTCATCAGTCAAGAGAAGACTACTGTAATTATTACGTATGTAATTAGATGTGCTCATTTCGGGTGACACCTGCCCAATATCTTGGACGGGTTTACCGTACTCTCGGTACTTCTACTAGATCATTTTTGTCGTTGTCTCTCCAACCAAAGCTTGCGTTGCTGGCCTTGCTCAGCAAAGATTGGATTGTGTGGGCCATGTGTGCTTTTTGCGCTTCCCGTGTTTGGTGGGAGACCAGCCCAGCGCGTCCCAGTCTCACAAAAGTCTAGCATGATGTACACGGATAAATGTACATCCTTCTACTTCTACCTATCATTTGTGGGTCTTTTGGACGCTCTGCAGATTGTTGGGTTTTGCTGCAAGTCCCCTTGCAGTCTGATGTTCGGTCGCAGGAGCAGGTGCCAGTGGAAGAGGAGTATCCACAGGCCGGGAGGAAGCCAAGCAGTGGAGGTGCTGGGATCGTGGCGATCAGTGGACCCGGTGGACATGGGCCGCATGGCCGCCGCATGGCCAATTCTTTTGAACAGCCGGCCCTTACTTCATGAAGTTAGGGAAGGGTTCGCTACTAGGCTACTAGGAATAGGAAGCTAGCTCGCTAGGACGAATAACTCATGCACTAATGATGTGGTTGCTAGATTTTTACGGGAAGCTTGACCTGGTTCGGTGCCATCTATCCAATATCCATTTGCTCAAAATAACTCTTTGTGCTCGTGGGCTCCAAGTTTGTTCATTTCAGATTCAGCTAGCAAGCCATTTGTATCAGGAACGCACCATCTACCAGAAGTTCTGTATCCAGAAAGTTTGGAAACTTGTCAAAGATATGGCAGCAAGGTGGGACACCTCAAAAAAACAACTCAAGACATGTTTTGGATGCCTGTGCAGTGGCCACTACCGAGAGGTGGTTGAGGAGCCCGTTGTGGAGACGAAGGCAGTGGCGTGGCGTGGTGTGGCTTGCCGGCGCCATCGCACCAACAACTCCACAGGGAATCACCTCAAGAAGACTTGATGGTTAGATCTTACTAGTCACTACTAGCGATGGCCACCAACCTACTAGCGATGGCTTCACCGATTCAAGCTGGAAACAAACAGTAAGACCCATTTTGCAATTGGCAGTTCACGGGGACAAACAGGAAAGCGATTGATCCCATAGATCAAAGTGTTGCAAATCCTTAAACGAAGGTAAATGATCCTCAAGAAGATATGCAAGGGATTGAACAGTTTTGTTTCTATGCCATGCAGCTGGAGGGCTGAGAGCATGGCTGCACAGCTTCAACCACACAGCTCCCCGGTCTGAGCTTCCTATGAGACCCTCCCTTCCGACTTCTGTTGGCTGATAGGGTAAGAAGGGGAAGAAGAAAGAGCGCGCCGTCCCCGTGGCTGCTGAGCCACAGGCTGGTGCTGGGAAGTGGAAGTTGTTGACCAGTTGGCCGATGTTGGCTGCTGTTTTCTGCAGTCCAAGCTGTTGCAGTTGCAGTACGCTTGCAGTCTTCGAGGCGGAGGACCAAACTGAGTTCGCCTTTGCCGGCCTCAAACAAGTGAGGGAAACGCCTAAACATATTGGTCTGTGAGGCAGCGCCAGTGGCAGCCGTCACCGAAGTCAGAGAAGCACCCAAGAAGAAGGCGAGGTGTTCTTGGTCAACTGAGCTGCGAAACAAGAGATTCTGGTAACTCTTGGTAGCCCTTCTGACACATTCCAGTGTTGTTTGTCGCCCTGGATTTGGGTACCGCTGCAGATGACCAGCGAGTTCAGAAATCTCTTTTGGGACTGAGCGGGAGGGGCCCTTCCCTCTAAGGCCCAACTAAGCTTGGTCCCCAAATAGACAGTTGTCCTGTGCCCCCCCAAAGCCCTAACTGCTAACTACACAAGAACACAAGAATTGAGGTCCTTTTGGTCCTTTTGATCTAAAGCCGCCTCCAGTCACCAGCTAGCCGTTCCAGTCCCATCGACAGGAGGTGAAGGAGCCGAAGGCACGGTTTTTTGGGGAAGGAGCGCACGGACGAAAGAAGAGAAGAAAGGGTGACACCCTTGGGGGGTTTTCAGCAAGTGCCTTACTAGTAGTAACAATGTTTGCTAATGGGAGCAAAGGGCATCGCTACTAGGTTCGGATCCTTCAGGACCTTTCAGGTTTGGGGCCGTTTGGGTTCATCCACCAATTGGCGAAACAAGAACGTACAAGAACGTACAAGGACCACCCGAACCGGGCCAAATCTTCGCCAAGGCCAAGAAGCCAGCTGCATTGGGCAAGAACAAATTCGCAGCATTCGCTTTGCTGGGAGAGGATGAGGACTCCATCGAGGGATGTGGACAGATGCGAGAGGTGACAGTTCAAGCCCGAGGTGTTGCTTGGCCGGAGTGGGTGTTGATTTTTGGAAATGTTTTGGTTGGTGTGTTGAATCCCCTTCAGTCAACCTTGTGGATCTCCACTAACTCAAACAAGTGAAACACACCGCCCTCCCCAGATCTGCCCAGAGTGGACTTTCGAGCCTCAACCATCAGGACTCTGACGAAGAGTGAGCTTTTTGTGACAGCTGCCGAGATCCCAAGAGTGATAGCTGTGGGCAGCAAAGGATCTGCAGATGCCGCTGATGCCGCCTGATCGAACTATTGATGCAACCGTAACTAACTATATTCAAGATGAAGGACTTATAAAGGGAATCCATCAGTTTGGGAGCAACCAAATTGATCAATTGGCCATGTGTTCCACGACTCTTTGTTCTTCAACAATTGTTATAAGTAAGGAAACATACTGGCTCCTGCAAACAAGGAAGAGGTTGATCACATGAATGCTTAAGAGCAAGGCCTATAGGCATTAGACTATACAGAGAGTCGATGACCGTTGAAAACCATCACAGTGGTCGATGCATGTTTGGGGTGAAGTGGATTGATATCTACAGTTAAAACACATGGAAGGCAACGGGACAAAGACACACCATATAAAAGTGTTAAGCACATCCTTGCGGTTCAGCCGAGCATCAAAACGGTATCAGAGCGATCCAGATTTCGGGAGTGCGTCTCCGTATGAAGCTTCGCGGACCGGCCATGTGGTGATTCTTTCTATACGGAGGATGTGCTTTGCTGTCGTTGTATATGTTTAGATATTTAGTATATGCTTTTTGGCAACTTTTGATTTTTTATGCTTCTTGCAGCCGTTGGACGAGCCAGTAGCCTAGTTGATAATTGTAGGTAAATAACAAGTGTAGGTCATTAGTCGGTAGTTGCGGTGGTTCTGCTGCGAGTGAAAGGCAGATCAGTAATCCATACGCCGCTAGTTGTTCAGCCACAAAAGATCATGAATCTTCGAGGCTTCAGGAATCTCAGGTTGATACAGGCTGATGATTTTGACTTATGACCTTCCAATGACAATCATACATATATACATATATACATGTAAGTCGGAACAATAAAACAATCATATAGTCTTCACCTCATGCTGAGTGCTGTTTGCCTGGCTTCGATCCTATACCCCTCAAAAACCCATCTCTTTTCACCCAAATAGATCCGATCGAACACTTAACCTCCGGTCTCGGATCGGAACCCCCTTTTTTTCTTTGCCGGGATCGGAACCGGAGCGGACCAGCGCCCACTCCGCCCCCGCTCGTCTCGCAGGTGGCGGTCTAGGATTGATAACGGGCCCCCGATGGGTCCAGGGAGCCGCCGGCCGTAACGGAAGCCAATTCCTTGTGGACGAGCCTTTCTAGGATCTAAACACAAAGTCTACTCAAACAGGGTTGGTGGAGTTTTACAGGAGTTTATCACATGAAGATGCAGGACTCAGAGCAATCTTGGCTGTGTTTATTGCGGGTAACTATGGAACGGTTGGTCATTTACTTTGCATAGCGAAGTCATTCAGTTGTCTTAAACATAATTCATAAGTGTAGTGAACTATACTATGTAGAACTCCCCTTACGTGTTTGTTTGATTAAACTTGATGTCGTAGATTGCGACAGAAATAGACTTTTTCAATCCACTCAGAAATGTTGGTTGGATCAAACAGTTGATGTGAGGCAAACACTCTGGCTCAACATTGCAGATTGGTTTGTGGTCCCTGGACCTACTGGGGTTGATTGTACAGGAACAGTGAGGTGCGGCTTTGCCATCCGCGGTGGCAAATTCCTTAGTCAAACAGTTTGAGGGTAAGTTATTGATGATAGGGTTTGTTTGGTTCGGATTTGTACATCCAACGAGCAGTGTTGCCAGTCTATGAGGCCGGGGATTATTGATTGTGTCCTTTCAACGTAGGCAGCTCAGCTACCTCTGAGTTTTCTCTCATTTTCTGTGCCTTCTGATGGTATCCATCACTGAGTAATTATTGTATTGGATTGTAAACATTTCGGAAGCCCTTTAGAGTCAATCCAACATTGAATCAAGATGCCAAGTATTGATAGCTTCCAAACATGTCCCGACGTTTACGGTGGATAATTCTTCCCACCACCCGCTCGGTCTCTCATGTGTGTAGGCAACATGTGCGAGACAACTTTCTCAAGATGGAACTTGAACAAGTTCGCAATTTCTTCATCTCACTTAGTAGAGGTAGCCAAGTGGCATGTTCATAACATTTTACAACTATTGGTCATAAATCCAGCAACCTTTCCACACGGTCCCAATTTCGATGGCGCAAAGCCGAAGAGCCGCTGAACAGCCGCACCGGCACAGCGATTCGTCTCTGAGTCAGAATCTTTTAGAGCGCTCTCCATGCGAAAGGGCCGTGCCAAGCGTTGTTCGGCCTGAGGGCAAAGCTGAAGACGAAGGAAGCGAGATTGCTTTGTAGCTGAATTTTTGGGAAGCTGAAGAACGTCTAATATAGTTTAAATTGCTATTAGGTTGGAGGCCATCTCTATTAGGTTCCTTCTCTATTCGGTTCCTTTTGCTAGTAGGTTGGAAGCTGAAATGCGAATCGAGAGGAACCGTTTCATATGTCTGGGAGGATGATTTTGCAACAAGAAAGTGGCAGCGACAAGTGGATGTGAAAGTAGTGCTGCAGTTCTCTCCCTTGGTGTGTGCTTTACAAAGTGTCGTGTGGGCCGTGTGGGTGTTCCTGAAAGAACGTTTGCTATTTGGGGCTGACAAGGTGTTCGGCACGGTCTTCGCACCCCACTGGGGGGACGACGCCTCGAACCTAGAGACTTGACCGGACATTTCTCGCAAAAAGAAGAAGTGGCACACTCTGTTCTGAGCGTTGCTGGGTCCACGCACTGGGAACCGATAGCCAGGTTTTGCATTATTGGACAAAAGAGGAAGAAGACACGTCCTGCACTCTACTCAGCAATTGTGGAGTCATGCCACGCGCACTTGGGCTTTTGGTCCACTCCAGGCTGGTCAGATGTTCACTTGGCAGATGTTTGTGGCTTTGGCCACCTGTGGCACCGAACCTCTTCCTTTGCCCGTTTGCATGACCAAATGGAATTTGAAAAACACATCATACACCGCCCTCCCCCCCAGTTGTTAATAGGCTACCAAGTCCGGTGGACTTTGTCTCTTTGGTCCATCAACGTGGATCCGCGGTAGGTCTTCAGTACTCCAGTGCCACCACCGAGCTTCACAGTGCGAGGTTGGAGCGCCGAAAGCGATTCGACTGGGTTTTGTCGAGGGAAGGGCAGTCGTTTGCGGATGTTTCGGTTTGAGAATGGTTAGAAATAGAATTGGATGAGATGGGCGCAGGAATGTGACCGAAAGTTGAATGAGTTGCAGCCGTTAGGGTCTTTGGGCTGAGTGGTTTACGTAGTAGTCGGAGACTTGTTGAATCTGAGAATATATCCACGATTGCTGCGAGAAATCATACTTAAAGGCAGCAGCTCAGTTGTTGGTGAACAAACATTGTTTTGCCAAATGGATAGGATATTTGTGATGAGCTTTAACAACATCAGGCTCAGGATGTGTGCAATACAGATGGATTTTCAGAAGCACCACGTGCAGATTGCATGTATTTTTGTAGCAGGCAGCACTGCACCACTGCACTGGCACTGCATCACTGCATCGCCGTTCTCCCCGGAATGACGCATGACGCGCAGGTGGACTCAGCACCGAAGGCATCAAAGGCTCCGTGCCGCGTGCAGAGGCGATGCGAGTGTCGTGGATCATCCGGCGTGGGCAGTGGCGGTCGTGGCGAAAGCCCAGCCGTGTCAGGTGGTGACCCAGCCGTGTCAGGCCGGCCCTCCGGTCCTACCCGACGAGCCAATGGACTTGGCGAAAGCCCATGCCATGGCTCTTCGGAGCTTAGAACGTCCGGAGCCCATGCGAGCGCAGAGAAGGTGAGGGGAAATACTATCATGGACTGTAGTAGACAGACTGTCAGGTGAACATGACCCATAATCACCCATAATCCATGTGGGGTAAACATAACGTGTTTCATGATTCTAGCCGACGAGAGCGCTTACCCCCATGTACACACGCCCAAGTTTGAGCGGTTTTGAAGAGATGCGGCCAGTAAGATCAGGATAGCCAACTAATTAGCTAATAATGCAAAGGAGGGGTCCAAAACAGTATTTTGTTGGGTCTATTAGCAAGAGATGAGAACATGAGTGTTCAGTACACCCCTGCCCCCCGCCAAACAAAATAGTATTTCACATACAATGTTGGGGTAATATTTTCTTAATCCAAACATTATTTCATATTCTCAAGATGCTTCCTTGTTCTGATATGTCTGCAACATCCCGTTTTTCTCCCAGCGCATTTACACACATCACACTCTACTTCAATTTTGGTGTATTCTTTGCTGTATGCCTTAATCTCTTCGGGATTTTCAGCAGAGTTTCTCTGCCACAACTCTTTTACTTTGTCAGGATTTTTTGCCCTATACCTTCTTCCCTTTTCCATACATTTGTTGCAACACAGAATTTTGTCAGTAAATTCTTCAATATCTTTTAAACTTTACAATCGCCACAGCTACGCATTTGAGTGTTGAGTACATCCATCTGTACTACAGTAAGCTGTTCACCCCATTTAAATCTCTTCACCTCATCTATTCATCAAAAACATCTAAACACTTTCACCTAGATTTTGTTAAAGTAATATAGGTGAAATGGTTTCTTATTTATAGCCTAACCGTTTTTACTGACTGCGATGACGCCCCGTCATTAAAACGAAGACGCCGTGTCTTCGCATCATCACAAAACAGTTTAGAGAAAAAAATAATCATCGCTTGTCAAGCTCTAACAAACCCCAGTTGAAACATCTCACAAAATACCCAAAAACATTTGATAGAACTTTCCACTGAGCTTTATAAAAGGATTTAGGTGAAGTCCTTTTTTTTATTACAGTGCTTACTAACTGCGATGATGCCCCGTCATTGAAACGAAGACGCCCCGTCATCAACAGAAACAATGACGCCCCGTCATTCAAACGAAGACGTTGAGTCATTACAATGAAGACACACTCTGATTGACGTATGTTTCTCAAAAACTCACAGAGAGGCATCACAAATACAGCAGAAATCTCAACAATTTCAGCACCACCTCACCCATTCTCAAACTAGTTCACCTAGATGTTATTAATTGTACGATCGTACTTTCAAAAGTTTATGACGAAGGAAAGGATGGTCTCAAGTGACGGAGGGCAACGCAAACACCCTGGCCCTAAATTTATTGTCCAATAAATTCGGGAACCTCAGCAGGATAAGGGAAAAAACGAAAAACCTGCTAAATTTATCGCCCGATAAAATTGAATTTATCCACCCATAAATTCGCCTTTTTGCCACCTGCCCACCCTCTTGACTTGCATTCGGCTGAATTTGCACAGCCCCCCCTACACTTTTACCATCAGAACAGAATGGCATAACATTTCACAACAAAAAAGACCATAGCAAGCTCACAACAGCACACATAAAATCTCATACAACAAAACACAAAGCAGTCAAGCATCAGCCTTTCCTACCCCAAAATCTCGGGTAGCCTACCTTAAAATTCTAGGTAGCCTACATTGTAGCTTAGGGTAGGAGGTAGCCAAAAACTAATCTTTGTATGCTGGAAGTGGCAGGTGCAGGGTTTCATAAGTGCAGATTTTCGGACTGTGTGGCAGGTGATGAAGTGAAGATTTCGTACAAAAAAGGTCATGCTTCATCAGACCAAAGGTAGTATTTGTCATCCTTGTCTTTTGCAATCTTGTAGAACTCCAGAGTTTTTTCTTTAGGCTGTTTTATCTTGCCTTTATGGAGCATGTCCAAGTACTGCTTTTGTTTCAATTATAAACGACAAACAGTTTAGATATAACAAAACAACCCCATATCACATGTTTTAACAAAGAAATTGTTAATAGTAAAGAAAACAAACAAGTACAGAATTTCTGCCTTGAAAAAGGCAACGGATGTTATAAATAGAGAAAGGTTAGATAATAATAATCAAACACATAGTAAAAGCAAAATATGGGTTAGACACATTTAATTAGCATTTAGAAAGTATGCTAATTCAACAATTTTGGAAAATCATCATTTAAAAAAAGGAAATTAGAAACAACTATACACCAAAAACCGAAACTATTAGATCTTTTAAGAAATAATAGAAGTAAACAATCTAACATAAAAATGGAAGGATCATGTTTGAAACACCTACATATTATGATAACGGAAATAAATTAGGAAATTAGGACTTTGTATATTCCCTACCATTAACCCGCTGTAAAATTAGTAATAAGGATGAACTAACACAAGCATTAGAAGATAGCGCTATTCAAATCCGATTACAAATACAAAATTTTGAAAATTCAACATCTAATTTAAGGTTTAAAACGATTTTACAATAACTATTCACCATGATAGATATGGTCCAACAGGAGTAAGGAGATGCATAGAATTACCAGAAATGATTAAACAATAAAAGGTATGTATCACTATTAAAACTAAAAACAAAAAATCCTTCAAATATCGCATTTATGTTTAAATCTATAACAAACTAACATATCACTTAGAGGAATTGTTCCACTATAATGAACTAAAATATTATATTTTAAACTGGGATGGTATACATAAAATAATACACCAAAATTGAAGTAGAGTGTGATGTGTGTAAATGCGCTGGGAGAAAAACGGGATGTTGCAGACATATCAGAACAAGGAAACATCTTGAGAATATGAAATAATGTTTGGATAAAGAAAAATATTACCCCAACATTGTATGTGAAATACTATTTTGTTTGGCGGGGGGCAGGGGTGTACTGAACACTCATGTTCTCATCTCTCGCTCTATTTAGTGTGTCTTCTCAGGGGGTATTGCTACAAAGTTGACTTTGTTCCACAACCTCTTTGAAGAAATCGATGAATGGACACCCTTCCGCCCCAAAAGAGACGCGACACTTGGTGACACTTGTGATATCGGTTCTGTGTCGCTCTTCCTCCTAGAAAGATCACTACTAGTAGCAAGAAGCTATTAGGTTGGAGGCCATCGCTACTAAGGGTGGAGGCCATTATTAGTAGCAAGAAGCTACTAGTAGCTTCCTTGCTACTAGTAGTAATGCCCTTGTTACTAGTAGCGATGCCGGCGATGCCTTTGTTTTGAACAAAAAGGGACTCGACATTTGTCCACATCGACGTCCCGACCGGAGGCCTGGCTGCTCGGCGGGAGATGAATGCAAAGGAGGCATTGAGACCGTCGAATTCGATCAACTCTTGGAACATCTTGGAACCAAAAGTCCAGACTGTGATTGAGTAGAACACTCAGCATTCAATCATTCAGCGAATTCAGCGTTCATAAGAGCATTTGCATCCACTTTCTGCTGCGGGGGGGGCTGACGCTCCCGTTGCACAGGGCGAAGCTGGGGACCAGACTTGTGAGTCTGGTCATTCTCCCACTCGGGTCGAGGCGCTCGGTCGACTGGGTCGACCGGGTCGTTCCCGGATGCCGAAGAAATGGCGAGGATCGTGTTGGGTCCAGACTACGGTAGGATGGCCCAAGGTGTTGCAAGTTGCTCAGACACTGACAGGAAAGGTGACTCGGAATCTAGATGTCCGACCAAGACCAGAACAGACCCTTCCGTTGAGTGCGTCGGATTCCCTCGTGATTGTGGGGGACTGAAAACCAACTGCGCTCAGGTTTCACAGTGTTCTCCTTGGGGGTTGGTGGACTCTTGGACTAGGAGTGCTGAGGAATGAAGCAATGAAGCTGCTAAGCTGCAGAATGGTCTGTTGGGGGAATGAGGAATAGCTGCAAAAGGCCAACAAAAGGTAATTTCTGCAACATCCCAACGGTCTTGTCAGCAGGGTGGTTTGTTCGTATCAATATCCACATCCCGGACCACAAGCGAAGACAAGGTATCAGCAGACAGGCATCGATTCATATCAGGTTTAACCGCCACACCACATGAATTTTATCATGTTTCTTGAAAAAACACCTGTAAAGCCATGAAATTGATGTTGGAATACTCGTCCAATTTCAATGTTTTACTTGGGAGGCTGTGGTGGAGGAAGCTGCAGCACCATCCATCAGGCAGGCATTGAATGAAAGATGCTCCAGGGAGTTGTGGCAATAAAGCATTGCAGAAGGTTTGGATAATCTGGACATGTCTTGACTTTATGGGTTTGGGCCGCCTTTACTTTGCTCTACAACAACTTCCTCAAAAACACCAGCTATCATGCAGATGTCCGTTTTAGTAAACGGATGAGACTCAATTTTATTTGGGCACCACAAAATTGGAAGTGTACGAAGTAAGGATGCTGCTCAAGATCACCAGTTGAAGCGGAAGTGACCTGACGAGTTCATGTGAGCAACAATTGACAAAGCCATGTGGTTGTCACTTGTTGCGGAATCAACAATGACTGCCTTCGGAAGACCTCAAACATGTCCTTTCATAGTGAGGTGGTACAAGACGTAAAGACAATGACCTGCCAAACACATAAGAATCTATCAGAATATATCATATAATGATTGGGATATTGATCGGTTGCTACGTGGGTAATGGCGAACATGCAAATATGTCAGAATCCATGACCACAGATAATGTTGAAAACATGTGATATGCAATGGCAGTGCTAACCAAGACCTATTACAAATTCTAGAAGGCCGAGTGCAGAGTGAATGGTGACACCGCTGGAGCGATCCCCAGGTCGAGCGATCAGCTCGATGCGTTTCCTGGAGCTCAACGAGCTGCCGGAGCCGAAGGCGAAGCCGAAGGCGGCGGAGCCGAAGGGGGCGGAGTTTTTTTGAATTTGAGGATTCCAATTTTTGTGGACAACAACTCCATTGGAAAGCTGTAGACTTGAAGCTGCTGGAAAGCCTCGCAAGTCTTGACACATTTGGTGTTGGCCTGGGGGGTTTGATTGCAGGGCGTATGAAGAGTCAGTGTCAAAGATGTCAATGAAGGGAGCTGGAAGACCATAGGGAGGCTCCTACAGGTCAAGATGGCACTGTGTGTGAAGCGTTTGTTTTCTAAAATCTTGCTTCCGGCTGGTTGACTAGTGCAGTTCGACCAGATTTATGTGATTTGATGAGCCAAGAGTAATGAGTTCTTATTACTTGGGGATGCAACGGGTGTGTCTGAACAGGTCTTTGAACCGGTCCGATTCTTTGGCAATTTTTGTGCCTTTGTGTCAGGCTCTGTGGGCAGATGGGAAGGGCTTGAAGCGCAGGAGAAGCCGGGACAAGGTTTATTCAGTTTACTCAGCGTACATGACGTAGATCTCCGCGTACTGCGCAGAAAACTGTTAACCCTGAAAGCTGAGCACTGGGACAAGCGGAGCGCAGCAGATTCTTCGACCAAGATCAGAGGTGTTGTGAAAGAATGTGGAAATATGTGGAAGGAGGCCATCTCTACTAGGTTGGCGGCCATCGCTTCTATCGATAGTAAGTCGTTGTCCAATATGTCCACATACGCATGAGTTCTCTTCTTGTGCTTGGTGCGACTTGGTGTACTAGATCCTTTGCCAGATTACATAACGAAATATGACTCCCTTGCGCCAGTCCAGATCAACTCTGAGAAAATTTGGGGAATGGGGGACCACGTGCCACCAGAGGTAGACTGGCCTCGAGGATGCTGAGATGTTCAATTATATGTGGGCGAATGTGGGTTTGATCAGCACTTGAGACTCTTTAGCAGGATCAATTGTAAATGCATAAATTCATTTGGAGAGAGACAATGACATGAAGCAATGAGCCAACGTCCTGTTGAAAGGAGCGGATTTTGGTTCGTCAAGTCCTAGTTTGGGTGGGTCTAGCATGCCATCCCTGCATCTCGCACATTCAAAATCTTCCTTCAGAGGAGCTCAGTGGAGATGGCTTGCTGGGTGGTTTAGGCAGGTGTGTTGCCGGAAGGGCTCATGGGAACCATGTTTTGTGTTGTTACACTGTTCTTTTTTTGTTGGCGTAGTTTATAGTTTACTAAGTTTACTCTTTGCATGCTTTAGGCTGACTGCTCTGGATCAAGTGTGCATGATTGGTTGCATGTGTTTCTTGGTTGGACAGGGTTCCACAAAGTCATTGAGACAGAGAGTTACTGTGTTGGACTTGGGAATTGAGTATGGTAGCTTGGGATTGTCCTGCATGATCTGGTATGCGAAAACTACGCTATTGGTCCGCTTAGTTCTTTGTACCGGTCTACGTCAGTTCGAACGACCTGTCGTGGTTGTGACCGAATATTTGGACTGAGCTTGGACAGCATGAATAGAGCATTCTAGAGGTGAAACAAAGTGACACCCACAATATGTTATATATATATTATATGTTAAAAAAAAAAATATATATTGAAAGAGAGAGGAATCATATGACACATATGTTTGTTGCTAATTATACTGAAGTGTGATTAGGTTCCACCACTCTTGCACGGCCTTACCATCGAAGCTGCACAAGTGATACAGGAGACCTCGCGACAAAGACAACATATTTCGGACAATGTTTTTGCAGCTGAACGGTCATATCCTCCCAAACCAATTGTCATAATGTTATATATGTAAGCAAACGTGAACTATACCCAGGATTTTTCTGTTTCACATGTTTTTTGGGGGACGTCACACCTTCCGTGGCTTTCAGACATCTTGACAACTCCGGTGGCGCCACTTCAGACGCCCAGAGCCTCAGACGCCTGCGTCGAAGTGGAAACCTTCGACCGGCAAACACCGACCCGACGGTCAAGACGGTTGCTGATCACCACGCGACAAGCGAGACCGAATCAAGCGCCGAAAAAGTTGCAGAACATTCCCCCTGTTCCCAACCGTTTGAAGAAAGCTACTAGTAACAGGTGCATCGCTACTAGTAGCAAGTGCCTTACTACTAGTAACAAGAAACTACTAGTAACAAGGGGCATCGCTACTAGTAACAAGGACGCTGCTAGGTTGGAGGCCATCGCACCGCGCAGCCGCTCAGCTCCGAGGTTTTCGCTGGGCCACAGCGGCCACAGCGGCCACGGCAGCGCTCGTGGCCCGCCCCGGGATCCTTTGCGCCACATCAGCGACGATGCGCGGGACTGGAGCTGTGTGCTGTGAGAGAAGGCGAACATACAAGGATTTCACCTATATTTTTACAATGAATTCACATGTTGCCATACCATCTGAGAGATTTCTTGCACAAGAGTTAGTCCCCATACTTGTTGACAGTGTGATTGGAGCTTGCTAAGCACAGCAGGAGTGGTATGGTGGCAGCAGTGGTAGTGCCACTCCAAAGCCAGATCTCTCGACCAAGCTCGAGAAAGAGGTGTCGGGGATATGGCAAAAGGAAGGGAATGGCGCTGCAATAGCGGACTGGGAAAGGAATGCTACATGAAACAGGTTCAGCATTGAAGTTGTTGAATGATCTCAAGCGATAACTGATACTGAATACTACTCTAATTAATTACATGTGAAGCATTACAAGATGATGACTCACCACCAGTGCAAGCCACCGAAGAATAACGGTTGGTTGAAGGTGTAAGCAATCGCGATTTGCATCGGCATGCTGGCGCTAGTTTGCATTTCGTGCCTTTCGACTGTCAGACAGTCAGAGGCAAATATTTTACCGTGGGATACACATGGCGACTTTTGGCAGGCCGACACGTCAAGCGCAGAGGACTGCCAGCTGGGTCGAGGCTTTTGGGACACTCAGCTCTCGAACTGGAGGGCAAAGACAAAGGCCGCAACAAGCATTCAATGGCAGGAGGCAACTAGCAACCAGAACGTATGTCGTTCTAAGGCCTATCGGTAGCTCTCCCCTCAGCGACAATGAAGTGGAAGTTCTGTGAGGTGGTTTCTGGTGACTTTGAATACCCAAGTACCAAGCAGAACCGAGTGGGTTATAGCTGCACTAATAAGGCTGCCAGGCTGTTTTCATCTCTTTTCCAACCTTGCCACAACATCCATGACCTTTGCTTGGGTTTTAACATTGAGTCAGGTTGGTTACGGAATGGAAGTATAGGAGTAGTTCATTCAATTCTTGCTGTAGTTCCAAGAGTAGTGTAGGATTACTGTAATCGGTCTCAAGAGATGCCCATATTGAAAGACTTAGTAAGTCGTTTGCGTGTTTTGTTCTGACATGTAGATTCCAAACACAAGACTCACAGAAGGAACAAACACTCATCTCTCAGCATTTGGCGAACGCTCAGCCTTTCGCTCGAGGAGGTTCCGTTTGTGGAACGTTCGCCGTCCAAGCTCGAGGACGAGGCGACCGGAAGGGACCCGGATCTGACCAGTTGACCGGGATCCGGACTCACGGTGCAGGCCTCTGCACCGGCTGTGCTGGCTGCACCAGCTGCACTGGCTACGCCTGGCCAAGCACTTGGTGAGGAAACATGATGAGGCATCGGCTTCCACATGGTTCTACCATGTTTGTCTTTCATGCATTGCACTGATCACGAGGTTCCACCCAGTTTGACCCCTATTTGTATCTCCAGCTGAGGTCAACCTCTGGCAGCGACAGTTGCGCAAGCTGTTTCAGCACGAGCATGTGAGGCCTTTCCTGGTGGAAGAGTGATGACGAAGCGCTCGAAACTTCAGATTTTGCTCCCATCACCAGTACTATTAGCCTCTCAATACCTGTTCAATGAAATGTCCAAAAATGTTCGGTGTCGATTGTCCTTTTGGTGAGCCACGGAACATGCTGCTGTAGCTACAAGTTCGTCCATCAAGAAGACTTTAGAAGGTGAATGATTCATCCATTTTGGGTTACTTCTCAGTTTTCCGAGTTGGCCCTTTCGCTTGCTGGGTCATGAAAGGAAAGGACATTGCCAACAGACGTCAGTTCAGCTCCGGGAACGCAGATCAACGGTGGTGATTAGGATTCGCTATTAGTCGGTTTTTCATCTCTTTTCTGCCTTTCTTCTTTCCTTAGCATGGTCAACACAGTCACCACGGCCGTGCGAGGGCAAGAGCCCCTCCTTCACACACTCGCCACACACGGGCTCTGAAATCAGGTGGGGAGACACATGTGCCAAGTGGGCGGGAGAGTGACAGCTGGAGAAGCTTCGAGAGACTATTCCCACACAGTGTTTTTGTATAACTTTCTCTTTGCTTTGTTATGTGTTCTTCTTTCAACCAGTGGGCTGATGAACATGAATCTTACCAGTGGGCTGATTGCGAAGTTTGCCACAGAGTTCAAAAGGGTGTTATCTAGGAATCTAGGACGCTCTGCAGAAAAATAGCAATAGTCAATAGTTGCATTTTGTTGAAAAGGCCAATCTGCAGCTGTCATGGCGATTTGCACTGTCTTTATCTTGTCTGGGAGAACTCTCTTCTGGGTGAATCCGATGTGACAGACTCCAGGTTCCTCCCCAGCAGAGCAGCGAAGAAAACATTCTACTCAGCAGTTATTTAGTGGTTGCTTCCTTTGATGAGCATTCCCCTCATAGTTCTCAACATGATTGTTGGTCCGTTTTGTTTCCTCGGTTTGGCGTGACAATGTGGTTTCTAAAGTTTAAGACTCAAATCACTAATAGACTCCACCAGGTTAAGCGATCTCGTTTGGAGAGTCCTTCCACGTCAGCCAGGCCTCGTGAAACTCAAGTGGATTTGACCGACTCCAAGCAGATGCAGGCAGCTCCACAAGAAGAGGCCAGGGCACAAAACAGGATCAAGAGCATACCAGAGACTTACGGCAATCCTCTAGACCTCTAGGTATTCTTTTTCAGGCAGAACCTTCGAGTCAGTTTGCTCCTTTTTTCATACCGATATCTCCAAGGCCAAGCTGCCCACGCTCGCTCTTTCCGTGGCCGAAACCTCTCCGGTGCCCGAAACGCCGTCGGAGGCTGAGGCCGTCGGGCATGACGGTAACCAGCGCATCGTTTCGATTACTTACGGGGCTAGCGCCCGCTGCCCCGCTCCGCTCACGCTCACATTCATCGGCCTAGAGCGGGGTCGGCGAACTAAGAATGTTGAACTGGTCAAACGGTCCTGATTCATCCAGTTTTCAAAGCCTGTGTTGACTTGCAGATAAGTTTATTTACTGTAGGTTTGGCGGTTGCATTCTTGATTAGATACGATTAGATACCCAAGCAAGCACCCTTGATGGCAGAAGTTCAGATTCAAAAGGCGTGGTTTTCACATGTTTGGATATTTGGGGAGGTTAAACGGTTCAGATATAAGCAATAGCAAGACACTGTTGTTGAGAGTGGTAGACACGCCAAAGGACCAACATGTACAACTGTTTTGCAAGTTAAATATGGATAGTTCTACATATTTCTGCATATAGAATTAATATATGTTTACATTTCTTTTTTTATGGGGGCCTTGAGGAACCTGAAACCTGTATCTCAAATTTTTTTGATCAAGGTCCAGGAATGCCACATTCCAAGCCATTATGAAGGCCATGAAAGAAATCCATGACATCGAAAAGACAAGTTGTGAACTCATCATGAAAACAATAATTTGTGATCAAGCCATGCAAACGTCCACCATTTCTGGATTTGACACCTCAATTTCATGTTCTCACGAAAAGCTCACGAGACCGGCCACTGAAGTGGTTCAGTCCAACAGGTGGAGGCAACTCGATCTCAGACGGCCACAGCTCCCTGATGTCATGTTGTTTCAGAAGTCGCTCAGCTTGAGGATAGCAAGGCTGACAATGACACAGACGTCCAGTTTACATAAATTGGCTGACAGGTCTGACTCTGACAAGGCTGACCGCTGCCGCGTCAGTTGTTTGACCGATGCTTGCTGTTTCTTCCGAAACTGCGAAGGATTGAGAACAGCAACGGCGTTTTTGCAAAGTTTCAAGGTGACCAATGGCTCGACTTTGCCTCGCCAACCAAAGGCTGATAATTGCTTGTCAAATCCTTCGCCTGACCGGCCAAAGGCTGACCACAACAAGTCCAGTTTCGGAAGAGCTTCGGCCTCACAGTTGGGAAGGCCCCGTATGGGCTCCAAACGTCGCCGCCTGACTGTGCAAAAGGCATTGTTCGCACTTTGTTCCTAGCTTTGTTTTCTTCTTGTTGGCTTGGCTTTTGGTTTGAATTTGTTTTGCTTTCTTGGCCAGGTCCTGCCGCTGCTCACTGAACTTTTGCTTTAGAGAAAAGGTGTCTGTCTCTGGGTTATTTTTGGCGTGCTTTAAAAAAGACAAACTTGAACAACCTAATTCTCTGTCACAACTACGGACAGCACAAAAGCCTGTGGCTATTATCCTTCGCCACTCAAAACCTTTCAATCACACCGTCTATGAGTCCACAAAAATGCTCACAAGGAAAGAGCTCTTTCACGCGCAAGTAAATCCCAGCACATGTGCTCAAGTAAAAGACAATGAAGTACGCAAGTCAGCATGAAGAAATGCTCATGTATGAGGCAAGACAAAATACTCATGTAAATGCGCCTGAAATTGGAAACGTAAGAGGCAAAACATGTCAAAGTTAATCTACCAGAAGGCCATAGAAAAAATAAGTACCTAGGACCTAAGTAAAATTAATTAGGTTGGCAAGTAATTTTAATTAGGTATGTTAGTACAATTAAATAGATTGATTTGAAAACAATACTTATAAAAGACAAAATGGTGTTTTTTTGCACCTAGTTTCTGCAAAATACGTATTATCGATGGCGAGTAAAATTACTAATCTTAGACTCAGGGGGTTTTTGTTGGATTTGCAGCAAGGCTAACCCAGTTGAGCAATCGACGTCTTTGAGCGCCGGACATGAATGATCTTCCGCATCTGATGTGCACGATCTCCAGGGGGTCACGTTTCGTAAGCATCGGCCGGGCCGCCCCGCCGCCGTAAGAGTGAATTAGAAAGATGAAGTTGTGGTTAGGTGCATTTTGTATAGGTGTCTTCACCCGTCTATCTCAGTGTTAAAGCAGTTGCGCCGCCTGCATCTCTGCGTGAAAAGGAATATGATGGCCGTGACGAGGGATGTGATGATGACGATCATGATGTAGGTGTGTTGTGGCAGCTGTGCCACCTGCATCTCCACACCTTTTGGCCATGGTGCGTGGATGTGCGTGGCAACAGTTGCGTCGCTTGCAGCCATTGCTACTGTGTTTTCTCAACTGAAATGGCGATTTTGGTGGATGGGAGTGTGCTCAGAACGTGTCGAAATCATTCCAAACATGTGGTGTGGTGCAAATTTTGTTGAAAAGCTCACATGATATGATAATATCGCTTTTCGTGGCAGGCGCGTGCTTTGTGCGGGTTTGGAAGTGTTGAAGTGCGATTTTCGTGGCAGGCGAGGGAATCGCAAAAGACTTGGTTCACGCAAACTCTGGAAGGTTTCTCGTTTCACTTGGGGGAAGGAAAGGAAAGGGAAGGGAGGAAGGGAGGCCGGGAGGGACAGAGAAAGCGACAGGGAGAGGGAAGGGAAAGGGGAAGGGAAAACGCAACCCTTGTACACGCATGTTGGATGACTTGGAACCGGCGCACGCTCCCAATTCTCCACGGATTGCATGGCTGCCAACCCACCCTCCAATAAATTTGGCAGGAAGGACCCATTCCAACGTAGCATGCCCTGTGTGAGCCAATGGATTGCAAAATTTAGAGGAATCAGGTGCCGTTCCAAAACAGCATACCTTTTGTGATGCAGCCGGTTCCCATGTAGCAAACCTTAGTGCAGCATACCTTCTGTGAGCCATTTTGGGTTTACTTTTTGATGTCCATAGCTTTATTTTTGTGAGCCACCCGCATGTTAAAATTCTGGGGCCACAACCACAAAGGTGATTACGTACCCCACCTTCAAGGGCCAAAGGCGCCAATACCTTTCGAGCAGGAAGGACCCACTTCAATGTAGCAAACCTTTTGTGAGCCACCGGATGGTAAAATGGAGAGGAAGAAGGGGACATTCCACTGCAGCAAACTTATATTGCCCGCGAGGCTGAAATTTAGAGCAGGCAGTAGCATACTGTTTGTGAGCCTTTGGGGATAGAAATTAAGAAAGCGAGGTGCCAGTCCAATCTAGCGGGTAACTTTTCATCCATTGGTAATACTTTTGTTTATTTATTGAATCTGTTTTGATCCCCTTGCCCATCACTCAAACTTCAACCAATATGTTGGATTTACCTTTTTTCCCTTGGATGGTTTGGGCCGCGGCCTTTACAAATCATGGCACGCTAGGGAACATCCACTTCGAACGAAAACGCCTTCCCATTTTCTATATTGAGGCTCGTTCCAGATCCACTTCGAGAGGCCGAGGCCAAGGATTTGCTTGTGGGTTTTGGCTTGGTATCCTTTCTCATTGGTTCGAAAAAGACCACCTCATTTGTTTCAATGGTTCTACATGACATTGTGACAGTTTGTGAGAAGCATCCAAAAACTATTGAACACCAGCAGGACTGCTTTGTGGTTGCGTCCTGGTGAGGCAACGCCTGCCAAGCCTAAAAATTTAGCTGCCAAGGAGGAGACGTCTACCATGCCAAACAGTTTTGATTAAATGTCCATTGAACCAAAAACCATTCGACGATGTTGGATACGCTGTTTCAGAAATCGAGGGTTTGTAGGTCGCAGCAGTACTGTAGTTGGAACTGAATCATGGACAGTTTGATGTGCAAGTGTGTTGGTAATCTTGGAGTTCCAATCATGAAGCAAAACAAAAAATATAGGATGCCGATGCATGGTGTTTTTCCTTTCAGACTTAGCCCGATGAGTTTGCACTTACCAACCCAGAGTCAAGTGTTGTGTTCATCGAGTGAGGGGTCAGTGTACTCGGTAGATCTTGCAGTCCTCCCACGTGACCTCATCCCTGCGTTGCACAGTGCGCTGCAGGACATGCGGCCTTCCGATCCAATCGCTCAGGCGTACGGAGTACAGTTTCACAATTTGTTCATCATCAACTGAGGGGCATACTTCTATTGCGGGCATCCTTTCTGTGAGGCTGGCAGCCCAGATGGGAGCTTTACCTTTGGTGTAGGCGCAGTGTGTGGGCTTGGCAGGATTGAAGCGTGTGAGTTCCTGATTGAAAAAGTTGCAAGCTCCACATGAGTCGTCGCTCGGATGGGATGGTTTACCTTCAGACTGAATCTCTCAGAGACACGATCCACTGTGTTTTTGGAGCGATGGGCATGTGTTTGTTCCCGCTTTTCGAAGACAAATCGGCTGAAACTTGAAGAATGTTTGATTGGCCAGGCAGCAGCCCTCCAGAGGCTTGACATGGCTTGACGCCGTTGGAGTCTCGAAGTCTTGAGTGTTGAGCTCTGGTGGCTAGACGCACCGGTATTAGTCATCCGCGCAATGTGGGGGTCTCAATCCTGCTTGCTAAGTCTTTTGTGCTGACGAAGCATTGGATTGGCGCTTGGAGAGTTCGCCGTGAAAGATCGTAGCACCCACAATACACAACACCTTGTCTCCACATAGCTTCCTGGCGACACATTAATTTGTTGAGATATTGTCCAGAATGAGTTTTTGAGGAACAGGGCTAATTGAAGACATTACTGACTCTTAAGCATGACTAGCAGGGAGGGAACGTGCAATGGCACTTTTACAGTTCCTTGTCTGTCAGGGTTGAATGACCCACCATTTTGCCCACAAGGCCAATGCCCCAAACTCCAGAAGCTCTATTGCCACGAAAAAGACATGAACAAACACTACATACATTGAAGGGATCACAGGGATCTTTTTGCGTGTTTCAGGCGCGGCGCTCACGTCATATTATATTCATGCGGCAGGTGCCCAACTCCCAACCGCCAGCTGAGAAGGTGGTTCAGGACGCCACTGGCTCTTGGGTCTTTCGGATGACAGCGATCACGGTTGCCACTTGAAGCTTGCCAAGGCACTTGCCAACCACTTTGCCACCTACAAGTTGTGACACTCACGGTGTATAGGTTTGCAATGGTTTGCAACTGAAAGCGGGAAATCACACCTTGTCAAGGTGATTGTAGGCACCATTCACACTTTGAACATGCTTTCAACGCGAACTTGTGCCATAAGCCGTGCATACTTTCTGCACAACCGTTCTATATTTATATAAGTATATAGTTTATACTATGACTGCACCAAGAGTGGTTTCTGGACCAACACTTGAGCAGAGCCGACCGTACTGGCCTTAGATGGACTTGTTAGGACGAGGCCAGTGCCTTGCCTCTCCGACCCGTCCAACCTCCGCCTGCGGCAACCTCGACGGCGACCTCGATGGCTTCAGAGGGGCAACCTTCCAACGAGAAGCCAGTGAGCCAGGTGGGATGAAGGAGGAGCAGTGGCTCCTAATGCGCAGTCCTCTCAACTATCAGAGTTTCTTGTGGCAGGTGGTTCCCAAGATTGGTCAAACAAACATTCTCGTAGACAAGGGTTTGACCGTAAATAATGTCAAGACTTGGGTTTAGAATACATTGGATGTTGGCGGTTTACTCTGATGTGGCGGGAGCAGCACCCATGCAAAGTGGAAACTGGCAGAGATGGACGGTATCCGCACGGAGGAGATTAAGTATACCGTGTTGTTCAGGTCTTGATGGTCATGCAGGAATACGGTCTTCAAACGCTGGATTTTGCTCCTTTGCCGAGATTTGCATGGGTTACGAAACTCAAGCCATTCCAAGTTGAAGGAGGACTGTTTCCAGTCGTTTCTTCACACGACGTACGAAGTAGATGTTCCCGTGCTACGTCACTTTATCCTGTTTGGAACCTTGTTACTCAATGTAGATCACATGCGAGCCAGGAACTGCCACCTGTAGGCACGCAGAGTAGTGTGGATCTTAATTTGTGTGCGTTGGGCAAGTCAGAAGCTTGTTGGACATGAGCATGTTGTTGTTTTTTTTAATGGGCAGTGCGAAAGTAAAACGGTGTTTGACGCAAGGCCACCTTTCCAATCTTTCCATGCAAAGCATCAGCAGTGTCGTTGAATGCCGTTGAGCTGAGCGCCATGAACTGACTGAGCCATTGGAATAAGTTGCATCGCTAAGGAAATTGTGTTTGTAAAACTCCATGTTTTTGGCCAACATCCAACAAGGCATATTCCCAGTCATCAGAGCATCGGACAGAGTGACATTGCCCGAGGTGCTCAAAAGGACCTGAAAATGATGAGTGATTTGGGTTGGATTCTGAGCTATGCTGAATGATTTTCGCGATCGGGTGCCTCTTTGTTTTGACATGGCATGAGCCCTGCATCCACCATGAGCCTTTCATTTTTGACCGCGGCAGGGCTGGAAGAAGGCTCTGAGGATCCCTCTCCACAGGCCGTTCTTTTTTGGGTCACAAGTTGTCACAACAGCCTTGGTTGCTAATGGACATGCTGCCTATCAAATATTATCAAATGACTGAACCAATGTTTGATTTTGCGTTAGTTTTTAACGCATGTGTCATGTGTGTTGTTTTTCAAGATATGTCTATGACTGTTTTTTTAACGCTTGGCAAGGTCCTGTGGTATTCGTGCTTGGTACCGGCGGTGTATTACATGTATTTTCTTGTTTGCAGGATGCGAAGGACAAGGCGCGGCTGGTGCTTCGATATCAAAGTGCATTTGCGTTTTGTGGTTGCTGTCAAAGAGAAAGACCTGCAACTCCAACTGTTTGGTCCCGTGCAGTTTGGGTCTTCAGAGTCCTTTCATACCCAATGAAGCCGAAGAAAACCAAGGAGGAGAGTCCAAGCAGTCCTTCACTGGGACCTGTGGCCTTGTCAATTGGAAAGCAGGCCTGTCACGTGGTGGGAATGGGAGGTTTCGGCTTTGGGTCTGAACAAGTATCACGCTAGTCTGAGTCTGAACAAGGCAGCATGAGGCAGCATCAGTGGCAGCATCTTAGGAGGCACAGAGAAATGGCCTCCAACCAAAGAGCAATGGCCTCCAACCCAATAGCGATGACCTCCAACTTAATAGCGATGACCTCCAACTTAATAGCGATGGCACCCAACCTAGTAGCGATGGACTCCAACCTAGAAGGAACTATTGCTGGTCAACATCGTTTCACTTTGAACTATCGGTTTCTCAATACGTCAGGTGCCGAAGCGGAGCAATCCATTGGCACGGAGCCGAGGCACTGAGTTTGCTCAAATGTTGGTTTAACATGTGGAAAACGGAAGCTACTAGTAACAAGTGCCACGCTACTAGTAACAAGTGCCTTACTAGTAGTAACAAGAAGCTACTAGTAACAAGTGCATCGCTACTAGTAACAAGTGCATCGCTTCTAGTAACAAGTGCATTACTACTAGTAAGAAGCTACTAGTAGCGATGCACTTGTTACTAGTAGCTGCTTGTTACTAGTAATTAGTATGCACTTGTTACTAGTCGACGCATGACGCATGTTTGCAAGTAGAGTATGGATCGTTACTTGCACTGTTCCATCGTCATGCGGTTTGTTTTTCTCTCATGTCCATCATGATTCCTTTGATATTGACACCATTTTGACGCCGCAGGTAGCGGCCTCTTTCAGGCAGAGCAAGCTAGTTCGTGTGCACGTTGGGGAGGAAACTGTAGGGGAAGAGTTCGCTAACCACCTCAGACGATCATCTGGTCAATTCACCAGTCTTGTGCAGGGTCACCCTAGCATTTTACGCAGCGGCATGAGAGATGGTGAAGTGAGGCAGACCACTTCTTGAAGGGTTGAGGAATGACTGTGCTTGGCAGCGTTGAAGTCTGCCTCCTCCCCAAAGACTCCACAAGTATTGTTTCAAGCCTAGCAAGTTGGTAGAATATGGTTTTTCACTTGCAGGAGGAGGATATTGGCTTTTTGATTGGCACATTCTTCTGGAAACATCATGAGCGGCATCATGCGGCACAACCTCCAACGACCAGAAGTGAGTGCTTTCTTTGGTTTGTTTCCTCAGAAAAGGGAAGACTCTCCTGGGTTTGGGTTCGTAGTGCAGATGAGCACAGGCTGGTGGTGACTTCGACGGGCCTGGCCTATCTCGAGGTGAGAGTCACTAGAAGTGTTTGGATTCTTTCAATGAACCAGTTCTGCGGAGAAGCCGTGCTGCGACTTAGAAAACCCCAAGATGTTCGACAGGTGAAGACAGAAAAACAGACAACGATTCTTAAAAAATAGATATCATCTATGATACCATAGACTCCCTCAGAATGGAAACTCGAACACCAGACCGTGAAGCTTCGCTCGAACGCTGTCAGGTTTGGGTGGCCTCAGCCAGGTGCGCTTGGGCATGTGCACGCTGCGGTTGCACAAAGATATTTGTGCCCGAAAGTGAGTGCAGCAGTGGTGCCTCCCTTCTACTTGAATGTAGCGGTTGTTTTTCGATTAAACCGATGTTTGACTTGCTAGTGCACGGTCTATCAATTCAGGACAAATATTTAAGAAATATATTTATTCTCTCAATAGGATGACTTGCAATGCAACCATGGGCCACTGGTCATATTCAACAGTAGTTGTGCGACCAAATTCAAGAGCGGATTTGCTTGATGCTTCACGGATTCTTTGCACTGCATCCAATGAGCTCAACATGGTGCAGTGAACGTCCGATGCTGTCCGGGATGGAGGTCTCTTCTTTGTCCAAGACGAAAGCCAAGCCAAAGTCCGATACCCCAAGACGAGCTGCGTCTGAGTTCTTGGAAAAAATGGGATGGGTCCAATCGATTGCGACAGGTGATGGCAAAAAATGAGTACAGAGCTTGGACTCCCTGGACATTGTGGGGCATGGACTGGCATGGGGCATGGGTTTAGTGGTTTCTTTTCATCTTCCATTCTTTTGTCGGTGTTTGGAAGCGCTTCCGAGGTCTTCATCGCTCTTCGGGGGGCCGATCGATTGGAATCAGAAGACTTTCGCTGAGCAAAAGCGGGCGGCTTGCGCGAAGGAGGAAACTAGAGGGAAACCGGAGTTTTGGTATTTGAAGCTTTGGACGTTCCAGGATGGGATATATAACTGGTGGGTTCAACCCTCAACACTTCGTCGCGAACAAGTCGTCCCTTAGACTCAGAACTTCATGCGGGTATTCAGTTGGTTGTGTTGGTTGGCTTTCTAGGTATAGTTCAATGTTCTATTCTTGTCCTCATGTTCAACCGCTCCACTTGTGTTTCCTGCAAATTCACGGACTCGCATCAGTCAACCTCTTGCAGATATCTCAGAGTGGCTCAGCCAGGTCCCAACTCCCAAGGCATGGTTTCGACGTGGTCACGTGTGACCGTGCGACGTGGTCCGTCCCGTTCCTTGGCTTTTCGCGGCTCAAGTCGGATAGCTGGCTTTCTGTAGCTCTGATCAATGTCGCCGATATGACCGCAAGAGGAAGGTGCTTGGGTCGGGCTGGTTCAATTGCTAGTTGATGGAATAGAGAGTTGTTTAAAAGGTGCTCTGAGCTCTCTCTATATCTACTAGTACCATTTGTGATGCAACCATTGACATTACCAGAGGCAATGAAGACCATGATGTTCTTCAATACGGTGTGTTCTGCAGTGACAATAATTATATACAATACATTGTTTTGGCTGGGTGGTGACGGTAGGTGCTTCAGACTTTTGCCGCAACACTCCAGCCGGTGATCAGATAGGAGAGAAGGCCCTTGAAGGGGACTCAGTGAATCAGTGATACCAGCATGTCACTTGGTCCATTTTGGACATCAGGGAAAACCCATCAGGCAAACATTTGGTGCAAAAAGAATCACTTTTGCAAGGTTTCTTTCAAACTTCCATTTACCTCAGTTCCCTTCGTGACTGGTTCCTCTTTCGGTTCGGCGCTTGGGCCGCCCCTCCAGACGCAGGTCCCGATCACCATACCGGCAACAGCTGGAACTGAGCCTGAAAGAGATCCGGGACTTGGTGCTCGCGAGAGAGCAGGTTCGACCAAAGTGGTCATCGGAGATGGACTGTGAGAGGATTGCTCTTGGGGTGTTTGCTTGGACGGAGTTGAAAGCTTGAGACAAGTCCGATACCAGCAAAGCTGGACGTCAGAACTATCGGTGCAAAGTTTGTTTTTCTTTTTCGAGACATAAATGGAAGATGGATCTTCCAAGCTCTCTTTGAAGGTCCATCTTGTTTCCACTTTGCCGATGCCCCTGAGGCGAGGCTTCAGAAAGACTGGAAACTAGCAGACAACATCCGGTCCCAGCTGCACGACGCGGGAGCGCCCCGGATGGTACAATTGGTGTGGGTGTGACGTGTTTGCCAGCTGGAGAGACGTGTGAACTTGAATGGATTCAAGCCGTCAGACGACATGCCGACACGGCTGGTTGGAGATGTCTCGGAAGTCGACCTGTTGAAACCTGTTGGTACCCGTTGCATATGATGTGGAATTATTCTCCAAGTAAAAGCAACCTGTAGATTCTGTAGATATGTGGATGCCAAAAGCGGGTACAAGTCCTAAGCCTTTGGTGCGGACAATCGGACCTCATATCATTCGTTTCAAAGGTTTGAGTTCTTTTCTAGTCAAATTGTCCAGTTGTTTTCACATGTTTTCACAGAATCAGACTGCAGCGTGATGCTTGAACGATTTGCCTGAGATGAGAGGCCGGTGCTTTGGAAATTGGGGTGAGTGGGGAAGTCTGCTGACACACTGACAGATGTTATCCGAAGAATCAAGGAGGAGATGATGATGTGTTTGTCTGCACAAAACCGTTGTTTCTTTTTGTGCCAAGAATTCTGCATCGTTTACTCCTCTGCAACCTGCTTTACTAGACTTTCTATATCCTATAGCTGCCAAGATGCGCGGAGAATGCCAGAAGCAAAACACAACTTTGCCGGACTTTTGCTGCTGCCCTTGCTATGCCGAGGTGCAACTGTTTGACAAGACTCACCAGTGGCTTGCGCTGCATTTGCTGCGCGTTTGCTGACTTGCGCTTGACCAGTTTGACCGTGTGCTCTGCATTTTGCACTGCCGGGTCAGCATGGTGCGGGCGCAGCCTCACTCTAGCTGTCACCTTTTCGTGGTTTGTGTTTGGCTCTTCTTGCCATGACATCCAAGCTTCATGGATGTTGCACAGGGAGCACTTGAAGCAAAGGTGAATAATTACTATTTTTAGTGAACGCTTGATTCAGAGTGGAACCAACTGCAACTAGACTAACTAGACAAGTCTAGACACAAGAACAGCAACAGACTGTACCTATCATTTGGGCCGCACCCATTCCATCACTCCAAAAGCATTCATTTCCACTCCTGTGCCTCTCTGACTGTGGGTGTGAAGACCCACGGGCTTCACCCGCATGCTCATCAAAAGCCCCAGCGGACCGCGAACCGCCACAGGTGGACCTCCACCGACGGGCGAAGTGGACGCATCCCCAGCTTTGATGAGGTTGAGGCGCAGCGGGGTGTTTTTTTTAATCGGTGTTTGGTGAAGGCATGTTTTTTCCTCAATGTCCAGCTTTCTTTGCGCTTTTGAAGTCGCTGACGGTCCTTGTTCCCGCACCACTTGATAGAATCCTCCCCCTTTGTCGCATGACATGCCCTCTTTCCTTTCTTTTGACCATCCCTCTTCCACAACCCGTCTTTAGAGCAAGTGACTGCTAGGGCCAAGCGGGTACGCATGTCTTCTCAGGCGGGTCAGGTGCCCGAGGAAGAGGAGATCCCTACCACTCAGATCAAGGCAGGGCCCCGATTGGCTTCGATTTCAGGTCCTGTTGGCTTGGGTATACCGTATACGGTATGCCTGGGTTTACCATGGTATAGTATAGATAGTATAGTGTAGTGATCGCCAAGGGTGGTCAACTGAATCTGGGCATGATCGGTGGAGTAGTGTCTTAAGCCAAATGACTAACTTCTTCCACCTCAGCGAGTGGGCGCGTGGATGTTTAGTTGTCCTGTTTCCGGACAACCAGCATCGGCCTGCGTCGATTCCACCAGAGCTCCACTTTGGACCATCCTGATAGCAAGTCTGTGGAAGCTAGAGCGTAAATTTGCTTCTCAAAGTACCGAAGACAGAAGCAGATCATAGCTACCACAGTCATAGCTACCACTTGGAGTTCCACCACGCCAGCTGTGACCTGAACCGAGGAGTATATCGAGCCATCAGAGGGTGATTTGGACAAGGCCATGATGTCCGCGGGCAGACAACGAGAGGGATGGTCAGAGTCACAAGGCATCGAATGAGAGTTGCTGAAGCGGAGGATAGAAGGGATCCAAGATCTCATTATGCCAAAGACTCACTCGACACCTTCCTTGGCACGTTCAAGCCTTTCCGACTACCCCAACCTCTCGACTAGAGCAAACCACGTGCGTGTTTCTCTCTTAAGCAAAACACTTTCAACGCTTGTTTGTTGGCAAGGAAATTCGACGCCAATGTTGGTGACCTGAAATCACGTGATGCTCCAACATGGGCTATATAATAATAACTAATAACGCTTGTCCCTAAGATTCAGAGAACCTATACAGTTGTCTATGCGATTCGATATGATAATTTGTTTGGGCGCAATGGAAGATGCTCAATCCTGGCCGCCGGCCGCTAGGGCAGCCCCGTCTGAGTTTGTGCGTGGGCGTATCTACACGAATAATTGTCCTAAACTTATATCTCCTTGTTTGCACATCATGTTCAAACCCCAGTTGATTCAAGTTCTGGTGTCCCTCAAACTGGGAATAGAGAGTTTCTGAATCTATTCGCTTGAACACTGATGTGAGCTTTGCCTGAAAGAATGTTCACGTGGAACATGATTGATCTTGCAGGAGCAGATTCAGAAGTTAATCTTTCAACGGGAACATGCTCGAGGGAGCAAGGACTGTGGTCTTTGTGTGCCGACATCCTGTGAAAACTCTTGACTCTTTGCAGTTCTGGTGATTCAAGTTCTGGTGTGGTGCCATCGCTAGTAATTAGGTTGGAGGCCATGGCTGTTTGACTTGCCTTTCTTTCTTATTCTGGTGTGGTGCCACTGGTGGGTCGAGGCTGTGGGAGTTTCGAGGCTGTCGATACCTCGCTTGCGGAGCGCACTAACTGACTGAAGTATCTTCGAGACAGAATGTTTGGACATCGCATTGGTTTGGTTTGTTTCGAGATTTTGATGATCTTTCATGAAGTCCTCTTCAAGTCAGTTCCAGAAAGGAGTTGCCCTGCGGCCGATGCCCAGAGCCTAATTACGATCATGTTCTTTGCCATAGCTTCTTGTTACTAGTAGCAAGGTGCCCTACTAGTAACAAGCTACTAGTAGTAAGGCAACTTGTTGCTAGTGGCGTCCTGCCCCCGCCGATGAGAACCGCAGGACTTTGCTCAAGCCGATGAGATCCGCAGGCAGCTCCAGGACTTGGGTGTGGAGCTTCAGGACAAGGAGAAGCTCTGGAAATGCATGGAGACTCAGTCAAGGAATCCCTGCGGATCCGTGCGGATCAGGTGGAATCGTGGAAACTTGATTTCCTGCGTGCACTAGGTAACAAGAAGCTACTAGGAACAAGTGCATCGCTAGTAGTAACAAGTGCCTTACTAGTAGTAACAAGAAGCTACTATTTTGTTTCCTTTCGCGAAAAATTTAACGAAGGTCATTGCTTTCATATGTTTTCCTTTCTACCGGACTGACAAAGAATAGAAATACAAGGCAATCCTCCGGCAGAGCCAGCGGGCGGAAGTGTCCCCATATGCCACAGACTAACGAACTGAAGCCTCAACATTTCCGTGCCCAGCCCTGGCACTGCGTAAAGGATTCTCCGATTCCTGTCCCCACTGTCACAGACTAGCAATCTGAGTAGGCACAGCCCTGACAGTGAGGCAACGACCTGCAGCTGCTCTGACGGGCTGTGCAGATGTTTGGAAATGTTCTGGCTTCCCAGGGAAGCACCACTGAAATTCGCGAAAGATCCGCGAAAGTTTCGCGAATGTGCCGCTAAAGTCCAGGTTCCCAGCTTGAGGCCCCCCCAACATTCCCCAA